TTTTTTGCATAAATCCTTTCGGTAAATATCAACAATTTATTTAAATCTCTGAAATTAAGTTTTAAGATGAACCTCTAAAAACAAAAAATTGAATTAACCCCCCGGGGCTCTAGTTTTTAATTATCCTCCAATAGGTAATGCTTTTTGTTTGATTTTGGAACGAAACTAAACAAGAATCGAAAAAGATTATTCAAATAAAAAACCCCATTTATAAATGTTGAAATAGAAAGTTCTAATTATAATGAACCTTCCAAAATCCTCAAAATTTTTGCTTGCAGCCAAAAAAAGGAGGATATTAAATAGGCCCCTATTTCTGTTTTTTGTTTGATTTGAATAAAAAATTTTATTCTCGAACACGAAACAAATAAACTAAAAAATTCCAATTTTTTATCAAAATAAAATTCAAAATCAAAGCTCTTTAGAAATAAAAATTAAAAAAAGGGTTAGGCATACTTTCGATTATTTTAAGCACAATTATTTGTGGAAGAAAAAGTGATAATTTATCAATTTAAAGTATAATTTAGGTATATTAAAATAGTTAAATAGGTAAATAAATATATGTATGTATCCCATCAAAAATAATATTTTAAAATATTTCCCCGTTTAAACTTTTTTATAAACTTTTATCTTCCCATTCTTTCCATTTTCTCTTTAAATAGTTTGGTTTAAAAATTGTGTCAAAATATAAAATGCTCTTTTAGGTGCCCATTGCGGGACCTATTAAAAATAAAAATATTCTTAATATATTCAATTAATTTTATAATAATTACCATATGCCCAACACCTCTAACTGAAAATTGTTTTAATTAAATTATGTAATAAAATATTTTTATCCTACATAGTGTCATATTTTAGGGGCACTCCCAGGTACATTGTAGCTATAATTTCGTTCAAAGTATAGAATAACAAACACGCAAACACGATTTTGCCGACCTCTACTTTAATCAATTAATTTTTTTACTTATATCACTATGTATTATATAGCAGGGTTGCCGCGGGTACAAAAAATCTTCGGGTACGGGTTTCGGGTATCGGGTTGGAGCGTTTTCATTTCGGGTCACGGGTTTCGGGTTGGCAAAAATATCGGGTACGGGTTTCGGGTTTGGCGAAAAATTCGGGTTATTTTCGGGTTTTCGGGTATTGGTGAACTAAATTGTAAGGAGACAAGCTGTGTTGCTTACTAGGATATAGGGTGATATTGAGAGAGGCAAATCTGAAGAGATTAAAGAGACATTGGTGGATTTGGGGATTAGAGGGATATCTTCGTAAAATCCCAATTTATTGGTAAAATCCCACTATATACTAAATCCCTCCGCTTTATCTTCATTAAAGCATGTAATTTTCTCCCATTTTTAGCGCCGCAGGCGAAAATTTTGAGAAGTTTGGAGGACCAAGAAGCCAAACTTCTTCCATTTTTTGCGCCGCAGGCGCAAATTGTGAAAATTTTGATGATCTTTAAGCAGATTTCTAGCTTTTTCACCGCCGGAGGCGAAAATTTTGAGAATTTTAGAAGGCTTTAGGCAAAAAATTTAATTATCAGAACCGCAGGCAAAAAATTTTTATTGAAGTTTAGTTGATCATGAAGCCGGAACTCTTAATTTCAGCGCCGCAGGCGAAAATTTTGCAAAATTCATGACTAAATTACAATTTTTAATGGTTTTTCAAGATTAAAATATTAAAAAAATTAAAAAATCTAAATTGAAAATCAAGTTTAAAAACATTTATTCTTGTACAACGCTGGACTCGAACCCACTCCTTTGAAAATAATGAGCCCGTCGCCTTACCCACTCAACCACTGCCCAACATAATAAAAAGAGAAGAAATTATAAATAAATATCTCTTTCTATAATTTTTTAAATTTATTTTAAAAAATCGGGTAAGGCTAAGTTTTCGGGTAGAAATTTCGGGTTTTAACCAATTTCGGGTCACGGGTTTCGGGTTGGAAAAAATATCGGGTACGGGTTTCGGGTTGGAAAATTTTCATTTCGGGTATCGGGTTTCGGGTACAAAAAAAGGCCGGGTTTCGGGTTTCGGGTTTCGGGCGGCAACCCTGTTATATAGTGCATTTTTATCGTGTATGTGAACTTACCGGTTAATAAAGTAAGTCCGTCATATTCAGTTACAGTACCCCCAATTTGGTCGTCAAGAATCCAGGGGGTTTTTGGTGTTAATAACTAAAAGAATATTTTTATAATTTAAAATGTAAAAAACTGTAATTCCAAGTTGTGTGGCAAATCTTTCACCAATCAAAAAATTACAAACAATATCAGTATCTCCATAATATGCCCATACTGGCACCTTTGCTTTTATTATATTTTTCATGAAATCTACCATATCAGCTGGAATTTTAAATTATTTTCCATATTTATAATTTTACTCATCTTAAATATTATCTAACTTAATCTACCTTATCTATTTTCCCTTATTGCAAATCTTGTTTATTAATTTTAAAATCTCGAACCCCGAACCGAGAAAAGTCTGTTTATTTAAAACCAACCTTCATCGAGGCTTAAAATAATTTTTATTTTATAAAAAGAATTTTCTCAAATGAATAACAAAATTATTCTAACCATATTGTAGATCATATTTATCCTTAAAATCATCATTACATTCTTTCCATGTAATATTGTTTGGAATATGGAATGCTTCCCGAACTTTTAAAAATGAGTTAATTTTAATTAGTTAACAAAAAAACCTTTAGGTAAATTCATGTAATTATTTATAATATTTCCTTAAATTAATAAAGAGAATTTTCAATAAAAATTTCTTTATTTAAATATACCATTAATACATGGAATTATTGGTTCGTCATAACTGTCATTTTCTGATTGAATTTTTAAATTTTCGAATTTATTTTCCTAAATAAGAATTATATAACAATTACACTTCTATATACTGAATAATAGAGCCCGGCTCGATACCATTTTTTCGATATTTATAAAAAAAATATCGACCGACCCCTTCCCCGTACGGGCTCTGCTTAATAATTACCCTGTAATTAATGTTACAACTTCTTCATGGAGAGTCTAAGTATAGGAGCAGGGCAATTGAGGATAAAGTTATTTATTTTTTTGATATTTATTATTAAAATGTTCCACTAATTTAAAATTATAATGATTTTTAAAATATTAAAAATGGTAGAGTGCTGTTAATTATTGAAGAGAGGGTAACTTTTGAGGAAGGTAACTTTTTTCCTCGCTTCGGAGAACTCTAAAACCCGGCCCGATTTTTTCTCAATACGGCCCATTCCCTTTACTTATTTTAAGAAGAAGACATACCGCAAGTAAAAAACTCTCCAATGTTTTTAAAATAAAAGGTGTTCGAGAAAACTTTCCAAGCAAAGAATTTTTTGTCAGTGTTTTTGATTTTGATAACATGTTATCTTTAAAATTTGTATACTCTTTAAAATTATACACAAAGGTTATTTACCACAATCACGATAAATATCATAAGGATTAGAGATACCATTATTAATACTCTTAAAGATCGAACCAATCTGAATAATAATTCATGAAATAAATTTTTATTATAATTTAAAACAAACAATGTTATAACATTTCGTTTTTGTTTTATTAGCATAAGAATGAATGTCACAAGTATCTAAATTAAATTGGAAATATTATTGTTAGATACCGTATATCTTTAATAACTACCCTGGGTAATTATTGTTTCGACCTTCCGCTGGAACGAGTAATTAATTGAAGCAGGGTAATTATACGAGGTTTGAAATTTGAACGTGTTTTAAAGCATTTGTTGGGGGTAATTATTGCTTCAATCCATCGCCGGATGGGCTAATTAATGAAAGTGGGGTAATTATTTGAGGGAGGGCAATTGATACAGGTTATACGGTATAGTAAAAGCCCAAGTATTAGAGACGTGCGAGACCGAAAATTTTCTAAGACTAGGCCGCAAGACTCAAGACCAAAAATAACTAGATTCAAGACAATTTTTGATTTCATAGGGCAAATTTTGGTAACTATTTGTACTTCATAAGACATTTTCTTCAATTTTTTTTAAATCAAAATAAACTATACCAGCACATCCTTTACAACATTTTTTGCCAAAATATTGCCATAATTCTTCATCTATAATAGCATGACCGTAAGCATAAAGTGGCATTGTATTATCATCTAGAATGTGACTCAACATCCCATTTCCAATTAGCACTCCCTTTTTTGAATTAAATATTAAAAATTAAATAATCCCTCTATTACTTTAAAATTTATTGGAAACTTTTTTTGTCTTTTAATAATTAAATTGGCCAACATTGGCAAATAAACACCAGCATAAGATTCACCACTTATAATTGTTGGGCGTCCTTTATATTCAGGAAATTTGTTGAGAAATTGTTTTAAAGCTTCGTAATTGTAATTTGCTGTCTTTAAATAAATCTTTCATTTTTAATTTCACAGAGGTTTAGGTACGAAGGAATTAATTGAAATTTTCACCTCTTTGGTATACCTTTGCAGATGTTTTATCAACTTAGGGTACTACCTTCCGATATCTTTTACTCATTAAAATCTTTAACCCTTTCTACAAGCATTCTAAAACACTCTCGAATGAATACTTATAAACGAAGTGAAATTATTCTTTAAACTTTTTCTTCTCGTTTTTTATCTTCATTTGTATTCTCTTTACCAGCATTGGGCTGTTAATTCATAATTTCGAAAGTTATTTTACCTCTTTCTATCTCATGAGAAACGAACGCTTTTTTGTGTAAATCTATAATTTTTTCTCTTTCCAACTCTCACAAACAACGTAAATTTGGAGAGAAAAAATTTTATAATTTAAACAAATTTCACAAAAAAATTGTGAAATTTTTTACAAATAAGAGAAGATAAAATTGATTTAGATAAAAAGACTGTCTGGTATTTTAAAAAATTTATTTTTCTTATTTAACCCCATTTTTACATAACTATTTTTTTGTTTTAATTTATATTCTTTTTTTCGAGAAACAAAACATTGTATATCTAATATTGGATATAACTAAAAGTGAGGTCCATATTGAGGAGCGTGCCGTCCCTATTCTCGAATTCGGTAATTTTAATGTCGGCGCGTTCGCTGGTCCAATTCCTAAAAATATATATAATTATTTACTTCATCATCATTTGTAGTAATATTTTCATCAGTTGAATAAGAATATCCAACCCCCGCAGGCGATTCAAGAAACAAAACATTGGCATTGTTATTCCAGGCATTAGGATTTTTAATTAATTTATTAGAGCCATCCTCCAAAAGTAAATAGGGCCCTAATTCGGTAAATAGACCAAGAAGTGAAGAACATCCAGGGCCACCATTTAACCATAAAACCTTTTTTGAAAATTTAAATAAAATTAAATTTTAAAATATTATCTAATAGGTTAATAAAATTAATGTTTGAAAGAGGTATGGGAGGAATTAAAGGGAAACTTGGGGTATTTGGGTGCCACAATATCGAGGGATATAGATCTAATCCTCTTAATCCCTTGCTATTATTTTTCGACCCAAAAATCTCTAGATTTGATACCCGATCTGACTTTTTCTCAACTAATCTATCCATGTTTCAATATTAAACTTTAAAGATAATATTTTTAAGTAGAAGGATCTGAACTCATTTCTCATCAAGATATGGAGGCCTTAACATTCAAAATAAAATTTACCAAAGGATCCTTATCAGGATTATTTTGTGATTTAGTGAGAACATAATGGAGAAATTTGGTTTTTGAGACTTGAAGATAACCTTAAATTAATTAATTAAAAGTAAATAAAACAGCCTGATTTTTTTATTAAAATACACTTAATACGAGGTAAACTTTATTAAAATACTTTATTTAAAAATGTTTGGTCTTTGTCCCAAAAAAGCTTATTAAGCGTTTTTTTTTCTCTATTTATTTCTCTATTTAATAAAATAATATAAAAAATTTCTAATTTCATAAATAAAAAATTTCTCTATTTATGATACCCCTCAGTTAAAAATCTGATTTTTCTAGGTCCGTAATTTAAATTGAGGTCTAACATTATCTAAATTACCAGAATAATGTTTAAAATTAAGGTCAAAATCTTGTCCTGGAAGTTTTTCAGTAATTTCATCATCCTTCCCAGTTTGATTTATTTTCTGGGCCAAAATTAAGTTTAGGGATAAAAATATTGAAAATGCTAATATTTTAATTTTAAATAAATTATTTATTAAATTCATTTTATTTTTTTATTAGAAAATGATTTATTTTGGCAGGGGAATTTTGCTTTTTATTTTGGAAACTTTTTGGGAAAAATTATCTAAATTTTTATGGCCATTCTGGAAAGGTTTTTAGAGAATTTTTTTAAACGTGGATTTTTTTTTAATTTTTATTAAAATACAAACAATAAATAAACATACTCCAAGCAATTATTTTTAGCAATCCAAATATAGAAGAAAAAATCAAAGAATTTTTACTACAAAAATGTACTAAAAAATCTTTTATTTATTAATCCATGTAGTTTGTTTTGCCTAAAATATTCAATAAAAATAATAAAAAATATATTTTTTGGGAGTTTTTTTATTTTCCAGAATAATAGCTTTTGTTATAACATTTATATTGACCTCGCCTTTGTATTTTATATTTTAGTTTCTGCATATTAATAATTTTACCAAAAATAAATATATTTTATGATTAATAATCTTTAAATTAATTACCGCTTTCCGTAAAATCTGTTGGATTTTACCTATAAATTGGTAAATTACCTGTAAATTGAGCATAGGTAATTTAAAGAAAAGTGTTATCGAAAAGGTACCAATTTGTTCAGTAGTCGACATTTGGAGAGGGATATTCAGGGACCGACGTTTGGGGACCGTGTTTGAATAAGAAATTTATATTTAAAAAATGAAGCAAAATTTAAGAAATGATATCAAGGGAAACGTGTCAATTTACAAATCCCATAAGGGGGCAAAAAATGAAGCAAAATTTATGACTGTTTAAGATGGATAAAATCGGCAAAAGAAGGGAAAAAGTTGACATTCTTTTTAAACCTAAAAAAATTAAAATTTTAAATAAAAAGCTTCATTATTAGGGTTGTTGGTTCTGGACATAACCGATAATCTTTCGGTTCGGTTTTGGATATCAGAAAAATTTCTAGGTACCAAATTTGATCAAATATTTAATCAATTTTGACAAAATATACCTCGAAACTTATTAATAAAACCAAAAAAGAAACCCGAAAATGTACCTTTTTCGAAATATATTTTATTTTGAATTCTAGAAAATTATTCAAATTTATTTATTTATTTATTTATTTTTTCCCTTTCAGATTAAATTGTAATAGATATTATGTAAATATATACAGATTCTTTTTATCTACATATTTTTCCTATTTTTAAGTACTATGCATGCCGACAAAAAGAATGGGCCAGAAAAAATTGAGCAAAGAATTATCTACTATCTACTAAATACATTAGCATAAATAGGGAAAAATTGAAGAATTTATTTTCTTCTTTTTATTTTTCTATCTTTTACATTGATTTTTACAATTTTATATATGTAAAAATTTTTACATTATATAATTTTTTTATTTTTTAAATTATTTTTATTATAAATTTATTAGATAAATATGTATGTATAACATATCATTTACAAAAATGATAATTATCTCCCATTTTGTATTATTTTTTCCATCTCCTTCATTTCGAGAAATTACGAATGTTCAATGGATTTAGTGGGATACGGTTCTGTTGCAATTGTTATAAAAGATCCCGCAAATGCGATTTTATTTTTTTAATATAAAAATAAGCATTTTTCATCAAATTTCTAGAAGTGAAGGAAATGGAAAAAATTATGTTAATTTAATCAGAAAATAAGAAAAATTAATTAAATATTTAATATAGTAAATTTTGAATATAATTTAATAAAATATGTACTAGCCACTGCTAACAGGATCCGTTATATACGGCGAAGGTTTTGACGTCCTAGCAACCTAGTTTTAATAGATTAAAGAGAATTGATTTATTTGATGATAAATAGCATATATAAATAATAGATTAACCAATACATATCAATCTTTAAAAAGCAAGCCACTGCCAAGGTTGCTTAAAGCATAAAGTTCCAAAAGGACGACCTGGCAACCTTGTTCATAATAAATAATTTTTACTCAAATAAATTAAATCTTCCAATCCATATTTAAATAATTAAAGCTTTGAGTACCTAATTTAATGTATTAATCTTTGAATGAATTATACAATTAAAAAATAAACAGCGGAACGAGCAACATATTTCATAATTAAATATTTAATCTATTAATATAAATATTATAAAATTTCGTCGGATAATAATTCTACTGAATAGATATCAGAAAATGAAATCTCACTTAAATAATTAGAAATTTCAAATCAAGTAATTATATTAGATTGAATAAAGTTATATCCTAAGTAAATTTAAATAGATAAATTAGATTATTAAATTTGTTATTTAATTTTAATATTAATATTTAAATAAAGAGTAGCTTTTACCGTTGATGACAAAGTTATATTTATGCCATTTAGTTAAAGATTTTAGTTAAAATAAATTACATATTTAATAAATTAATAAAATTAAAAATTTATTAACTAAAAATGTATTAAATTTACATAAATTTACTTGTGAGGCTTTTGGAAATATGAATACGGAGATTCAAAAATCAAAGGTATTTTAATACTACAGCTATTTTTGTTTAAAATATTAAATTTTTAAAAATAAAAATCAATGAATTAGTAGATATTTTATATATAAAATTCAAATATTAAATAAATTATGCATTTTACATTTTTTCATTTTTATTTTTATTATCCATTTTATATTAAATAAAGTTATTGGTAAATAAATTTATTGTAGATTACCTAATTAGATTTTAATTAATTAAAAAATATATGCATGTATTATAAGGTCAAAAACAATGACCATCAACCCTATCTTATCAGCTAAGTACGATGACATAGGTATTTATAATATGTATATTTAATTATTTAAATATAATTTATATAAATATATTTGTTTAATATAAATAAATTATTAGTTTATATATTATTGATGTTAATTAAATTAATAAAAATAATAAATATTTACATGAAATATGAGAAAAATTAAAAAAAAGATAGCCCAAAAACGCCTAATTGGGATAGTGCAAAAAGACACTGGACATGTAGATGTGAAACAAATGAAAATAATAGAAATTCTTCAAATATGTAAATATTAATAAAATTCTTCAAATAAATATTTAAATAAATTGATTGCTTCGAATACATAATGTATATTTGAATAAACTAATGTTGATCAGACTAATAAATAGATAGTGAAGGATAAATTGATAGTAAAATTTAAATAATTTGCATAATATTAATTTTTTATTTAATTTTGATATTGATACAATTAGTGGCAAATCATAATGACAGATTGTTCATTATGCCAGCTAATTAAAAATTTTAAAGTAAAATATTTAGGAATATTATAAATTTAATTTAATTAATACAGCTTAAAATTTATAAAATTAAAATGTATTGTTTGATAAATTTACGTGTGAAGTTCTTGGAAAAGTGAGTCTGCTGATTCAAAAAATAAAAAGATTTTTAATGCATATAAAAGTTTTTTAATTAAAAAACAAATATGAAGAATACATTGACGAAGTGTTTCTTCTGCAGCAAATTACATAAAATTTTAAATAAATTTAAATATTGTTATATTAATATTAAAATATCTAATTGAATTATGTAATAAATTAATTTAAATATATTCATTATTGTTAGAATTTAATGTAGAAAATTATTAAAAATAAATATCGATATTAAATAAATTAATTAAATATGATGATTAATATTAAATATATGATTAAATATTTAATAAATACAAATATGTTGAATGTTTCATCAGCTACAAGTGATGATAGAGTGTGTTCCACTTCACAAATTTAGTTAAAAAATTATAATTACAATTTAAATAAATTTATGTTTTTATGTGTAAATATTAAAATATTAAATCCGTTTAATTGATAAAAATTAATATTAATGTATTGAATTATTAGATTGAAAAAAAATCAGGAGATATGAGCTACAACGTATACTTAATAACAAGTATTTTAAATTAAAAATAAATAGATTATTAGATTTTAATATTTATTAAATAATAAAAATAAAGATTGATGAGTTTTGAAATTTTTTATTTTTCTTGATTATCTAAAAAAGTTGAACTAAATATTAAATAAACATGTTTATTAGGTAAATATATAAAAAACTAGGTAAAAATTCTATCATTTATTTCAAAATAACTTAATTTGGCATGGATCATTAACAAAATTAATAAAATAAAATTGATACATCAACTAAATTTATGTATTTTATTAAGGTTTATGATTTTATTCAATTAATAAAATTATGTGTATCGATGTAGTAGCAATAAAACAATTCTGGATTTTTTATAAGTTTTTTAAAACGTAAAATTAAAAATATTAAATAAATTTATATACATATTTTATTAAATTTAAATATTTATTGACTGATAAAATTTCATTTTAAATCTTCATTAAAAGTAGAGAATGATAGATGAAAGGTGTAATTTAAGAAACAAAACATGATTGACGGTTTCACCAAATTTTTCGTTTAACCAAAACAAAACCGAGGATTTTCGGTTTTGTTTGAAACCGATAACATTAAATGTGGCAACAAAATACACTGATTTTGGTGTTATTTAATTCTTTTAATTGAAAAACTATTTTCAGTTAAGAAGTTAGAAATTTTTTGCGAATTTACGAAGTTAAAAACCGAAAAAACAAAATGATTTTAATTTTTATTGCCGGTTTTTAAATTCGGTCCAAAACCAACGGTTTACGTTTTATATTGAGTAACTTTAACTGAATAATTGAGTTTTTATTTTTTTAAATTTAAAATAAAAATTTTCTACCCACTTTTAAAATGTTTTTTTTGTTTCTGCCTAATGAGAAAAAAGCAGATGATATATTCTGCACTTGCTTTTTTACATAAAGGCCACCCATATATCCTCAATAACCGAGAGGGCGTGTAGTAATCCCACAAAAAGGGTTAGGGCACGTCAACAGCAGTTGTGTGCTAAAGCAAATCAAATACCTTTAGTTTAAGTGAAAAGGAATTATTTGATGAAAAAATAAATGTTTCTAATCCCACCTTACAATGTTGTAGTGGATAAAAACTTTTTTAATTTTTATTTAAGGTTTTTTTCTTTATTTTTAGTAGTAATTTATTTAAAAAAATTTTATTATTATTTATTAATTTAAAAATTATTTTGCTATTTTTTTTTAATTTGAATATTTGTTTTTGCCGAATGACTTGCCTTATATTCATGTTTAATTACCCTCTTTCGAATAATTATCCCCCCGCCCTTTTATTAATTATTCCAACTATAGAAAGTTGAAGGAATAATTAGACTCCCTACAAATACCCTCCCACACGTTACCCGAGATAATTATTCAAGAAAATAAGTTATTTTGAACTAATTCTAAAAAAATTTTCCATAACTTTAAGGATATTTATTAAAGTTAATTTTTGCCAAAATTCCTTAATAATATTAAAAAATACCCAAAAAGATATTTTTTAGCAATAAATTAGTAATTTCAAAAGGAATTTTCCCCATAAATTTAATCAATTGATCTTCTCTCTCTCATTTTACTTTTTACCAATTTATACACTTCCGGATATTTCTTTCTTTTTTTGTTTTTGCTCATTTGTTTAAATATATTTATTTTATCCAATTCATCAAATCCAAAATATTTTTACTAAAAATCTTTGACCAATAAAAACAAAAAAAACACTCATTTATTAATTATGTAATCATTCCCTCTTTATTTTTTAATTAAAAAATTATTTTGGTAAAAGAAATGAGTTATCTGGCATCCATTGTTGCCGCTCAAAATATGGGAGATTCTGATCAAGAATTTGAGGATGAAATGGAAGGGGAGATAGAATATGAGGGAGAGGGGGGTCAAGGAGAGGAGAATGAATTAAATAAAGTGGGGATGGAAGAGGAAGTAACTGACGAGGAAGAATATGAATATATTTATGAAGAATATAGTGAAGAGGAGGAGGAAGAAATTGAAAATAATTTGAATATTAGTGAGAATTGTGGTGATGATGATGGTGATAAGATAATAGTTAACAACAATTCTTCCATTTTATCAACTCGATCGGTCGTCGAAGAGGCTGTGTTAGATGAAAGGTTGCGAAGGTGATTGTTTTAAAATTTGTTTTAAAAAAGTTGAATTAATTTTTTCTTGGAGTTGGACCCCAACCGAAATATTCGACCTCTAATTTTACTTGTAGTTATTTAATTTAACACTGAGACAGATTTTCAGTTATAGCGGTAACGAGTCATAAATGGAAGTTTCCTCTTCAAAATTAAAGAAAAACTCTAATATTGTTCCTTATAATGCTATTATAACGAGGGTTTTTGGAATTATTTTCCGAATTATTAGGCAAATATTTATACATATTTAAAAATGTTTTTCTTCTTTAAATTTTAAAACCTTAATTTAAGACTAATCGAAGCACCCCAGGATGAATTTGAACGTGAATCAGCCCTGAACCTTCAATTAGGCAACAATGCTTTTTGGATACCAGATAAAGAAAATTCTTTTCGGCTTTGTAGAATAGATGGAAATGCTAATAAATTAATTTGTGAACAACAAATAGAGGTTGAAATAATTAATGAAATGGGGAATGAAAAGGAAGCAAGAGACTGCGGAGATGATTGTAAAAAGGTGAAAAATAAATTTAAAAATTTTAAAGAAAATTTAAATTAATAATTAAACAAATAATAAAATTACTAAAAGTTTTGTCGAAATATCAGGTTACTACGAGAGAAGGGTTGGAATTCCAATTTCCGATTTCCGACACCTTCATCATTTTTGACCCACTTCTGATTACTACATATGGAACACTTTTGCTTTCTATTTTTCTTATAAACTGTTTTACCCCCTCCTAAGTGTTTTGCATAGTATATACTTGCCAGATAGATTCCTTTCTTGCAATATTTTTTTATTTTTTTGTTTCCAAAAAATTCTTTTATTTTTCTTTTCATATTTTAAATTCAATTCTCTCCATCAAAAAATATTTAAAAAAAGCGTTCCACATTCACTTGCAAATTGTGTGGCTCTTAGTGAACCCAATTCCTACTAGAACCCATCTGTTATTTTTTTATTTCAACTTTTCCCTGTCCTTCCAAAAAAATCGAAAAAATGTGCAAAAAAATTTAAAGAAAAATATATTTAATTACAAAGCTGCAAAAAATATAAACAGCTGTTGTTGTTAAAATATTTTTATACATTTTTGTTTATTCTGTGAATTATATTTATTAATATATTTTAAGTTGCTAAAAATAATAGTAAAATAGCTGTAAGAAAAAATAATAAATTATTGCACCTAAATTATATTTTACGAGAAATGGCGAATTAAAAGACGTGTAAAAAACGGAATAATAAATCTTGCCTTACCTAAGCATTAACATCTTTTTTTAATTAAATTTTTAAAAATGATGGGGATCTCCAAAATAACCTAGACATCGGCCTAATAAAAGTTTTTTATCAACTAATTTCAAAGTTTGATCAGGAAATTTTTTCGGGTTTCGAGTACCCCCCCCCCCCCTCCCCACTCCTCCTTTCCTCCCCCGACCTTCCACCCCCTGACCTCGCATTCTGACCTTTTAAATTTTATTTTTTTCACTACACTAACTCTAAATTTTTCATAAATTAATTATTTTGAACTTTCAAACAAGTTTTTACTTCAAAATTTCCAATAGTAAAAAGATTTAAGAGAATAATTTTCAGCAAATCTGCATTGTTTCACGAGAATGTTTGCAACAAACAAGTGTTTCACATCTCTGCTCGGATATGACACAACTGAGCGAATTAAATGAACCTTCTGTTTTAGAATGTATAAGACGACGATATTCATTAAATTTAATTCATGTAAAAAATTTTTAAAAATGAAAATTATATTAACAGCTTTTTAAACTACCCGTTTGTTTCGAGCGTTTAAAGAGCTGTTAACCAAAATTCTACAAATTTACAAAAAAATTTAAAGACATTCTCTGGTTTATTCTGCGTTGTTGTAAATCCATGGAAAAATCTTCCAGGTCTTTATTCAAAAGAAATGCGCAATATTTATGCCAAAGCCTGCACAACATCTACAGAATTACCCCCACATGTATTTTTTGTTGCCCAGAGTGCTTTTGATGGAATATGTTCTCCACCTTCAGTTATAACTTCCCAATCTATATTGATAACGTAAGGGTTTTTTAAATAAAAAGTTCTGTCGGACTTCGCTTAAGATATCCCTCAAATTAAGATGTCTCTTAAAATTTGGTTAGTCACCAAATAGGCCTGTCCAAGCGATGGACCCAAAATTAGATAAAGCTCACAAAATAAAATTTTCTAACAATAAAATTTCCTGCCATAGGAGGTCTGAATTTCAGAAAATTTTAAGAATACTTTAATACTAACACATAAAAAATAAAATATGTAAAATCTCCAAAACAAAGTTAAAAGAATTTTGCAAAATGTATTTTTTTCAGTGGAGAAAGCGGTGCCGGCAAAACAGAAAATACAAGAAGAATAATTGAATATTTAATTAATGTTTCTGGAAATTATTCACAAAAAACACCAAATTTAAACGAGGGCAGAAAAAGCATAGATTCTGCCCTGTTAGCAGCTGGGACAGTTTTAGAAGCTTTTGGAAATGCTCAAACAATACATAATGATAATAGCTCTCGTTTAGGAAAATTTATAAGACTTGAGTTTGAAAATGGTGGCAGACTACGATCAGCATGCATCGATTGCTGTGGGTAAAAATAAGTTAATTAATTAAAAATTTTATCTAAAAAATTGTTTTATGATGAAAATAAAGGAAGGACATCGCTTAAGCGGATTGACAGCCCTATATTGCCAACCAAATTTAAAAATGCATCTTAAATATATCTATTAGGAATGAGATAGGTTGAAAATAAAGTCGGATCGGGTTTCAAAATTTTCTCCGGATCGGTAACCCCTCCCATCCCTGACGGGGTTTATCCAGAAGGGAGGTTCTACTCTAAAAGCAATAATAAAAATAAAATTATTTTTTAAGATTTATTGGAAAAATCTCGCGTTGTATGCCAGAATCCGGGAGACAGGAATTTCCATATTTTCTATCGACTTCTCAAAAATTCTTCGTTTTTGGCATCTGATAAGGCTCAAAAAATCGCAAATAAAATATTTGGATATTCTTTAGTCGAAGCTGATTTATTTAGATTTTTGAATCAAGGGAATATTGCCGAAAAGAGTGTGCATGCTAAATTTGTTGATGATCTGGAAGGAGGACGTGAGACTGAGGTGGGGTTCTTATTCATTGAAGTGATAATGGTGTGGCATGATAAACAAATTCCATAAGTCCAAGTTAAAGACACCTTGTTCTTGAGTGACTTGAACAAGGCCTCGGTCCTGGAAACAGTCTTTTAGTCTTTAGTTTTCGAAAGTTTTTGTTTTGGTCACATCTACGTGTTACCTTTTAATAACGGTTATAATTAATTAAACCCACCGGCAATTCTTTACCTAACGCTCTCAAAAATTTTTCTGATAAATTTCCAGCAAGCAATTGATCAATTAGAATTTACATTGAATGAAAAGAGTTGGATTCGAGAATTAATGTTTGCCTGTATTTTAATTGGCCAAATACGTTTTGGAGAACGTTCGGGGCTCGATATGAGTTATGTAGAGGAAATGTTGGAGATTGAGGCTGTTAGTGAATTACTTGGACTTAGCCATTCGTCTCACCTTGTGGATGCTTTAACTCAACCAAGTATTAAAGTTGGAGATGTTTTTATTAAAAGGTGGGTTATTATGAGGGAAGGAGAAGGAAGATTAAGGGAACAAATAAAATATTAGCCTTAGTCAATGGTTAACTTTGGTGAGCTTCTCTATAGCAGAGGTCGGTCGGAACAGTCAGAGGTGTCGGAAATCGGAAGATCCGGAAATCGGAACTGGCTCAAAAGTCGGAACTCGGAAATCAAAATTTTTTTCGGAAATCGGAAGGTAAAAACGCCGGAAATCAGAATTCCGACCCACCTCTGCTCTATAGTATATAGGAAGGTTTATGTTCCAGGGAGAGACTTTTTGTCAAGTTTCCTTTACTCCAAAATTATTTCCCTTTACCATAATCATTAATACCCATATTATTTTAAAGGAGCCAACCTTTACGTAAAACACAAGCATCTGCGCAAGCTTTAGCTAAATGTTTATACGAAAGAGTATTTAATTGGATATTAGCAAAATGTAATAAAGCTATTGGGATAAATAATAATGAGGAAAATGAAAATAAAGAAATGAAAAATAATAAATTTATTGGTGTTTTGGATATGGCTGGATTTGAAATTATGGAAAGAAATTCGTTTGAACAGCTTTGGTAATTTTTAAAGAACTTGATTAAAATTACACTTGAATGTGAGATAAAATTGAGATGAAATTCATGTTTATTTGTTATTAGGCGCATCTTTTAATGGGCCCAAGACTAAAATAGACCAGAAAATTTTATTTAAATTTTTCTATTTTCAAAAAAAATTACTAAAAAGTTTTCTAAAAAAATTTTTTTAATTAAATTATTCAAGTATAAACTTCACAAATGAACGTTTACAACAATTTTTTAATGATTTTTTGTTTGTTCGAGAACAGCAAGAATATACTCGTGAAGGTATTCAATGGACAGAGCAATCTTATGGAGATGATCTCCAACCTACAATTGACTTGATTGAGAAGGTATGGAAAAATAAAAAATTATATGTTGTCAATTAAATTTAATTAATGGCTCAAATTCAGTTTTAACATTTTATTAAATCTCAGTTTAACTAATAGCAAAAATTGAAATTTTCGTTCGTCAACTACCCTACATATTCTATGCATTCACTTTATAAATTTTTTCTGTTCAGCCTTTGGGAATACTTTCATTATTACAAGAAGAATGTATTGTGCCTAATGGTTCAGAACTTTCGCTTTTAGAGAAAATGTTTCAAAGATTGTCTCATACAGCTCCATCTGTGTTTTCCAAAGCAAAACAGACATCTCGGTAACATCTTCATTTTCCCCTCTTTTACATATTTTTTAAAATTTAAACAGAACATTAAATTCCGGTCATTTCACAATTTGTCATTATGCTGGTTCTGTAATTTACAATGTCGATGGATGGCTAGAAAAAAATCGGGATTCTGTCGATTCAAATATTTTACAAGTTCTGGCCAATTCCCAACATCCTTTAATTTTCCAACTTTTTACCAATTCTCAATTAATTTATTCAAAAAGAAAAGGCCCAGCAATGGCACAAGCAAGCATTAGCTTTGTTTATAGAGAACAATTAAATAAATTACTTGAGACTATTAAACAAACTAGGGCACATTTTATTAGATGTATTGTGCCTAATCATCAAAGAATACCCTTTCAGGTACTTTTGTTGGATTTTTGAATAAAAATTCAAAAAGGAATTTTGCCATAATAGCTAAATTTAACTTAATAAAATTTTTGTCCTTAAACGTGTAAACTTTTTCCAAAATTTTAGTTGAACGGACCTCTAGCAATGCATCAATTAAGGTATATTTTTAATACACTAGATTAGGGTTGCCAGCTCGAGAACCAAGCCAAAACCAAAGCTCAAACGTCGGCTCGAACCGAAAACGGCAACCCTACACTAGATCATAAACTCTCCTTTAGCACAGAGTGAAAATCATTTATCAAAGTTAAAAAGGAAAGTCTATTTATTAGACTTGCTGTATCCGGATATGTGAAGATGTCCAAAGATCAGCCAACACTATGCAAAACTATATTAATTCTTAATTCCTAACTATGCTTTAAAGAGCTTTTGATATATTTAATAGTCCTCTTCCAGAACCCGTTCCAAAATTATTTAAAAGCTTTTACTTTGTTCTAATTTACATAATTCAATTAAAGGTGTAATGGTGTATTGGAAGGTATAAGAATATGTCAAAGAGGTTACCCAAATCGAGTTCGCTTTGAAGAATTTATCTCTCGATATCGAATTCTTTCATTTAAAAGCCAAGAATATCAACAGAAAAAATTATTAAATGAAGATCCTAGAATTTTGGTTGGAAATTTATGTGAGGACTTGGAACTTGACGAGAAACGATTTCAGGTGTTTAAAATATCCCTAATTACACGAAATATTTTTAAAAAATTTTGTGATAACGTAACGTTATATAATCTCTAAAATTATTTAAAAAGATTGGAAGAACACGATTATTTTGTCGAGTTGGACTTCTTTCTGAATTAGAATCTCGTAGACGAAACAAACTAAGCCAAACTTTAACTGATTTACAAGCTTATATTCGTTGGTATTGGGCACAAATTGAATTGAAACGGAGGAGGGATGAATGGTTAGTTTGTATTAATTAATATCGAAATCATAAAAGCCTCCATTGTCGAGACCAGAAATTTAGTTTTTAGAGCATGGACTTTTTAAAAATAGGACCAGAAACCTTTGAATTACTGATCATTCGAGGCTTAAAAAAATTTCATTTTAAAGGGAATCATTATTAACAATTCAACAATCACTTCGTTACTATATTCAACTAAAATCTTGGCCTTGGTATAGACTTTATCAAAAAGTATTTCAATTAATTCCTCTCGTTTTGGATAAACGGAGATTGAATGAATTGTTGGCAGAAAACAATGAACTTAATAGAAAACTTGAAGAAAGTAATGAAAAATTGCAAAAGACAAAAAGAGATTTGAGTGAATTTAGGTGGGAGAATAATTTTTAAATTGCAAGAGCTAAACTCATTGTTAGTTATACCAAGGTTGTTGGAATTGGGCAATTATTCCCAACAATTATTCTGAAACCCTGAAACCACAGATCACGGTTCGCCTTTGGCGAACTTCAATAAGAACTGTGGGGCGACGTCTTAACGATACGCCCTAGTCCCCTTATGTCATATTTAAAGAGAATCTACAAACAATAATAATAGAGATGATTCCGAGAGTATAGAAAACCTTAATTGTATGACTGACTTTACGTTCTCAGAGAACCCAAAAACAGCTTCAGATTTATTTGGATATCTGTATCATAAAGGCACCGAAACTGGTTTTAAAAAGCGAAAATTGAAGGTACACCCTCGCCCTTATACTATATACTCTATAAATTAATAAACACAAAGGTTAAAAATTTTGTAAAAAAAAGTGTTTTTTAAGCGAACGCTTAGAAAAATCAGAAAAATCCAGAGAAGATGAACTCTCAAAAACTCAAGAATTACGTTCAGAATTACATTTAAATGAAGAATTATTGGAAAGAATGGAAAGAAAATGGGATGAACAACATTTAAAAGTTATGAGATTAAATAACACTTTAGGGGAACAAACTAAAGCTATTGAAAGATTGGAGGAGGAAAGAAATGGATTAAATAAAGAAAATGAAATGGTAACTTTTAATTTAAGGAAAATATTTAATAAGCTCCGTCTTCTTTTTTTTAATCGGCTGGACATCCCTGATCAACGGCTATTAATCCTTTGCTTATTTGAAGTAATACATATAAAGTTGGACTAAGAGTCTATTAATTAGTGTTTCAGCGGATCGAAAATTTGAAACCGGATTCAATTTGAGTTCCGGATTCCGAAACCAAAACCAAAAATCGCAGGAACTTTCCGGAACTGGAGTCGGAACTTCAGGTTCCTGTCATAAACTTCTTTCGTATAAATTTAGCAAAACTCAAGAGCTTTATAAGCATTTTTAAATAAAGTCGAGTTTCTCTAAAACATTGCCTTCGGGACCGAAATGAGCCGAGGTGAAGGGAGGTGTTATTTGAAGGGAGTCAAATCACACTAGGACATCGCCTCATAACCTAATTTACTCGACATGTGAAGGGAAGTTCGTTTATTTATTTAATCATTTTACCAGTTAAAAGAAAATTATCGTCTTGAATGTTTGGAACGTCTATCAGTAGAACAATCATTAAATAGTTCACAGGAAGAAAGTTCAAAATTGCGTGTAGAAGCAACAGAAATGTTAACAGAAATAAGCCGTTTACGTTCAGAAATTAATTTAAGAGATGAACAAATACACGAACAAAAAGAATTAATTAACGAAAATTTAATACAAATTGGGGATTTAAATAATTCTATTTTTGAGGCTAATGAAAAATTAAATGAATTACAACCTTTATTGCATTCTGAGAAATTGGCTAGAAGAAGAGCTGATAATTTAGCTGATGATTTAAGCCAAGAATTGAATAAAATGGGGGAGGAATTAGATAAAGTTAATGGAAAAAGAGATGCTATGGTGAGTGAATATGCATCTTTTGGTTGTCTTGAACCCATTAATCATCCTTGAAAATCATTTTTCCAATTCAACACCATAGTGATACCGGGGATCTGGCCGACCCCAATTCACAAAAATAGGGAATCTCGATGTTTTTCGGGCCTGGAATCCCTGATACTGAAATCGCGAATTATAATTTACTCATGAATTCTCGTTTCCAAAATCAAGAATTCATTTTTTATGTCGATATATAGTGGGTACTTAAAATGAATAGAGAAGGGCAATTATGATAAGTTTTTGTTGTTTTCTAACCTTCAGAAACCCCGACCAAGTCTGGCTTAAAGGGATAAACTTTGATAACCTAAATATAATAGCAACAGTAGACTGAGAAAATCACAAAACTGTTGGGGAGGGGGATAGGAAAGTGTTGCAAGTTTCACTTACAAAAAAAAAGGTTTCACTTTGTTAAAGCTTGACCGGAAAGGATGCAAGAACAATAGAAATATTTTAAAATACTAGCAAAATACCCATTAAAAAATTTTTATTCAAATAGAAAGAACAATTACGTGCCCGTGAAGTCCAAACAAAAAAATTAGAAAGAAAATTAGAAGATAAACAGGCAGAAATGGATGAATGTGTTTGTGAACTTAAAAAAGCCCATAAACGTATCCAAACAGAATTACAACAACAATTGGATGATTGGAGAAGAAAAGGTCTTCGTTTAGAAACAGAAAATGCCCAATTAAAAGGAAAATTAGAAGCAGCAGAAATTAAAGAAAAAACTTTGGAAAGAAATAATAGTGGAAATTTAAGGAGTGCAACTGGACGTTTTGGGAGTTTACAGGCTACACAAGAAAGAGATTTGAGGGATTCTAGTGTTGATTCTGATGTTGGGATTGTTGGGGGAGGTGAATGAATGTTAATTATTTTTGATATTATTTTTATTGAGAGAGGGCGACTTTTTATTTTATTGATGAATCTATTTAAGAGATAATTGAGATAACTAGACTTGAAAGACGAAGTAGATATCTCGAAGGATTTTGATTCTTGATAACTAAAATTTTTGTAAGGTCCATCTTTAGTTTTGTTTCTTATAAACCTCTATTTTTCGATAATTTCCTAACGGCCTATTTATTAGAGGCGAGTGAGGGGCTCTCAATTACCTATTTCACTTCCTACTACAGTTACTGACGGTCGCTCTTTAAATCATTGAAAGGATAAAAATTGGACAAGATCATAGAATCATTTCAATGAGTTCCCTCGAGAGTAGTGTTTTAGAGTTCCAGGGATTCCAATTTAATTCAAATGTTTAGAACATTTTGCTAAAGTTTATTTTAAGGACTATTTCGCCCGTCTTATTCCTCAAGAAATACTACATTAATGTCAGCTACCGTTTCCTCTACATGTTCTTCCTCTCTATATTCTGGAAGCTTAAGTCGTCGTTATAAACGTTATGAAACAAATAATGCTCTGTCAGAATCAACACATTCAGCAACAACTACTTCTTTGTTTGAATCTAATTTACTTCGACGTTCGGGATCGAGAACTTCTTCAATGGGAAATTTGTCTTCTTCTGTTTCTTCAACCTCTTCTTCTCTACGCAGGGCAGCGGTTGCTAATTCTGCTGCAATGGTTTGCACAAAAACCTAAAAAAATATTCTTTGCTTATCCAAAGGGGCTTTTTTCTCAGTACACTTTCAGCAATTTTCTGTTTAACTAGAGAAGGAAAATAGTGTTGACGTTAGAAATAAAAAGGAAGTAATTGTAGAAATAAAATTTTAGAGAAGGATGAGAGAAAATGCGAGGGAGTACTCATTTTTCCTTTCCAAAACTGCTTTCCTCACAAACTGACATTTTCCTCCTTTAAATATTTAATAGGTTCTGGGTATTTGTCCTCTCTGAAACTTACCTGGCTGGGGCGCTCATGCGATCACGAAGGCATGGCGTCTGTGGTGAGACTTCCCCATTGCACTTAAGGGCGAGGTTGACCCGCAGGGCGGCTCCGAACTGGGGTAGGCCCACAGCTAAATTTTTGAGTGTGGGGGACAGCGTTCGCGCTTCCCCCTTAAAATCTTTGTCTTAGGAAGATAATGTAGAAATTAATTCAATGTAATTCTTTTATTAAAGTCAAGTTTGTACTTTTTAAAATTAGAGCCGGTCTCCATCAATTGCTTAATTCCTTTTCATTTTTCATAGATAACTTCATTAACTGCAACAATCGATTCTGGCCTTCTTTCACGTAGCCCTTCAGCTGCATCTACCGTTTCTGGATGTGTTGCTAACACAAATAATTCTTCTGGCACTAATTATATGCAAAGCCTTTCTCAGCGATTAGAAGGCGCCGAAAGACGGTTACTTGAAAAAGAAAGGGAAATACAGACTGCTAAACAAGATACACAATTAGCAAGGAGAGAATTGGATGTCTATAAACAGTCTTTACAAGAATCTGAAAGGGTACTTAAATATCGGTAAATGTTAACATTTCCTTTGTATAGTCACGCGATTCGTTAACCAAACAATGCCGTCAACTTACCTCGGAACTTGAACAAATGGGCAAAAAACTTAAAGAAGAGGAGGAGCATTTCCAAACCGCTCAATTTGAGTCAAGAAAACAATCAAACGAGTTTATTATTTTAAAACAAAAAATTGAAGAGTTAAAAGAAGAAAATGAAGCAGAAATGGCCTTAGAAAAGTATAGAAAAAAATAAAAATATTTTTTTTACAAATTTTAAATTTTGTTAGGAAAAGAAATTCGGAAAAAATGGAAAAGTTGGTTTATGAGGTTGGAAAAAATAACAAAAAAATTTAATTTCCTTTCATTAGTACGAATCACGCATTCGCCAATTTGTTAATGCCCAACGCAGTCAAGAACAATTACTTGAAAGACTGACTGAATCTGAATCACAATTGGGTTGGTTCAAAATACATTCTTAGAGACACTCTTAGTTTTGAGAAACAATAATTGGGCTATTATAAAATCTTGAATTTTTTTGAAAATTTCTAGTCTTCCAACGAATTTTCATTTTTAAAATACCCACCAGTGTTTGAATTTTGAAATTTGCTCGTCTCGTACTTTCGTACAGGCCTTTTTTACGTACTCGTACACAGGTACGAGTACGAATTTTGGTACGAACTTCCAAACACTGATACCCACTCGAAATTTATAAGGAAAATTGGGGGGGGGGGGGTCCTATCATTTTGTTACAGAGTGTACATATACCTAATCGGCATTTCTCGATTTATTTTTCCTTATTCAAGCTTAATCCCTATACTGAAGACTAATTTATTTTGCAACATTATTGTTTTTTGTTTATAATATTGAGTATTTATTTTAATAAGATAAAACGCAATCACAATTGGCTCACATGGAAAGACTACAACGTACACAATCTGCTATAGGAGAAACTTGGGAAGCTCAATACCGAACCGCTCAGTCTGAATTGGAGGGTATTAGGGATGAAAATGCTGCTTTAAAGAGTCGGATCCGAAGGCAGAAGAAGCAAATTGAATTGCTTACACGTAGGGGGAATTTTAATTGAGAATATATTCCTCTCCTATTTAGAAGAAAATGAATTATCTGAAAGAGTAATTGAACTTGAGAATAATGTTGGGAGAGTACAAAATCGTCTTCAAAGTGACAAATCTGTGAGTGAAAGTTGCACGGAACATGCAAATGGTTTTTATGTAGCAAAAGAAGAACAGAAAAATTCTGGAATATTTGTAGAGGAAGAAAGAGGAAGTGAAGTACCTATATTTACCTACTTTTAAAATTGATATTAGCAGATAATTTCTAGTCACTGCCTTGTTACAAATTTTAATAAAAAAATATTTTTGTTTGATTTATTCAAAAATTTTCAAAATTTTAACAAAGATTGCATGAATTAGCACAAATACGTTTCTTTAAATCATTGTTAAATAGACGATTCTCACAAAATCCGCGTTTGGCCCAACGTTCACATCTGATTTTAAAAATTATGGAAAAGTCAAAATTTATTTTTAAAAAATTCAAAATGTTCAATCCCCAAAATTAGAGAGCGAGATTTTCAAAAAACTTTGATCCTTGACCTCGATTTCGGTTGGGTACATTGACCAGATTCTTGACCTGTGCCAAGGAAAAATCAAGGAACGCTTAAAAATGCCTTAATCTGGACTCTGGATCCTGGAAAAGATCATGTTCTGGATCCAGATCCAGCCCGCTCTCTACTCAAAATACTCAAATTTTCAAAACACTGAATTAGTAGATTTTCAAAAAAAAAAATTTTTTGCTTACCGAAAGCTTTTATCGCTACATTCAGTTTTCTTAATTATATCTTTATCGTCTTCACTCTCTTTCGCCTCTTCTAAACTACTTTCTTCTTCACTATTTTCCCCTTCACTACTTGTTTCTTCTTCACTACTACCACCTTCTTCTTCATTTTCTCCACTTTTAATTTTTTCTTCCTTCTTTTTATTTTTTAAATAAATTTTACAAGTACAGTCACAATTTTCTTTCATTAATTCTTGGTAAGGCTTTATCCCACAAAATATATTATTTTCTAAACAATTTTCTGCCAAATCTACACACTCATTTTCTTCCTTATTTAATCCCTCTTTGTTGCTTTCCTTTCTGTTTTTATAGTTTCTTTTTAGTTTAAATTTTAAAAAATTATTTTGCTGTCTTTCTTTCTCCAAAGCCTTGAAATAATAAAAAATTTTTGATTTAAAAATATTTATTTATTTACCTTCCTTACTGCTTCCCTTGAAACGATTTTGAACTCTTCAAAAGCTGTTTGCAGCAAAATTGGAAATAAAGACAATTCATTCCACGGCGCAAATTTGTTGGTCTTTAAATAGTTTTTGTCGACTTCGTTTTCTCTAGAAAAGTCTTAAAATTATTCAAATCGAAAATCTATATTCGAAAACTAGAGAGATCCCGCATGCGGGAGTAACTTCTAAAAACGCCTTCTAACTTCTAAAAACATTTATATTCCCGCGGGAATACTTCCGCAAAATCCCGCACTCCCGTAAAACCCCGCAAATCGTAAAAAGTGCGGGATTGAGGGAGCGGTATTTAGCAAAATCGCGCGAAGGGTCCCATCCCGCGCCGACCTCTACTATAAACCGCTTACTTGTTCCAATTTTTAACACCCTCAAGAGGGATTTTATTCCTCCAAGTTTCAATTAATAAATCATTTCCCTCATTCTTTTCTTTATTTTCTCCTCTTTTTTCATTCCTTTTTATATAAAGTTTTTCCGGAAAGTTTTGTTCTTCTTTGTTTTTATTTCCCTTGTTGTCCTCTTCTCTTTTATTGTTCTCTCTTTTAATCTCTTCCGGAATTTCCGACTTTTCTCTGTTATCTTTTCCCTCTTTAATTAATTTATTGTTACTATTTCCCTCTTCTTTTTTCTCCCTTTTCTTCTCTTCCAATTTATTTTCTTCATTTTTAATAATAAAAGGCTTATTCAAGTTAGCATTTTTCCTTTTTTCTTCATTTTTCCCTTGAAGTTGTTTTTCCTGTTTTGTGTTAAATGAAGGTTTAGCTTCAATAGTTGATGACCCAAGACTTGAAAACGGATTAGTACTTTCTTCTTTTTTCTTTTCAAAAGTTATTTTTTCTTTTATTTCATCCCCATTTGGTGCAAATTTGCTTAAAAATATGTATATTATTATAATTTTTTCATTAAGTTAGGAATTTGATTTATTTGTAAATTTTAAAGTTTATACCAATCTTTAGTAACCTTAATTTTAATTAGTTGGTTTTCGTTATATGTATTTACCCATAAATTCGCAAATCTATTATGGTTGGGGTTGCCAAAATGGCCCGACTGGACCGAAAGATCGAGTCGGGCCTAAAATATTTGGCCCGAAAAAGTCTCGATGCCCGACTTGATAAAATTGAAGCCCGAAAAAAATGATTCGACTGTCGGCCCGACTCGAAAACGGCAACCCTAATTGTGGTAATAGAATTTTCTAACGGAGTATAATATTAAAAAAATATTGTGCTAAATTAGCGTGAAAATCATCTAAAAATCCCACAATCGCAAGTTCAAAAAACCTCCCGACAATTCAATTTATACAATTTTATATATTATATTCTATTTTCTGATAAAAAATAAATTATTAATTTTTACATATTTGTTCGTTGATCGTCGTCCTGTTTTGCAATCTCATTAACTTTTGACTGATTATTTAGAACAACTTTAGCAAAAATTGGATTTTTCGGATTATTAACCAGTCGGTGTCCATTTACTACCAACGGGACAAATTGTCTTTCAGTACCCTCAGAATTTTCGGAAATTAAAGAATTTTCATTATTTAATTGTTTATTTGATTGGAGGTTGGGGGATTTTTGTGAATTTTGGGGCAAAATTGGCGGGACTTGGGCAAACGCAAGTAGTTCAGAAGGTTGCCCGTCGAGGACATTAAAAGAGCCAAATGCAAGGAAAAATGAATTTAAAATTAGAAAAATGGTTAAAATTGAGAATTTTAGGGAAATCTGAGTCATTTTAATTAATTTAAATTAAAATTTTTGTGGAAACTAATTAAAAATTAATTTTTCTCTTCATTTTTATTTGACAAGAATTTTGATTTAAAAAACAAAAAAATAGAAAGTATTGTGAAATTTGTTTGAAATAAAGATAAAAATAGAATAAAAGGGGTGAAACAAAGGAATTTTTAAATGGATAAAGGATAAAAATACAAAAATAGAAATAAATAAAGAGAGATGATTTTTAAAAAATAAAATTTTAAACAAAAACAGATTTCTTTATTTTTAGAAAAATTTCAAAAAAAATATTTTTCATAAAACAAAAATAATATTTAGTAATTATTTTTAGAAAACAAAAGAATATTGAAAATTAAATAAAATTTGTGTATAGCAACATTTAATTAATTTTGTATTCCAAAATTCTCCATCATTTTTGCCATCTTAAAATTTAAAAATATTTTATTTTTACTTCTAAGAATTTTTTTAATAAATTCTTTTCTAAAAACAACATTCTTCGTTGTTGAAAATATGTATTTCCGAACAAAATAGATACACCTTATTTAAAATACATACATGCTTTGAAGTCTGAAGGTCACTGAATATGAGAAGCTGTCTAAGGTACCTTTTATTTAAGGTATATCTCATTATCAGTATACCTCATTCGATCCTGCCTCTAGCAAGTTTAATTTTATTGAGTAACCATCAAAGTACAGAAAAAGTACAATTATAAAATTAAATTAAAAATTGTCAATTTATTTAAAATAAACTTTCATAATCTCCCTTTTTAATTTTAAATTATTATTAATTTTCTTTTTCTTGCCATAATGAATAAAACAATTTGTCTAATCATTTATAAATTTTGAAATATTTTCTTTTAATAATTTTTTTACAATTTCTTTTAATTATTCTTAGGATTTTACTTTTTCTTTTTTTAAAAAATAAATTAACTGAGGAGATAGTCTATAGTAGTGTTAGGCACGGTTCGGTACTACCGCGGTACTACCGTCAGTACCGGACCGGTACTTTTCGGTACTACCGGTACCGGTACCGTACCGGTAAGATTTTTGGATTTTCGGTACTGACCGGTACCGGTACTTTTCGGTACTACCGGTACCGGAACCGTACCGGTCAGCTTTCCAGTACCGCGGTACTACCGGTTTTTCGGTACTGGAAAATTCTAAGAAAAAATGGAAAATATTATCATATGGACTTCCAAAATTCCTAGAATTTTCACACGAAGCCTATCAAAAATCGAAAATTTTTGCCTGCGGCGCTATAACAAGAAGAAATCTTGGCTTCTTGGCCTTCCAAAATTTTATTTTTTTGGAATTTCATGGTCCATCTCCTCAAATTCCTGTAAACCCCGATTAAGGTTAAGAATATCATTAAAGTTAAGAATACTTAAGAATACTCACATTCTCTGATATGCCCCATACATATATCTAAATGAAAAGCTCTTAAGCGGATATTTTAGGCTAACAGATATAAATGGATTTGCGGGATTAACAAGGATAAAAGAGGATTTGTGATGTTTAAAAGTAATATAGAGGGATTAGGGAGATTTCTAAGGATATTAGATTAGGTATATACTGGTGTATTTTTCAGTATTTATATGTAGGGGGATTAAGATGGATATCGGGGAATTTTGGAAAGGATATCAGAGGATTTGGAGAGATATCGAAAGAATAAAACAGATATGGTGGATTTAGAATCATGTAATAAAGGCATTACATCTCACAAAGGTATCTTAATCCGATCAAATCCAGCGAAATCCCCCTATATCCCTCTTAATCCCCTAATATCCCTTGATATCCCAACTAACAACGATCATATAGGTATATAGAACTGTTACACATCAATTAGCACATTTATAAGGCCATATTTGGGATATTATTTCATTTTATTTTCAGTACCGGAGTACCGCGGTAGTACCGGAAATTTTTTTCCGGTACTGACCGGTACCGGTACTTTTCGGTACTACCGGTACCGGTACCGTACCGGTCAGATTTTGGGATTTTCGGTACTCGTCCGGTACCGGTACTTTCCGGTACTACCGGTACCGGTACCGGAAAAATCCATTTGCCTAACACTAGTCTATAGAGGATTTTGCGGGATCCCGCAACACGATTTATCGTATGAGATATTTCGAAAGATCTCGATCTCAATAATCGTGATTTTTGTTCGAGATTAACTTCTTAATATTTTTCCCAACTAATTTCTGAATTCTTTAGTAAAAAAAGAAAGTTTTAAATTATCCTTTATAGTTTAGAATTTGTTTTCTTGTTTTATACAATGCATTGAGTCATAGAATTTTTATAAATCTCCCAAAAATGTCAAGCTGGTTCCAGGACCGTGATAGCTTTTAGCGCTGCAGTGCTGAAAAGTCGTTTCTCTTTCATTGCAATAAAATATTCGACAATTTTGCCCAGTCATTTAATCATGCGCATTTTAGCATTTGCCATATGATGGCAGGGGGAGAGAGGCAAGGCGAGAGAGGCAAGGCCTGCCATTTAATCTCTTAGAATTTATTTTTATTTTCCCTTTAAAATTTTAATTGATTTTAATTTTTAAATGATTGACAGTGAGGGGAATTTACATAGCATTCTTAATTTTTTAAATTTAAAAAAAAATATTTTTAATAAATAAATAAAATAAAAATTGTTAAAATTATTTTTCTAATTACAGCAAAAAATAACTTTGAAACACTAAAATATTTCTGTCCATTTAAGGACACATTTGTTAATAATAGGAGTCTCCTATTTGTGCTATATTTATATTTTATATTTATTCCCATTTTCTTTTAGGGGAATTTTAAATTTTAAAATTTAAACAGAAAAAGTTTATTTATTCAATTAAACATGAAAATGTTTATATCTATTAGCAGTAAGTTTTATCTTTTAATAATTTAAATTTTGATTTCCATAGTCCTAAATCTAATTATATCCTTACTTTCTAAGTTATATGTTTAGGAATTTTGAAAAACCGGCCGGAAATGATCCTGACCGTGAAACCCAGTGCCTGGGAAAACAAGCATTTTCAATTTTTATTTTTCTCAGCTCTTAAATAAACGGGGACCTGAACGGGAACCGAGAATTTTGTTCAAACATTACCTCATTCTATAGAAATTATTAGCTTGTTACTATTCAATTACTTAAATACTTTGTGAAGTCTTTTTATCAATGACTTTATGCCTAATTTATTGGATATTATTATCAAAAGTTGCTCTGATAAGAACTAACTTTTTGATTTTTCTATAGCAAACAGAGGGAGAGGGGGGATTTTTTCAATAAATTTGAAAATAATCTTGAAATCTATATTTTAGTTTTCCCTGCTATGATATACTTTCTGTTACCAACATTATCTACATGTCCATCAACATCTCAAGGACCACAACCAATTAATGTTGTAACAGAAACAGCAAGTGAAGAAACTTCAATTTTGTCTTTACTACCAAGAGAGGAAAGAGAAAATTGTGAAATGTTGAAAGAATTAGACGCAGCCCAAGAATGGAGTATTACAATTCCATCAATTTTAGTGAAAGAATTTTTAATTGGTTCATTAACACCATACAAAGTTTTAGATAAGGGTTAGTTAGAATTCTTGCATTTTTATTAAAAATATACCGTATTTATTCTAATAGAATGGCCTCTCCAATAGAATGGCCCCTTTTTGGGGGTATCGAAAAATAGAATTACGGCCATTCTATTAGAATAAATACGTTATATCAAAATTTTGTTTTGTGTCCAAAATTTGTGACAAAAACTGTTAGTTGTTGGTCTGAAACGAACCGAAGAACGGAGAATTTTACGATCCGTTTCTTCAATTAGGTTTCGGATATCCGAGAGTTGTCAAACACCGACAAAACTATTCTATATTTATATTTATATACAGTGAATCTTTTGGTAATTTCTGTGTTATTAAAGGGTATTTTCTTGAGTTGAAAATTTTCGCTTTCTTCTGTCATAAAAAAATCAAAGACTTCGAGTTTTTAAGTGTCATTTTCCTTTTTTAATCTAAATATAATTCCGTAGATTTAAATAGTAAATTATCGTTTTTGTTAATAATTTTAAAAAAAGTTTAATTCAGAGGTTCATGAAGAATTAGATAAATTCAATTTTAACAATAAACTCGGAAAAGATATTTTGAAAAGAATTAACGAATTAGTCAAAATAGAGGACCATGTAATTAGAAATTTCTTTATCAAAATTATTAAAAAATTAAAAGCAATGGAAATTATTAGCAATGTTGAAATGATTAGCAAGCATTCCGAAAAAAATATTAGCAAGTATCCCGAATTAAATAAATTAATGGAGTGTTTTACTGAAACAGGAGATAAGATTGAGGTAGGATATTCGATTCATTATGTTGTTCGATTCTTTAAATGATGTTACCTGCTTGTCCGAAAATAACCTAAATTAGTCACGCTCAAATAAGGTTGGCGATTCTTTGGAAATCTCCGGATATCAGGAACCTGTATCCGAACCAAAGATTTCGGATGTCCAGAGCCGAAATATTTATTCTCAAAATATTCGCTTGTTTTAATTGAAGGATATTGAGAGATTAGGACCTTCGATTTAATAAACTCTCGTTTTAACCCTCCATATATAATCAAGAAAGTACATAATTTGCAAATATTATTATTTTTTAATTTTTAAAAATTAGAAAAATAAATTTCAGGAACTAGAAAACATAGATTTCAAAGCAAAAGTTTATTTATTCTACTACATGTGGATTTGGCAATTGATCGATTTTTTGGATCTTGATGCCATTAAACGAATTCAACTTGTCGAGGATAACAAAAACTTTCTTTATGTACCCAATCGCGTTTCTGAAGTTTTGTTTGCTGATTGGTTACAAAATAAAGTTTTGCCAAAAATCGAAGCAGAATTTATTTCACAAGTAAACTACCTATATACATATTTAATTATTATTTTATTACTTGATTTAATTAAATTTAATTGATTTACCGTTAACTTTTGCTGAAAGTTGATACTTTCATTTTTGATACTAAAGTCAATGAATTTTTTTTAAATTCCCAAATTTCGGAAATTTATGAAAATAAAATATTGAAAGTTCCCTACTATATTCTAGCCTCACTTTTGGGGCCTGAAACTCGTATCTAATTTTAGTCATCTTCTGAATTCAGCGGCCAACTAAAAGAAAAAAAAGCATTCTAAACTTGTTGGGAATCTTATGTTGGGTTACCTTTGGGTAATCTTTATTTCTTCTGAGTAGTTAATAGTAGACCTGCTCACGGATACGGATATGGATACAGATAATACCAAGATGCCTGCGGATATCCGCCGTAAATATTCGGATATGGATACCATCTGGTTAATAGAGTAATTAATTTTCATTTCTCATTCCTAATTATGATTATTTATTTATTTATTTATTCATTTACATATTTAGATAGTCAACAAAAATAATTACTATTACCTTAATTTTGGAAGCAAATATTTTCTCAAAAAAAGTTTGTCAACAATTTTAGACCAAGCTTACAAACAACCACAAATTTATATTAAAAAGGCAAAACTTGAAATTATTTTTCGATCTGACAAAAATAATAATTTCAAAAACGATATTGACTTTATGCTTGAAATTATCGTTAAAACAGCAGAAAAAATAAAAGATAATGTTTACAACTTTTTTAAAGAAAATTTTCTTAAAAAATTTAATTTTGATGAAAATTATTATAAAATGGTTGAAGAACTTGTTGAAAAACATTTTGGAAAAATTAATTATAAAAATACAATTAAAGTAGCTATTCTGCGTTTTTATCAAGAATTATATTCAAAAAACATTTTTGTTAAAGGATTATCAGATTTATTAAAAAGAAAAGCGGATGATGCGAAGAAATCTACATTTCCTCATTAGAGGACTATGTAGAGTTTTAGAGTGTCACTGGGATTTGAGTTTATTTTTTAAATTACATATTGAAAGAGCTTTTTGATGATTTTATTTAAATTATTTTTTATCTATTACACTTTATACATCCAAAATATGTTTATTAGTCTAATCAACGTTTCCGAGATGCATAAGCATTTTGTGCTGGAAATTTTGCTTATGCATCTCGGACTCATAAACGTTGATTAGACTAATAAACATATTTTGAATTTGGAGCTAATATCCTAAGGTGCTCTACCTGTAATATTTGCGGGGATATATAAAGAATGTGCCGAAACAAAATTTTATAATGTTTCGGCACATTCTTTATATATCCCCGCAAATATCACAGGTAGAGCACCTTAGGATATTAGCTCCAAATTCCAGTTAGCCTTCAGGCTAGCCTTACTTTCACTAAAAATATTTTATAGAATGGACTATAGAAATAAATTAGGTATATAGTTCATTCTCTAACATATTTTTTAGACCCCGACCACAGAAGCTCCCTACACGAAATCCAAATTTTGTCTCTGAGATATGCGAGAACCTGGGCTTGAGTCTTGATTCCAAGACTTTTCTTGGGTTTTTTTCGGTCTTGGTCTTGGGGTGAGGTCTTGGGGTCTAGTCTTTGTTTTCTTTAGTCGTTTTTTTCTCTTTTTTAAGGTCAAGTTTTAGTCTTGGTCTTGAGTCATGAAAAAATTTTCGGTCTCGCACGTCTCTATTATGTCTTATTATTTTGTTATTTTATTCTTTTACTTTCATTTCCAATTTCAAATTTTCGTTATATTTACATAGTTGCTAAGATTATTTTTCGTATAAACTCCCGTTTATTATTATGATTTAACAAGATTTTTATTAAAATTTTTTTTCAACTGAAATTTTTTAAATTACCCTCTTTTTTGTTTATTTTTTGGAAAATGAAAATTATTAAAAATATTTGTTGCAAATTTATTTATTTTACTGTTTTTGCAATAAATACAAAAAAGAGGGTTTTTATTGAAATATTTATTTTTATTTTTGGCCTGTATAAACAAATTTTTTCGGTGAATCTCTCTTTCTTTCTTGCGCAGCTGCATAAGTACAGGTCCAAGAGTCAGGTAGAAAAATGTAAACTGAAATAATTTTTTACCAAGTATCATGTCATTCTACCTATCAAGAATAGATATAAATTATAATGCAAAAAATTGCTTGGCAAAATTTTTACTAGAAATACGAGAAATCTGTGGATATTTTATTTGCCTAAATTTATTTAATAATTATTAGAGTTTGGATTTTTATTGAAAAATTTTTTTGCAAATACATTTCGCTTTTTCGGTATTATGCTTTTGAACAAGATTACATTTAAATATTATTTCAAAATTTTATCAATTTTCCCGCTATACCCTTATTAATGCAAAAAATTGTTTGGCAAAATTGTTCCTATTATTCACAATTTTGGAATTTTTATGTCCTTATTAGGCACTTTTTGCAAATTATTTCGACATTTTTACCATAATTTTGTGCTTTTTATAAATTTCACAATTAATAATTTCCCGTTAAAGTCTTACATTCTATAAATATATTTAGTGTTGATTATAGTTTTCAATATTTAGGGCATTCACTATTTTGGTGGGATATTTTAGGGGCGATATTTAGAGATGACCCTATTCAGTTAACATCTGCTACCTTATTTTTTATATTTCATTTTGTAGTCGCAATATTTGCATGTTTTGGTATCATTTGTAATACCTTTATAAATATGTTCCTTGAACCCTATGGCCTTCCGCATTTTAAAAACCGAAGGAAGAAATGTTAGGCTTTATACAAATTTTTTAAATAAAAACACACTTGATCTCGGAATGAATAAATAAAATATAAATAAATAAAATCAAAATCAAAATCAGATATACATATTTCCTTCATACTTCTTTCATAAAATCAAAATAATTTCCTCATTTAAAAAATTTCTCAAACAATTTTTGTTTTAATCTTCTTCACAAATTCTCGAATTTTTTTCTTTAAAAATATGTTTGCTTTCACTTCAAATTCCTTTTTTAATTTTAAATCAAAAAATTTATTTGGATTTTCTTTATAATTTTTCTCAAAATTTTCAATTAAATACTCCACAATTTCTATGTCATCAGTTTTTATGGGAAATTTATTTTTTAAATCTTCTTTTTCGTAGATTAATTTTATAAATTTCATGGTTGTGTGGAAGAAAAGAAGTTTACATATTGTCTCTAACTCATCCCGATTTTCCTCATTAAGACCGTCTTCATCTAATAAATTTTGTTTTAAAAATATTCGAATATTAAAAAAATTTTTAATCTGGTTGCCGTTCTTGATACATATAATTGATCAAAAACAGTAAGAGGATGTGAGAATTTTTGCGTTTTGCGTTACTTTTTGGCTGACTTAGCAGCTTTTAAAAGCGCTTAGGCGGGTGGTAGATAATAAATTATGAGAAAAAATAAAAGCTCCAGTAGCTCAGTTTGTTAAAGCATCTGCAAGGTAGTGATGTTCGAGAGTCTCGGTCTCGACTCTCGAGTCGAGAAATTTCTCGGTTTTTTTGAGCTCTCGGTCTCGGTCTCGGTCTCGGTGTTTTACTCTCGGAAAACGAGACTAAAATTACACCCCTAATGACGGAAATTTTTAAGATTTTATATTTGTACTTATATAATACACAACGGACCAAAATCTTTTTACCATTTTGAAATTTTCATGTAATTTTTTCGACACTTTGAAAAAACACTTTGAAAAAAAGAAAAGGATGAGCAGTTCAACTGAGTCGCGCGATAAAATGGATTGATCGGAAATTTTAATATCAAGTTACCAAACCAGATCTTTCTATAAATATTTTCAAACACTTTTAAATTTTTTTTAGTTAATTTATTGATTAGATTTTCTCTAGGACTATTAAAAATATGGCTGAATCTGAAATTGATAATGACAATTCGTTATGTGATGTTAATGAAACAGAGGATATAACTATTGAAAAAAATCGATCAAAACTAGACTTAACAGAACCAGCACATTGTTTTTTAAGATATTATTCCTATGTTAGAGGTGAAAAAGTTGCAAAATGTCGTCTTTGCAAAAAATTAATCGGTAGAAAGGATGGAAGCACAACAGGAATGGAACGAGCTCACGTCTTAATACAAGTTAACAAATAAAATTTATTATTAGTATCTCATAAATAAATTATATTAGGATTGCACAACAAGGTGGAACTCATCGTATTATATGATTAGAAGAATAGTTGAGCAACAACGTGTTTTGATTATGACTCAGATTGATTTTCCCGATGTGATTCTACCAAAATTTGAGCTCCTGAAAAATGTTTTAGAGGTTAATTATTTTATAAGTTACAATTATTTTTAATCACACATTTTTATAAGGTCCTAAAACCTTTCGAAATTTTCACCGAAAAATTGTCAGTACGTAAAGAATCAATATCTAGTGTGCTCCCGGCTTATAAATATCTTTTGAGCTCATTGCAAGATTCAAATTTGGATTTGCCATCGATAAAAAATTTGAAAAGTGTGATAAAATGTGGTCTTAGAAGTAGAATGGAAAAGTATGAAAATAAAAGGTTTTTATTATTCTAAGAACATATTCTTCGAAAATTAATTTAGATTTCTTGTTGTTTCGACAATTATTGACCCTAGATATAAGAATAATCAGAATATCTTCTCCGATTCAAACGATCGAATTTGTAACAAACAACTACTAATAAGCGAAATTCAATCTATACTCCATCCAGAAAGAAGGTATTCCACCGATTCACCCGACGCAAATTTTCCAAAAAATACTCACAATGGCGACGATGACGATATTCTTTCAGCATTTTTGGCTCCTACCGTTATGGAATTTGAGGACGAATTTGATTCTGGAAACAGTTCTTCACAAAAGTCAAAAATAGTTGATGATTCTTCACAAAAGTCAAAAATAGTTGATGAAGTTGAGGAATTTTTAAAGGTTTTTCTCATCCTAACTCATTTCTTTTAAAAATGTTATTAAGGCGCCACTACAAAAACCTTCAATTGATCCAATTGAATACTGGAAAGAAAATACAATTTATCCCTCAATAAAAAAAATTGTAAAAAAATATTTATCCGCACCTCCATCTACTGTTGAATCAGAACGCACTTTTTCGCATCTTAGCAATATTTATAGTGCAAAAAGAAATCAATTGACACCCGAACATGGAAAACGACAGTTATTCCTTCACTTTAATTATGATTATTGATTTTGATAAATGTTTTTTGTTTTAATTATAAAACATTAACGCGTATCAATTAAATCGGCTACATATTTATATATTGATATAAACCTATGAACTTTAACTTCAGAAATGAAATTTGTCTCGGTCTCGACTCTCGGTCTCGACTCTCGACTCTCGGTTTGGTCTCGGTCTCGGGGTTGATTCTCGGTCTCGACTCTCGACTCTCGGGATTTTTTGACTCTCGAACATCACTACTGCAAGGTGTAGGCGAGGGAGGTTGAGCGGAAACTAAGCTAACAATAAGCATTTAAATGTGGCTAAACGATACAAAAATCCCTTTGGTTAAAAGTCTTTTTAGGATAACCAAGTTCTTATGATAAGATTCATACAACTCGGACTTATAATTTTGGCCCCCTCCTCTCCCTCTCCAACCTCCAGTTGTATTCCCCCTCTAATAGGATACACATTTTGAAGATAACTGAAAAATAGTCAGCCTCGTTTTAAATTAAAAAAAATAAATTTAGTAAAACTTTCACTTAATTCCGGATGAAATTCTCTAATTAATTTTTTTAATTCAATCAGAAATCCTTCCATATATCCACCCCCATTTCCTTCATTTTTTACTTCCTCCAAATTAAATAATAAATAGAAATTTCCATTTTCATAAATTGCTTCCAAAAATTTTTTATTCTCTTTTTCAACAGAATTTTTAACATTCCACCCCAAACTCAAAATTTCTTCATAAATTTCTTTGTCATCCTTGCTTGTTTTTACCCCTCTAATAAAAACTTTTAACTTTCTTTTAACATAATTTTCCATAAAAAATGAAATTTTATCTTTAACCATTTCATTTGTTATTTTCTTATAAATTTCTTCAAATTTTTTTGTAAAAAATACTTGAGGGGTTTTTATATTTTTTTGAAAATTTTTAATTAAATAAAGCACTAAATCTTTATCTTCCCCTCTTATTTCTAAAAATTTTTGATATTTTTTCTTAAAAACCAATGATTTTAAAATTTCTAAAATTGCACGAAACAGAAGTAAATTACATATTCTTTTGGCATAAATTTTGTCGTGAACTAAATTAATTAATTATTTAATTTAAATTCTTGTTTTCATACCCCAAAGTAAATCTGACTGGGGAGAATTTCTCGATATTTAAAATCTCCGCCGTAAAAACCTCGACAATGATACATAAAAAGGATATTCGGGACTATTTAATCTATTCTTTTAGCATAAATTTTGTTTATAAGTAAATATTATTCAAATTAGTAGCCCCAAAGTAAATCCGCTAAGCTTTTATTGGCAGCTAAAGATCTCCAACGCTAAAAATACATAAAAGTCTTAAACGTTCTGTAACAGAAAGAAGGATTAATTTATTTTGAATGTTGGGGATAAGATGTTTATGAAAAGATTTTCCGAAATAACAATCTCAAAAATTTCAATCAATCCTCAAATTCGGTTTTTAATTTTAATCGAAATTATTTTAATAAAATGAGAAGATTGTAACAGGTTGGTACTTTTGCCTCTTTTTAGGGATTTGTAAAGGACCACCCTGGATTGTAAACACAGTTGCCATTTTACGAAATTTATAAAAAAAAAATAATACTTCTAGAACTCCGTTCCAATTCCCATTCATAATCAGAAAGAATTGAATGGAATTTGTCCATAAATATTTTAAATTCAACAAATTCATTTTCAATTTCTTCCAACTTTTTTAAATTTCCTTTTTTATAAACTTCTTGCAAATAATTTAATTTATTTTCTGTTATTCTAATTTTAACTTCTTTTGCAAAATTTAAAATTTTATTATAAAATTTTTTTCCTTTTATTGGACCGAAATTAATCTCTTTAATTTCTATTTCTCCTCCACATTTTTCTTTACCTTTTACTTTTAATTTTTCTTCAATTTCTTTTAATATTTCTTTATTGTATAATCTTAATTTATTAAGTAGTTATACGAGAATCAATCCACTCACTGACAAAATTCTTTCCGAAAATAAATACACTCCAGATAAATGGTAAATTCATGTTTTATCGTTGTGTAGTAAAGGGCGCTAGAATTTTCGTCTCTCGAAAGAGAAAACTCAAAAAAAAATCTTAGAAAGCCTTTGAAGAAAATACCGTAAATGCTGAAATAATGTCCCTCTCTCAAATAATTACCCCCTCCCTATTAATTACCCCCTCCAGCGAGAGGTTGAAAAAATAATTACCCTCTCTCAAATAATTACCCCCTATTTTTCCTGAGCTACTTTTGAAAATATTTATTAAAAACCATTTTGAGTTTAATAATAGACATTTTAAGGATTAATATAAAAATAAATCAAAAGAATAAAAGTATTTGGAGAGAATATAGTGGAATCTACGAGAATTAAGAGAGATTAAGAGGATTTGGTTGAGATTTTTTATTAGAATTTTAAGCATTTAAATTATACTGACTCTTCCCCTTCATATTCGACATAGGCCTCTAGGTGACTTTTTATATCTAAAGATTATAAGTGTATTTAGAGAATTTAGGGTATATTCCCTAAATAGGAATCATATATATTTGTATACATGTCCTCGTGTCTTTATATATCCCAGGAAGGAAGCATTGTTGTTATTGTACCATCTTGGGGTACTTTATTTATGAAGATATTAAGGGAGTATACTAGAATATCGGTGAAAATTTAATATTTAGCTCCAAAATCGGTAACTTATTGTATATCCCTGTTCATATGCTTATGATTAAATAAAAATTTTATATGTCGAAAAAATAATGTCCCTCTCTCAAATAATCACCCCCTCCCTTTTAATTACCCCCTCCAACGAGAGGTTGAAAAAATAATTACCCTGGATAATTATTTTAGCAAATACGGTAATACCCAATAGTAGGGTTTGTTCTGGACCGAACCGAACCGAGGATTTTTCGGTTCGGTTCTTCAATTCGGTTTCGAATATCCGAAGAATTTCCAGGAACCGACAACCCTATCTAATAGAAAATCTAAGGAATTTATTGGAGACAGAAATAAAAATAGACTGAAATTCCATATTAGGACATTAGAATTTATGGCCAGTTAATCAACTTTTTATTGGAAATTGTTTAACAAAAATAATTGCTATAGTCGAACTTTAGATTCCAAGAATATTTTGGCCAGTGTGCGGATTGCCCTAAAACTATTTTTAATTGAAATTTACAAACATTTTTGTAGTATCAGGATTGATAGTCAGATTTTCAATATTCATCTTTCGCTTTTTATTTTCCGATCCTTCACCTTCCAATGGGAAATCTTGATCAAATAAACGAACTTTCCTTTCATGCAATCTTGTTAAAAATTTTAACCTATCCGTTCTAAATTGGTATTCTAAATAACGTGGCGTTAAACTTCCATATAAATATAAAACACATATCCCATAGTAAAACATTTCCTGAAAAAAATTTTGGTACTTCATTGGATCCCAATGAAACCATCACTTTCTTTTATCCCTCCTTTAGCTAATGCAAGGGTTATACGGCGGCTGGGAGAATTAATGCGGATGGCGTAAATTTCGATTTACGGGAAATTTCTTTCATTGTGAAAAAGAATGCGACGGGTCTCGCGAAGTCGGAAATATAACTTTTATTTTTTCCATAATTTTATTTATTTTCCATAAAACCATTTTATTTTGTACTCCTTATCTAAACATGTAGATCTAAAGAATTTTCCCAGCCTTTTCTAAACGCTTCATCTTTAGCCTTTATTCTTTTTATGTACACATTTCTTTGTATATATGCTTATTCCCTTTTCCTATTTTCGGATCAGTTTACATTATTTTTCCTATTACCTTGGATCAGTTTATGTGGTTTTTCCTATTCCTTCCTTTGCTTCACATTAGCAATTTTTAGACTACCTTTTTTATATATTTTATTTGTGGAAGAAATAAACTTTGATTGGAAAAGTATTTTATTTGTTTTAACCTGAGAGAAATTATCCCAATCTCTCGAAGTCGCTGGATTCAGAACTACCCTTATTAGAGAAACACAGCGTTTCTCTACACCTGCAAAGCTTTAGGAATTAAATACATAGCTATATGTTTCGCATAATTTGAGATTATTTAATTTTCGCCAGAAAATTTTTTCATTTAAGGATCCTTTGTATTTGAGATAAAGAATAATTACCGAATTTTCCTTTGTTATCAAACCTCGGTAACCTTTTCTAAAATATTTTAACGACCCTTTGAAGTTTGGATTTTCTTTCTTATAAAATTCAAGAATTTTATCTTGCATTTCATAACTCAAATCATATTCTCTTTTTGGCATTTCAAGGCCGAATAAATCTCTTTGTCGTTCATATATTTGCTTTTTTAAGCTTTTTTTTCTCAGTGAATCTTCAGATTCTTTAGCACTGGCTTTTCGTTTTTTAGTTTCTTTGCCTTTGCTTTCACTGAAAAAGTTAATCCTTCTTTAAAAAACCTTTAAAGACTTAATAACCTTTTAGTAACACTTGAACCCACACTAACGACTAAATCCCCACTATCTTCATGATTTTCAGAAGGTAACATTTCTTCACTCATAGGGGCTTAAATAATTAAAAATTTTATTTTTAAAAATATTTTGTTTTATAATTACAATTAGAATCCTCGCTGAATTTAAAATCATTTGTAGCTTTTAAATAAAATAAAAGTGTAAAGTTAATAAATAATACAAATTTGTTTATAAGCATCTGAAAAGTGATAATTTTGAATATTACCATAATTGGGACAAACAAGAAGCAAAATAATAAGGTGAACTCATAATTTCTGTGATAGTAGTTTTTAAGAAATTTTGGCATGATTTTTGCCTTAATATTGCAAATTGTCTGAGAACTTACTATATATTTCGGAATAGGCTAAATAAACATATCTGCAAACCATATTATGATGAAATTTAGGGGTGAACTCATAATTTTGGGACAGAGTGTATCTATGTACATAAAATAAACGGGATAAATGAAAAAACACTTCTAAGGAGGAAGTTTTGTAGAAACCCTGTAGGATGAAAAACTGATAAACGGATTTCATATCACCCCTTACACATTGACTAATACATCTCTCCAACAAATAGTTAACATAAGGAGGTTAAAACATATTCGGTATGAGTACTTAAAGAAATGTAGAAGCCAATTTTAAAGACATAGATACCGCTTATTTTTTCTAATCCCTTGGATTTGGCGGTGAGTGCTAAGACTTATAGGATTTCGCATTGTCTGTCTGACTAATAAGACTGCCTTTCCTTTCCTATGTCCTTTGATAATATATTGGATATGAATAGCCAAGGCTGGCGCTATGTTTCACAATCGCTTTTCTCAATTCATTAAGAATATAGAAGTAAAGCAGAGCTGGGGCAATAGCTATTTCTCTCCTTTAGCTAGTGCAAAGGGTATTTGGCGGCTTAACCTTTTAATCGGCGGCTCTTCAGTAGACCGGACTGATGTGTTATGCATAGCCTTAGGAATTATATAGCTATATGCTTTACATAGAATAGGGTTTTTGGCATTAACCGAACCGAAAACTGGTTTTTGGCTAATTACCCTAAGTAGAAAACCGGAGGTCAAAAGCCACAGTCCCTAACAATTATTCTTGACCTTCAAAATTCTCAAAAGTTTGCGCTAAATTTCAAAAATTTTGTCGCCTGATTTATAGAATAGGTATTTCTTCAAATTGTTTGGACAAAACATATGTAGGATTCAAAAACCGATTAAGTCAATACCGAAACCAAAAACTGGGGGTTCCATTTAATAACCTGTTGCTAACTTTCACTTTTTGTTTAATATTTTCCCTTGGAATAATTTATTAAATTTCTCTAGGAAACAGTAATTAATTATAAAATATTAAGAGAAGCTTTTAAATAAAAATTAAATTCTATTAAAGTGATAGCCAAATGGAAGGAAGCATTCGATTTTGAAATACCTAATTAATCAATTAAAATTTTTTATATTTTCTTGTGATTCTTTATTGTCTGCCTCGCATCCAATTTTAAATTCGAGGCGCGCGATTTTAAATAAAAAATTAATTTGAAAATAATTGATTAATTAATTAATTAAAACTTCTAAATAAGTTTTTGTTGGCTGTCTCTATTTAATTAACTGGTCTCCAGATCTTATTAAATGTTTAACTTTCAGTTATGGGAAACTCATTTACCGTATTTACTCGAATTCCCATGAGGAATTATTTTTTCGACCTATCCATGGCATGAGGAATTATTCGAGTTTTGGCATTTGAACGTGTAGTAGGGTATTTGGGGGAGGGGGATTATTGTTTCAATTCATCCGTAGCATGGGGAATTATTCAAGGGAGGGGAATTATTCGAGTAAATACGGTATATACATGTTCAGTATTAGAGACCTGGCTGGAGAGTAGTATAAGAATCCTTCTAGATATCCCAAAACTCCATCTCGATTATCGAGATTTTTGTTTCAGATCTTGTCTCACTCCTGTCTATTCCCTATACAAACAATCAGACCTACTTCTAAGATACTATATCCAATATTAGATACTCCTTTTTAAATTCTGCTTTTTATGGGAGTTGCCTAAATGATTAAATAAAATTACTCAGCCATAAGGTAATAAAATATTTAATTAAGGAAATACTTTATTATTTTTTATAATTTATCAATATTTATAAACAACATTTTTATTATTTTCTTTTTTATTTTCAGTTGAATTGTGTTCAGTCCACGGCCTAGGCTTCATTCCCGCTCCAAAAAAGAAAAGCAAATTCAAAACCAAACTTATGGCACCATAAGCAAAGAATACTTTAGACCACTTAAAATAAAAATATTTTTATAAAAATATTTTCAATTTTTTTGCCAGTAATGTTTAGTGGGAGGTTTTTCAAATTTTAAAAACGTGACAAATCTAAACGCCAAACATCGGCCAAAAAACACCAAAATTTTGTGTGTTTTTGGACCTAAATTTTTATACCGTATTAAAGAAATATGGCTTCTTAGCCTCTAAAACACTTAAAAGTTATATGTTTAAAAGTTTATAATTTTCAAAAGGTTAAGAAGCCAGAATTCATTAATTTTTATCGCCGCAAGTAAAAATTTTGGAAATTTCAGAAGGTTAAGAGTAGAGACCGATACTGGACCAGGAGAGCCTTACATAAATCATGATCGATATCTCGAAAAATTTCGAAAAAATAAAAAAATTCATCGTACGAGAATTGTATGAGATTTCTCTTGTCTCGGTCCGGTCTTTAGTTAGGAGTAAGAAATTCCCCTTTTTTCTAAAAAGTACAAATAAGTGGTAAGTCCACGACTTGGTTCCAGTTTATTTATTTATTTAATTTACATCATTCGCCAACTCCTCTTGGTCTTTACTTGAAGCTATCCAAGCAATTATTATTGGTTGTATTAATGTAATAACATAATTTACTAAGGAAACTATTGATAAAATAAAGTGTGCATGTTGTCTAGCTATCTAAAAATGTTTAAAAAATTTTAAATATTTTTAAATTAATTCTCAAAATTTTTCCTTCACCCCCCGCTTGGGTGGTTAAAGTTGGCTAAAGTAGGGAAAACGTCCCGGGAACTTTCACTGTTGTCAATATCAATCTTTATCTCCCCATATTTATCAAAATCTACTCCCTATAGATTAATTTTTCTAAAACCAACCGCATGACTATTACCAGCTAGCCCAACAAAACCAGCCCCATTAGCACTTAATACAACAATTATAGCTATTTGGGCAATTAAATGGCTACTTGATGTCCATATTCCCAAAACAAAATAACACAAAACGTTAATTAATTGACAAATAAATGTAATCCAAACAATTTTAAATTTGAGGGAAATTTTTGGAAAATATTCAATTAAAGGGACTAATACTTTTGAGAAAATTGAAGCAAAATAGGGAGCGGCAATCCAAATGCCTGTTGAATTTACATTATAATTTAATACCTAAAAGTTAGAGAGATTGAAAAGTATGGCTAAATGAGCAAAGCATCTTAAACCCTTTATGGCCCATTTGTAGAAAATTTTGGAAATATATCAAGTGGCTCTTTGTATATAACGAGAAGTACCGGTACTCAAGGAGTATCGTAAATTAAAGTTGGATGAAGTATGGAAAACTGCCTGAGACCTTTCAAAGGCCAACTAATCATAGCTGTAACAAGGATTTTACCCTCTCTAGCAAGGTTGGCTGATAGTTGGAAATCTTAGGATATCCGGTATCCGAACTGAAAATTTCCGGATATCCTACCATTTTTGGATCCGTATATTCGGATCCGTCAACCTTACTCTTTAGACCGTAGTCTCTAGACCATAATTGTTACCGCGGATAAAATATGCTTCAAAAAATTAAAATCCCTTGCCTCATGCATATATAACGGTCCATATTGTGCAAATAACCAATGTGACAATCCACAACTTATAGCAATACAAATACAGGCCCAAACAGCCCTGTCTGTTAACATTTTAATATAGGGCACTTTTTCATCTTTTAATTTCTTTTTTTGTTGATTAGTAGAAATTATTCTAGCTTCTTTTTGTGAAATTAAGGAGGATTGATGTGGCCAATCACGATAGATAATAAAAAATAAAATAAAAACAATTAAACATAAAATGCCAAAAAGGTAATATGCAGCGGGCCACCCAAGTGATGTATTACATAATCTTCCAGTTATTGGCATTGTTATGATAACGCTTAGCTTTATTTTGAAGAAAATTGTTTAAAATTACGTTAAATATTTTTCGAATAAATTTTTTGGAACTCAAGTTTATCTGAAAATTCCCAAATACCCTTCCTCTTTTGAGGCCTTTTTCTCTTTCCATGCAGAACGATAACATCTGAACAAGCTGAACCTTGGAAACGGTGAAATTTCCAAGATGAAACGTGGAGACACTCGATCTGAGCTAACCCTAACATAGTTTTTGTGATAATTTTTGATACAAAAACTAGAGCTCAGAATTCTGTACCGTACCATATGCGGTATGAAAACCCGAGAAATACCGTCAGTAGTACGGTACCGTCCGGGTTCTAACAAAAACACTTCTTTTAAAAACATGTTTATAAAAAATACCTGCATAAATAACGATAAAATAGTCACAAAAATAGCTTGTTCACTATCTCTAGCCCAACTATGTGTAACTTTACTTATTGTAGGCATTGAAGGCATCAAACAAAATCCTTGTATAATTCTTATAATTAAAATTGCCCAAAACCCTCCATAAAAAAATAATTCGGGTAAAGCTGTTGTAACAATTCCAGAAACAATTCCACATACAGACAAAACTAGTCGAATACCAAAAATATCAATTATGGGGGGAAGAGTCCCAAAAGCCGCAATTCCCCCCATTGCTGTGCCGGCAATTAAAACACCTCGTTCATTTGATGTAAAATTAGCATCTTTTTTCATGCAAATTACGGTGAAGTTTAATAATAAAGAATTTGATGTTAATACCTTTTTTTAATTAAAAAAAATAATAGTTAAGTTTTACCCTTCCTTTTATCTAAATGTCATCTTATTTTGGGGAACTACGCTTAGGGGTAGCTAACAGTGGCCAAACAAAATTTTTTAATGTATCATGCATCTAGGGAGATATCCGTCCATAATTGTTTTACTTAATGTTGTAAAACAATTCTCAAATTAAAAAACCTAATGATTTTATAATAATTTGTAAAATAGATGGGAGGAGTATTTATTTAACAAGGTTTTCTTTGTCATTTAATCCCAAATTTTCTTTCCAGTTAATTTATGATTCAGAGCTAACTCAAAAAATATTTCTTTCCAAAAAATATAACAAATCCAATGCAGTATTTCATCAAATATAGAGAATTTGGGCGCGGCTTTGCACCTACCTTTGGGCGCGGCCAGGTAGTCGCAAAGCCATAACTAGCTGGAAACTTTCTGGCTTTTAACAATTTTGTTACCAATCTCTTTAGCTCAATGAGAGGAAGCGTTTAATACTAAATTTGGTAGGATTCGGGGATATTGAAGTAAGTTATGGCTTTGCGCCTACCTTGCCGCGCGCCTACTTGGGCTGTACCCAGAGAATTTGTGTAGGTTAGGGACTGAAATTAATTAATTAATTACCGTCAAACAAATTAATGTAAGAATAAGCATTGCAACACGTAGAGAAAATAAATGAGCTAAAAACGGTGTTTTTACATTATTTAATTTATTTTGATCATTATTTTGATTTTTAATTATATTTTGAATATTTTCTGGATTTAATTCATCTATTGGAAAAATTTGGGAAATTGCCATTTTTCAAGAAAAAAATTTTTTCTGAATTTTTAGAGGACAAATATGAATGGTTTTTTATTTAATAGGAATTCACAATAAAACATAAATCGGTAAAAAAAAAATTAAATTAATTAATATTCTTTAAAAAATGTGCTGATTTTTAAATTAAAATAAAAGGAATGCGGAGTGACAAAAGTAAATTTATTACCTTTGCCCAAATTATATTTAAAATGTATTTACTGATAAGCAATTGTTTTAAACACAAAATAATTACTTTAAATGTAATTATTTATAATAATGTGATAATCTTTTTAATTAAGACCACTGCTCTTTGTTTTTCCTTCACAAAACCTTCACTTAAAAATTCTGATTTTAAGGGGGAAGCGCGAACGCTGTCCCCCACACTCAAAAATTTAGCTGTGGGCCTACCCCAGTTCGGAGCCGCCCTGCGGGTCAACCTCGCCCTTAAGTGCAATGGGGAAGTCTCACCACAGACGCCATGCCTTCGTGATCGCATGAGCGCCCCAGCCAGGTAAGTTTCAGAGAGGACAAATACCCAGAACCTATTAAATATTTAAAGGAGGAAAATGTCAGTTTGTGAGGAAAGCTGTTTTGGAAAGGAAAAATGTGTACTCACTCGAATTTTCTCTCATCTTTCACTACAATTTTATTTCTATATTTATTTTTCTTATATTTCTAACATTAACACTATTTTTCTTTCATTGGAGAAAATGAGAGAAAAGCTTTGGATATACTAATTCCACAAGAATCTTTTTTAATTAGGTTTTTCCTAATCCTTGTAGGAGAGTTGGCATTTGCTGCCCTGCATAGAGAAATATCCGGATTTTAAGCTTTTATTTGTTAGTTTACCCCCAGGACAAAGTGAAGATACTGCCAGAGTTTCCTTAAGTCTCGAACCAAGACAATGTTACAAAAATCAAAATTTTTTGTTCTAAAACGACCAAAAAGAAACAAAAAAATGGAAACAACCAAGAAAATATTTATTAAATTAAAATTTAATTTTCAACAAAATTATTATTAAAATCAAGAAAATTAAAATTTTTATTTTCAGGGCATTTTGACGTCTCATTTTTTGAAGTTAAAGACTGCAAAATTGAAGTATCAATTGCTTTATTAACAAATTCCCCTCTAAATTCAATAAAATCATTAAATATAACTTCCATTGTTTTAACATTAAAAGGCCTTGTTTTTATCCCTTTTTCTTCAAATCTTAATTTAAATAATTCTTCAATTTCTGGAAATTTTTTGACAAGAAATTTTTCAGCACGTTCAGTATCTTCTGGCCAGAAAAATAATTTCCCAAAAGATACTACCGATCCAATTCTTGCAAAAGTTCTAAAGCAAATTAGCATTGCTTTGTCGACAAAATTTTCTTTTTTGTTGTAGTCTTCTTCAAATTCTTCCTCAACTTCCCCATTATTTTTGTTTTGTGGTTTTAAATGGAAGCCTTTTCGAAGTTCGTTTAGTCCAATTTTATAAGTAGCGTCGTCTACAAGAAATGGAAGAAGGATTGTTACAAGTCCAGGCTTTGTTCTATTTCCGTGTAATTCTTTAAATTCGTCTTTTGAAATACAACGATTTGAAATTTTTGATAAAATTTGTTGGTAAGTTTTGTTGTAATTTAGTGATTGAATTTCTATTGATTCTAAGTCATCGGTATTATTTGATTTAAGATTATATGACAAATAATTATTTTCAGTTTCGTTAACTTTAATTATTGCAGAATTTTCTTTAAAAAAATTTTTTAATAAATTTAAATTTAAATTTGAGATTCCCGGATATAGTAAGACTTTGGGTAACCAAATTCCTAGAAAGTTCAGGTAATTTCCATCAGGAATGGGCCAGTGTTGTGGTGTGGTGGGAGGGCCACGGGGAAAGGTTTTCGGGGAGGGAAAGGTTTTCATGTTTTCTCTCAAATTTCCCGACTTTCGGGGACGAGGACCAACCTTAGTGATAATCACATTATTGTATTGTTACTTTATTGTTGTGCAAGACAACAGCCAGTTTGCAAAGTTATAAAACAAAGAAAAAGGCCGGGTCGGTCCGGCTTGAGTTCCGTATCAAATCATCAAAATTTTCTTCTGATCGTGTCCTTGATTCCAAGCTTTAAAATAGGGTTGAGCGGTATCGGGATTGGTAGAATCATTCCAAAATACCAATACCACCCAACTCTACTCTTACAACAAATTTACCGTTACTTCCAATTTCCTTATAAATTAATTCCTCAGTTTTGTCTGATTTTACACTGTTGAAAACAAATAATATAAAAAATAAAATAATTAACATTAAATATTTTTAATTTATTTTTATTTTATTCTAAAAACTAAAAATTGTGTATATTAAAGATTTGGAAGTAATAAAATAATGGAATATGTAAAAGAATAAATAATAATCTCAAAACAAACTTATAATTTTTAGGTCAATGTCTTTTATGATTTACTAAATTGGCGTACATATCTTGGGCGGATATATTTTTGTGTTTATGAAAATTGTTTATTTGTATGTTAGAATTTTATAGTTTATTTCATAAATACATTAATTTGTTTACAAAAATAATAGTTAAAAATTTGTGATATACAGATTTAACAAAGAAATTAACCGAAATTTTAAGAGTTTAAGATGCCATGAAGCCAGAATGTTTCCTTTTTTGTCTGTTGATTAGGGGTATTTTAGTGGTATTTTTACGTTAATCCAATTTCCAATGTCCAGATTCGATTTTATGTTATCGTTCCGATTGGGAAGAGAAATACAGTACGATATGGTATGTTGAAAAGACTGATTTATATATAAATGCTTATTTTATCTGTTCCAAATGAGTTTTATTTTTGAATATATTCCTGGTTTTACTCAGAATACAAAAAAAAATTTTCATTTTGTGTAGGATTTGAATAATAACTTAGATCAAGATGTATTAGACAAATACGTGGTTGCAATTTATTTTATCTTGACATGACTTTTTTAAACAGTTATTCTTCTAACATTTCAGACACAACACACGGATTTTAAGGGGGAAGCGCGAACGCTGTCCCCCACACTCAAAAATTTAGCTGTGGGCCTACCCCAGTTCGGAGCCGCCCTGCGGGTCAACCTCGCCCTTAAGTGCAATGGGGAAGTCTCACCACAGACGCCATGCCTTCATGATCGCATGAGCGCCCCAGCCAGGTAAGTTTCAGAGACATCAAATACCCAGAACCTATTAAATATTTAAAAGAGGAAAACGTCAGTTTCTAAACAAAGCTATTTCAAAACCAAAATTAACATACTCTCTCACATTTCTTTTACATCCTCACATACATTTTTATTTTAAACAATAATTTTCTTTTTTTCTCTGTCATATGCACTCTTTTATTTTCTCTAACTATGTTTAGAAAAAGAAAGCTTTAAGAACATTAGAGTCTTAAAAAATAGATTTCAAAGCATTCTCTTTATTTTTTAAAATTTTATTAGGATTTTTAGCGACGTTTATTAACAGGTACCTCCGGTTTTCGGTTAATCTAAATTTTAGGAATCCGGTTTTTGGTCTGAGTTTTGGGCAAATACCGGTTTTATTTGGGGGAATTTTTAATAAAATCACTCATTTGCACAAATTTCCGGTTTTCGATTTTAAAATTTTCCAAAAAACTGTTAATTTTTGGCAAAAAATTTAAAAAAATTCCGGTTCTAAAACTGGTCGCCAACAACTCTAGATTTTATCAATGAAGTTGATACATAAAACTTTTAAATTTAATCTAGGGTAGCAACCCGACCCGAACCCCCGACCCAAAAGTCAACCTCGAATCCCGACATGCTTTCCCCGGCAAACCCCAATCCTCGACACACCCGTCCCCGAAGGGTCGGGTTGCTACCCTAATTTAAACAAATTTTTTTCTATTTTTTAGACAACTAAAAAAGATTTACTAAAAAAATATTTTGTCTTTTTCCTATTAAAAAATAACAACAAAAATCAAAAAAAAAAGTTATGCCTTCTCATTCAACAACAACTACCAAAAAGCAGCAAAGTCCTCGTAAACGTTTACAACAAAATCAACAAATAATTCCTTCACAACAAATTAAAAGGCCAAAAATATTTTTAATTGAAGAAGAAGAAAAAAAGAAAAAAACTTCAACTTCTTTATGGGTAGATAAATACAAACCAAAAACAATTAAACAATTAATTGGGCAACAAACAGACAAGTCCCCAACTAATAAATTGCTTGAATGGCTTAAAAATTGGGCTAAATTTCATTTAATTCAGGGAGAGAAAAAGAAAGGTTTTTTTTTAATTTTGGTTCATTTAAATAAAATTTTTGTAGCTGTTAAAAAACCTTTTGGTCCACAAGCTGATGGTTCTATTTTTAAAGCTGCACTCCTTTCTGGACCTCCAGGTTTTGTATTTAATTAATCGATTGGTTATGAAAAAATACAAAATTCCTGTTCTCAGGTCAGAACAGTTGATGTGATTTTCCTGTATTCTTTTTTGCTCTTCCTTTTTCCTTCATTTTAGGCACTCGAAATTCAACAAATTAATTTTATTTTTCTAAATATTTTTTAACCATTATCAAATTAAAAAGCAATAACTAGTGACTGGCAAAATCTTTTTCCGGCCCAGAAACCGAATTTTTAATTTTATAAATGCCGGACCGGCATTTATATATATATATTTTCCGAATTAACCCGGTCCGATTTTAGTCCGGAAATCTAAAAAACCCGGATTTTGACCCGGCCTTCGGAAAATCCGGCTGGAGTCTGGTCTGGCGCCGGTCACTAGCAATAACCTCCTCAATAAATTTGTCCATGTCGCTTTCAAAAAATCCTCCGAAAAACAAACTAGCCCTTTTCCCTTCAGTGTGTTCTATTTTTTAGCTAGGAGTTTATTTCTACTTTTTATTATTTACTTAAGACCACTAATTCTAAATTAAAATTTTGACTTTTATTTAAAAATTTACAAGAGTCAAGCCTTTCAATGTTCCCTTTAATTTAAAGGAATTGGTAAAACAACAGCCGCTGAATTGTGTTGTAAAGAATTGGGATTATCTTTTGTTATAATGAATGCGTTGGTTTTTTTTTAAAAAATTTGTTAAATTTAATTTCTAGTTCTGATGTCCGTAACAAAGCGGCAATTGAGAAACGATCTGAACAACTTGTCTGTAACCAAATGGAACAATATTGCAGTAAAGACGGAGGTTTTATATTTAATTTTTGGGGATTTTGAAATTTAAAAATATTCAAATCTCACCTTTTTAAAATTTTTTTTGGAAAGATTTTCTATTGTTAACAAATTAAATTAAATCTTGCTTTTGCCCAAAAATAGCTTTTTGTGTCAAAAAACGGATTTTGATTGATATAAGCTAGAAACCTGACTGGGAGTGTCGGTACGAGAATCGAGATCTCGATAAATTTCGATTCTCGATAACCAAGCTTTTCGTTTGAAATCTCGGTCCGGTCTCTAATATAAGCTTTTCATTGTGTTTCTTTATTTATATGAGAGTATTTTCTTGTCATTGTTTTTTTGTGTAATTGCAGATGATGAATATTATGTTAGAACCCCTCCCCCCATAATATCCCAAAAATACAAAAGATAAGGTCCCTGGTTTACCTCTATTTTTGTCAGTAAATATATGACTTTTCAACTTTTCTATTTATTAACTCAATTTCTTTTTTAACAGCCTCTTCAAAGTCACCAGTCAAATCAGAAATTAAAAATAAAAAACCTTTTGATCATCTACTTATAATGGATGAAGTTGATGGAATGAGTGGAAATGCTGACAGAGCTGGGGTTATTTTTTAAATTAATTTTTAAGAATTTTTTAAAAAAAGATGTCCGAATTAATTCAAATGATTAAAAGAACTAAAGTACCGATTATTTGTATTTGTAATGACAGACAATCGATGAAAGTTCGTTCATTGGCTAATTATTGTTTTGATTTGAGATTTCAAAGGCCCAGAGTTGAACAAATTAAGGTTTTTTTTATTTTTATCGTTTGTATAATATTTGAGGAAGCGGGTGACGTCCAAAATGAAATTTTTCATTAAGAAGATTATTTTTCTCGATGAGAACAGTGTTTTCTCTTTTCCATAAAATAGGGCTTTTCCTGACATTCCGAGTTCGAAAAAGATTCCAAAATTATGACGTTTCCTGAAACACTAGAAAATTGTGTATCGGGTAAATGTCCAGTTGACTCCCTACATGTCCGCAAAAAGAATGCGCACTTTTCTTCCCTTTCTTTGCATTTTTGGCGTTAGGAAGAGTGCCCGCTTAAAGGAAAAGTTCTCCCTCATTTTTCCTTTTCTATATTTACTTATGAAAGGAAGGAAGAAAAATAAAAATTAATTAAACTACTGTGTATATAGTGATTAATGGCGTGCAAAACCCGCGATGTCTGTCGGGTTTTGGATCGGGTTTCTGTTCGAAAAAAGATCGGTTATCCATAGCCGGGGGCTGAAGCCCTATCCCCAAGGGCGTAGCAAGGGGGGGGGGGCTAATGTAAAGCCCCCTGGCTACGGCCTTGCTACCTTCACTGTTATTACGTAGTCATTAGAATTTGAATATTAGGAACATTCTTCTTTTTTCTCGTATCTCTTGGATGTTTTGATATTTTTGTCTTATTTTTTTAATTTTAGGGTTGTCTTTTAAGTATTGCGGCGAAAGAAAATGTAAAACTATCAAAAGATGTTTATGACAAAATTATTGAAGCATCGTCTCAAGATATTCGTTTGTGTATAAATACATTACAAATGGTTACATGTGGACAAATGTCTATGGATTTTCAGAAAAAGGATATTTTGATGGTTTGTTTAAATCTTTTATGAATTAGATTGGAATAAGGATAACTTTTGTCATGATTGTTCAGACGTATAATAAGGAATTTTGACAGTACCCCCCTCTCAGGGAAAAAAATCCTAGCTACATTTGGTGAGGAACCTTGTAATTTTCATCAGCACTTTGGGGATGTGGAATTTTCAAAAGGTGTACAACAGGGCTGGGCGATTTCGCATTTTCGCGTTTCGCATTTTTCAGCGCGAAAAGTTTCGCACTCCGCATTTCGCTTTTTATTTTTTGATTTCGCCCAGCCCTGTGTACAACTTTCAGTTGCTGTCTTTCAGTTCTAACTTTCATTTGTGTTTTGCCAATTTCTCTCTTACCTTTATAATTTTAAGAATTTATTTATCAAAGAAATAGAATAAAGATAACCAAATGGGTCCAAATTTTTATTTTATTTTTAACAATTTTCAGAATATCTTTGAAGCTGCTCGACAAATTTTAAGTGCGGATACTTCATTAATGTCAAAATCTGATCTTTTCTTTAACGATTATTCAATTCTGCCACTTTTTGTACAAGAAAACTATCCAAATGTTAGAAATTCAAAAATGAAGTTTTTATCAATTTTTTACTCGAACTGTTCTCAACTTTTTTTAGTAATCTCGACCATCTTCAAGCTATTCGACGTGCTTCTGACACAATTGCTTTTGGCGATATTCTTGCAAAACAGATAAGAACAGGTGGAGATTGGTCACTTTTGAGGGAACAAGTTTAAAATTTTAATTTTTCTTTTTTTATTAACTAAAGTCCTATAGATCAGAAAGAGTACGGGTATCCCCAACTTTTCGGTTCTGTATCAGTTCCGGGTATCAGAGAATTTCTCAGTAAACGCTAACCGTATTTTACATTTATTTTTCTGTATCCTTTCTCTGAACTTGAAGAAAATCAAACTATGTAAATTTAATTTGAGTTTTCTGATAAGATAAATAGCATAAAAGGGGTTTCCTCTAGAGACTTTCATGACAGATTCTAACAACCCCCAAAAAGCTCGAAATCGATAGTCCATGGTTGAAAATTCAAATTTCGAAGCACCTCTGCTTGAAACGGATGACTTTTCTATTCTGCTACCGTATTTCCGAAAATAGAACCCCATGGGGCTCTATTTTTCAACTACCCTCCAAAGTGGGGCTCTATTTCAGGGTGGGGTTCTAATTCAGGGTGGGGTTTTATTTTCGGAAATACGGTATATTGACTGTCTTTGTCTTTTTTTTAATTCAGAAAAAATTTTTATTTTGAAAAGAAATTTAAAGAAAATTATTTTTCTAATCTAGGCAATGTTCTCTTGTGCTTTACCAGCATTATTTATGGACGGGTATATGACTGCACAAATTTCTTTCCCGGCATGGCTCGGTAAAAATTCTAATTTACAAAAACGTCAACGTTTATTACGCCAATTAGCTTTACATATGCATTTGAGGTTTTTTTAGAAATTTTTTTGAAAATAATTTTTATTTATTTAGAATCGCTGGAAATATTCAATCAATGGTTCTTGATTATTTACCTGTCCTTCGTGAACGGCTTTATCGTCCTTTAATTGAAAAAGATTCTGCTGGAGTCCCGTAAGTTTTTTTAAAGAATTTTTTTGAAAACTAGGGGAGGTCCTGAAACCCGACGATCTTTTTTAGCTATAACCCTGACCTGAACCCCGAATGTTTTACCCTGACAACTCCCTGTCCCCGACACTTCTGATCCTGAAGTGTAGGGTTGCAATGCTATTTTAAACCATTGTTTAGAACCCTTTATTTTTGATGAGGTGTTATTTTTTTAACAATTTTTGGTGATATCTGTAGAATTATTTTTTGCGGTATCAATGTACTTCAACAAAATTTTATTTAAAATAAATTTTTAATTTGCCAAAATAAAAATTCTTCCTTAATTCTGGCTCTAATTTTGAGTTTTCTCTTTACTCCTTAATTTTATTTTTAACTAAAAAATTATAATTAATATATTTTTTAAGTGATGTTATTGCCCATTACAATTATTATTATTTGGTGAAAGATGATTCTGAAGCTATTAATGAATTGGGGGCTTGGCCAAATAAACAAAACAAAGATTTGGCTTCTTTGGTTAGCACTAAAGCAAAATCGGCATTAACAAGACAATTAAATAAAGAAAAACGATTTTTACCTTTTGCACAACCTATTGATATTAAAACTGGGCGAAGAAAGGGGGCGGAAACGAAAGGGAAAGGTTTGGAATTTTTGAAATATTATTTTAAAAAAATTTAAAATCTGTATGTTTTTTAATCTAAAATTTATCTCTCGAATATTTTCAAAAATTCATATTTAATTTGGGACCAGAGATTAATTTAATTTGGACCTTAAGTCAAAAATCTTCCTTTTTCTGGGCTGCAGGCGAAAATTTTTTAAATGTATGATAACCGCGAAGCCAAAATCCTCCATTTTGGCGCCAAAAATTCAAATTTTTTCAAAAATCGAAAGAAAAAACTCTCGAAAATCGAAATTTCGAAACAACTCTGTTTGGGGTCAATTTTTACTTCTTTTCATTATAAAAATTTTTTTATTTTTTAAAGTTGTTTCTGTGGATGAGACTGAGGAAAAAGAAGATTTGGAAGAAGAAGAGAATGATTTAGAAGAAGAGGCAATGGAAGTAAATATGTTACAAATGGAATATTAACTTTATTTATTATGGGAAGGAAAGTGGAGAAAAGAGGTGAAGTTTAAATTATTAATTTACTTTTAGTTTTTTTTCATTGTTTATTTTTGACTTATCTCTTGTATACCTGCACGACTTGTGAATTTAATTTATTTATTATTTAAAGTTAACTAAAAACTTCTTTTTTAAGGTTATTTTTAATATTATTCCTACAAAATTTTTTGCAAAAACAAAGTCGTGGAGGTAAATTAAAAATCCCAATTTAGTTTTTATTTTTCTTTAGTAAATTACTGACTCAATTACTTTGTGCCTATTAAAAAAATTTTTTGTTTTGTTTAATTTTCATTCGAAAAGAGATTAACAAATTTGAATATAAAATCTGGTAAGATGTAATGTTTTAAATACTAGAGTTGGCAGTTCTGGATATCCGGGATCGAAAAGTCCGGATGTGTTTGTATTTAACCCTCCTCCCCAGTGTCACCATTTCACAAAATAATAAAATGCTAATTTAAAAGTTTTGTCACATCCTCTGCTGTGAATTCAGCCCCTAAAATACTTTGTTCCCATCTAGCTATTTTTGCCAATTCTCATAGAATAACAAATGCTAATTCAAGCGATTATAAATTTCCATCCATCGCCCATCAGCTAACATTTAAATTACTAAATAGTATTTACAATCTAAATGGAAATATGTATGTACTATGTATGTCGCGGACAGCGACCAGTGATTTTATAAATAGCTTAAAGTTTATTTTTGTTATTCAACTTACTCTTTTCATTGAATTTGCCTTTTTTATTAATTAAGCCATCTGTTTTATTCCATTTAAATACTATTTAGTTACAATCATTGTCAGTGTGCTACATATATTATTGTACCTTTTATTGCTGAATAAATTTAATCACTCGTTTAATTGCTTTTTTAAATTGGCAAAATCTTTAATTTTTATTGATTTTTTTACTTTTATTACCATTCTGCAATTTTGATAAATTTTTGATTTTCTTACTTTTATTTTCGAGCAAAAAAAGTTTAAATAAAATGGATTCTCTTCCACTGGAAGTCCAAATAGATATACTTAAATATCTCAATTTCAAACAATTAATATCAATGCAACAAACAAATATTTACTTTAATCATCTTATTAATGATTACGAAAATCAATTGGCACGGAAGGAATTCAGTGATATCTCCTTTCGATTTGTTTATAAAATTGAGTTCTTTTTGCTAATTTTTTTTTAGTACTTTTATTTTTCAATCCAAAATTGTAAAAATATGTGTAAACCATTTAATCCCGAACCCGAACTATATGACTTTGAATTGAGTGAAGAACTCGAAGAAAAGGTTTAAAAATATAAGTTTTCTGGTCCTATCCCAAAAGAAGGACGCAATCGTTTTTTTTCATTACCTGCAAGGAAAGGAAAAATGGAGAAAATGGAAAGAAAAAATGAGATCGATGGACACGGACAAACAAAACACGGATGGACACGGAGTCCGATTTTTGTCTGTCCGAGTCCGTCCTCTCCATTTTTCATTTCCATTTTTCGCCATTTCTCCTTTCCTTGCAGGTAATGAAAAAAAAAAGATTGTGTCCTTCTTTTGGGATAGGGTCAGTTTTTTAATAAATCGCTTTTAGTGGAAATGTGCAATAGAAAAGTCAATGCCTTTATTTTTTGTTGATTATGGTATGCCAGATTACCATGGTCAAGTTGCTTGTATATTAAATAAAAACTATGGCGATGGAGAAGAATTTTGGGATGATTCAATTGATGATTACAATACTTTATGTACAGTGGCGGAAATTTACTTAGGGAAAGGGTAAACTCCATGTAATTCCGTTCATCTTTATCCGATCTGTCAGATCTAAATTTTAAAAAATAGCTTAATTCCTATCTCAGTTGACATGTTTCAGCGTTTTTCAAAATTCTGATAATTTCGAAAACTTTTCGACCGATCTAACAGGTACTACATTTTCGACTTTTCGGAGAAATTTTTTTGAAGTCTGTAAATTTTATATGTGATTCTCTTAAAGATTCTGAATACAATGCTAAAAACCGCATCCAAATCGGTCGAAATTCTACAGAGTTATGAATTTTTGAAAATCGAAAAAACACCCATTTTTTGCAAAAAAATCAACAAAAATGGCAAAAATGGGTGTTTTTTCGATTTTCAAAAATTCATAACTCTGTAGAATTTCGACCGATTTGGATGCGGTTTTTAGCATTGTATTCAGAATCTTTAAGAGAATCACATATAAAATTTACAGACTTCAAAAAAATTTCTCCGAAAAGTCGAAAATGTAGTACCTGTTAGACCGGTCGAAAAGTTTTCGAAATTATCAGAATTTTGAAAAACGCTGAAACATGTCAACTGAGATAGGAATTAAGCTATTTTTTAAAATTTAGATCTGACAGATCGGATAAAGATGAACGGAATTACATGGAGTTTACCCTTTCCCTAAGTAAATTTCCGCCACTGTATGTTTGAATTTATAAAAATTAGGAAAGTAAGGCAGCTGGGCCATAGCTATTTCTCTCCTTCTGATAGTGCAAAAGTTTATTCGGCTGCTGCGAGCGAACCAACATCATCAGTAGACCGGACTGATGTATTTTCGGGGCAAAATCTGCGGATAAATTTTGAAATTATTTTCATTTTAAAATTTTTTAGCGATCGAGTTTTTACTTCCAGTAATTCCAAAAACTATTAAAGAAATGAAAATTGCCCGTTATTTATTTGAACAACTTTTTACTTGTGCCTTTAAAGATGCTAATTTTCATTACGTCATATTTAATCCTCAAATGCTTGAATTATTATTTGATGATAATAAAACAAGAATGCCTTTAAGGGTTAATTCGCATAAATCTCTTCTCATTTATTATCGTGACACATCTATTTTATTAAAATTTATGTTCAATCATATGCGTTCTTATCACCTTGTACCATATTGTATTGAAAACAACGATGGTGATCAACCCATAGAAATTCAATTAAATATTCTGAAAAATGGAGGAACTATATTTGATCGAATTTCTTATGATTATCGGCATTCGCTAAAACTTTACAATCTTATTATAAAGGTAAAGGTTAATAAAGTGATCTTTGGGCTTTGTCTTCTAGGGTTCTATATGGTTTAACTTTCCTAAAATTTGATCCAATAATGGATATTTAGATATCTTTAAAGTCCATATCTGAAATTTCTGTAAAAAAATTTTTCAGAATAATCATCTAAAAAGTAAATTAGGTATATGCTTCCTATAATAAAGCCTATTAGGAATTGAAATTGAAAGAATTTCTGTACTACCTTCCAATTGGGGCTGTAATCCAAGATAGGGCTTTTTGAAAATACAATTTAATTTTAGCATATAGAAACATCACAAGACTTTTCTAAAATGGTGAAGGAGCTTAACTTAAGTTTTACTCGCGAACCTATTATAAGTAAAACAGCAGAGAATATCGAAATCAAAATTGGAAAGGACAATTTAAAAACTACAAAATATCAGCTTTCCAATAAACACAGTCCAGAAATCAAGTTTTCTGTTTCTGTTAGAGAAGTATGCGGTAGTATAAGATTTGATGTTGATTTTAAGAGAATTGCTTATTAAGATCTGTCCAATTGTGTTTACGTATTTTATAAATTAGAGAAAAATAAATTTTAATATTTATGTATAACAAGCAAGCTTTGCTATTTTAGCATTTTTTTAATATTATCAAATTTTATGATATTTCATAAAAATTACTGACAATTTCAAGAATTACTGATAAGAAAATGATAAAGGAAAAAAGTGCTAAAATATTTTTCCAATAATTTATTTTTGTTTTTCTTTGTCAAAATAAATTATTTTTTATGATAAATAAATTTGTATTAATTACTTTAATAACATCAATTAATTTATTTATTGCACATATCCAATGTAGAACACGTTGTGTTCGTGCAAGGGGAAGGGTTATCTGTCCGACTGATTGTAAATATTAATTAAAATTTAAAATTAATTTTCTGTGTTAGCTGACAGTCATTTTAATGTTGAAGTGAAACTTATGGACAGCGACACACTTCCTTGGGAAAATGACGATGAAATGGGTAATAGCCCTCATAATTTAAAAATATTTTTTTTATTTTAGGTAGAGCGAGTACAGATTTGCTGGGGAATTACACAGTAGAGGGCTGTGCTGGGGATTTTGGTGCTTGGAATGATCCTGACCCGTTGGTTTTTTAAGATTTTTATTTCTTTTTGTAATCTTAGAATTCTGATTTCTGTTACTTTTGTCAAGGCTTAAACGATTATTAGCTGTTTTTCCACAAACTTGAAATTCTGTTTTATCCCTGGGGAAGCTCAAAAATTCTGATTTATTATTTTTCTCTTTCAAGCTTTATTTCATTTTTAATCTCTAATAATTAACTGAAAACATACTCAATTTTTAGTTATATTCTGATTACTCATCGATGTCCCGAAATTGGACATGATATTTCTGTAATTAAACGAAAACTAAGGTATTTTTTGAATATTTTAAATATTTTTAAAGAAATTCTTTTAAGAATTCCAATTAAAGAAATTAAATATTGTTGAAACTACTCGTCTTGATTTGGAATGTGAAATTTGTTAGATAAAGAGAAAAATATTTTTTTAATTAGACTTGGCAAGGACACAGATTTCGGGGTACTTATCGGTTATCAAAATGATAGCTTTATTTGACTTTGACAATTTCGTAATTTTAGGCAGAAGGGGCGCAAAGGAACTAAAATAGAAGAAAATGTGGGGGAGATAACCGATAAGTACAGATTTTGGAATCTATTTATATTTATCAGGGATGTTACGGTATCCAAACCCCAATCCAAAGAATATTCTGACAAAATCTGACCCGAACCCCCGACTTTTTTCTCTCAGCCCTTGACATCTCTGGTTTTATATCTGTTTAATTTTTGAGTCATTTATCCGTGGTGTACAAGTCTGATTTTAATATGTATAAAATTTATTCTTCAAATCAAAATTTTTTCAATTTTTTTATCAAAACTTTTTAAAAGAAAAATTAAAAATAATCTGTTTAATGGCGTAATTTTTAAGTGGAAATAAAGTGCTTTAAGAAAAAAATTTTTTAAGAGCATTAAAAAATGTGAGCAAAAATGAGTACTTTTCTGCTAGCCCAAAACTTTTTTTGTTTGTTTTTGTTTGAAGAAAAAGTATTGGCTTTAACTTGTAATTGAAATTAATTCTTTTTTTAACAAATTTTAAATGATTTTAATTAATTTACAAATTTATTTTGTTGGATTGTTTAGCTTTACTAGTTTATTATTGTTTTCTAATGGTTATCCAATCAATCATAATTTTGAGAAAGACCAATTAATTTTTGTACAAACTGTGAGAATATATTAAATATATCTAAATGGGGGGGGGGGTAAAAGGGAGGGGAATTTTGTCTGTAGTATGGTCTCTTTTTATTTTCTCTCCAAATCTGCTGAACGGGTGTACCATAACTCTGGGTGAGTAAGTATCTCTATTCCCATAAAATATTTTAGGGAATACGGCGCCCTATCCAAAATAATAGTTGTACAATCACCGGTATAAGTTTTAACTGCAGTAGCTGGTGGACGTACAATATCGGATCTTGGGTTTTAACACGCAGAGCCGGGTACTTATTAACATAAATTTGGGAAGAAAATAGAAAAGAGTCATACAACGTTTAAAATTATCAAATGGGGGTTTAAAAACACAGATTTGGAGGCATGGTGATCGTTCTCCTATTTACATTTACCCGAATGATCCAAACAAGGAGAGTGCTTGGCCTAATGGATTTGGTGAACTAACAACGGTACAAAACTTTCTTTCCTGATTAATTTCTAATTTTTAATTTCAAAAGAGGGGAATGATTCAACAATTTAATTTGGGAAAATTCTTGGGGAAAAGATACATTGAAAAGATACATTCTTCTTGGGGAAAAGATACATTCTGCACGATTTTGAAGTAATTTTTTATGTTTCTGTTTTTTAATCCTTTTTTCCTAAATTTGGTTTATATTTGCAATGGAAACATTTTATAAATTTTTCTTTAATACAAAGTCGTGTAGATAAATTAAGAATCCCAATTTTTTTTAATGAATTACTGACTCAATTACTTTGTGCCTATTAAAAATTTTTTTGTTTAATTTTCTTTCAAAAAGAGATAAATAAATAAAATTCGACAATAAATTTTCATGTCCGGAAACCAAGATTAAGTGTTTTATACATAGTAGAAAACACTTAATTTCGAATAGGTGTCAAATCCCGTTGATTTGATTTTTCTTCTTTAATCTTTGACCGAAAATGATCAATTTTTAAATATATTGCCCGCTCCAAATGCTAATTAGAATGGCCAGGATATTTCGGCCAATGTACATTTTTCTCTTTTCCCAGAAATTTATTCCTTTTCTTTCTAATATTATTCTACACTAAAATTTTGGCCTATGTTCTTCAGTTTTGCTTTTAAGTTATTCAACTTTACACCCGTCTGCCCGTTCTACTAGTAAACTAATCACCCATCACTTCACATTTAAAATACTAAATTTAATAGTAAAAAATATACATACGTATATGCATAGTGTCAGCTATTTATGTACTAAATAGTTATTTAAATGAAAATATGTAAAATTTGTTGGAAAAAAACAAAATATACATAGATTATTATTTCAGATAAATTCTCCCACTTTTTTCATTTTAAACCAGCCCTTAACTATCATCTAAACTTAATATAATCTAAACTTAATTTTGTATATTTTTTGTATTTAAAATGCTTTCTATTATATTATTTAACTAAGCACATCTGTTATACTTTGATTTGTTCTCTTGTTTTGTACCAGCCGTCATTCATTATTTTATATTTTTGCACATTAACATAGTAGTCTACCCGCCTATTTTTCTGGCTTTTTTTAAAAGTTTGCATATTTTTCCTCGATCAATTCTGAGCCAATTTTCACAATTTAAAAAGATTTTGAAAGCCCAATTTTTTCTCTTCCGATCAAATAAATTTTATAATTTTAAACTCTCATTTTATAGGTTAAAATTAATTTTAAAAATGTTATCATCTTCCGTTAAAACGTAAAGAATTTTTAGCTAAAATGAAATTTTAAATAGAGCGCACCCTATTCTATCTAAAAATATTTAATTTGGAATTTTTCTTTTGAACCCGCATTTTCCGATAAGGGTGCTGGGTTACCCTACCGCAAAAGTCGGCTAATCGTTTAATTTTTTTATTTTTATCTTTGAACAAAAGTTTAAATAGAAATGATGAATCTTCCACCAGAAGTTAAAGTGGATATACTTAAATATTTTAATTTCAATCAACTATTAACTATTCAACAAACAAATAGTACATTTAATGAATTTATTAATGCTAATGAAAATCAATTGCCACTGAAGCAATTCGTTTATATTCAATTTGTTTGTAAAATTTTATTTATTTTACAAATTTTTACTCTATCCTTGTAGTCTTGTGTAAATGGGAGCTATTTATATAATTATTTGTTTGACCCAGCACCGAAACTTTATGATTTTGAATTGAGTAAACGACTCGAAGAAAAGGTTTAAAAATGGAATAATTTTTGATTTTAAAATAATTTTAGTGGAAATGTGGAATAGAAAAATCACTCCCTATGTTTTTAATTGAAAATAATAATAACAGTTGCATGATTTTTTACGATTTTCTTAAAAATCGCGAAGAAGGTAAAGTATAATTTAATTAACTTTATGGGGTAATAAAATGTTTCCGCTTATAAAATTAGGAACATTGACTAACCTTACAATATTTTGGAGTAACAACAAGCCATTTAAATAAAATTACCGTATTTACTGTAATATTAGAGCCCCATGGGGCTCTATTTTTCAAGGTTCCGTGACTTTTGCGCCGAGAACATTTGCGCCACGACTCTTGCGCCGCAACTATCATTAAAAATATATCAATAACTATAGCCGGACCTCACTTTACTAGTGTTGTCGGATAGTTGGAAATCTTAGGATATCCGGATCCGATATCCGAACTGAAAATTTCGGATATCCGGCATTTTTCGGATCCGGATTTTTTAAAAAATGGCGGCGCAAATGTCGCGGCGCAAAAGTCGCCCGGCGCAAAAGTCGCGGCGCATAAGTCGCGGCGCAAATGTTCTCGGCGCAAAAGTCGTGATACCATTTTTCAACTATCCCGAAAAGGGGGGCTATATTAAGAGGGGGCTCTAATTCAGACGGGGGGCTCTATTTTTCAACCTATTTTTTCAAATTAAGCATCATGTTTTTCAAATTTATTTACAACCTAACTTTTAAATAAAAATTTTAGCACAGAAAAAACAGGGAAAATTTATATTGCAACCAATAGTTTTCCTGTTCTCCAAATTCCGGGTATAAGAAAGAAGTATATCTGGGAATTTGTGAGAATTGAGGCATATACATAAGTGGATCAGGGGATTAAGAGCGGTATGAAGTTATTTAGGTGGATTAATTGATATAACATGGAATTAATGAATCTAGTGAGATATAGAGGAATTGGGGCATTCTTATAAAAAGACATTTCATATTTGAATTTTTGCCCTAAAATCAGCCTGTTTCCCCATACGGTCTTATCTTGATGATAAAATTTGTTAGAGAACTTAAAATTACCACAGCTGCGGATAATCATTCACCCCAGATTACCGCAGCTGCAAGTAATCGAGTTCTGGGTCGATTTCTTTATAACCGGGTTAACCCTCAGCTCTGGGTTCTATTACGCGAGTAAGAGAACCTGGTAAATTTACCAGATTCTTCTATACCATTTTTATAATACGCTATCTACCGATATCCACCTTGAACCTTTGATATCCTCTCCTCATCGTCCGATATATGATATCACTGTATATCCCCTAAATCTCACGATATATTATTCATTTTCTTAGAAACTCAATTTTACTTTTAGACTGCAATTTTAATTTTAAAATCCGCAAACGCAATCCGCAATGACAGACTAGGTTGTAAATTACCTATTTGACATCTGACAAATAGGGGGCTCTGTTAAAGAGGGGGGCTATAATACAGACGAGGGGCTCTATTTTTCAACCATCCTCGAAACGGGGGTTTACACTTTAACTTCCTATCGCCTAGCGTATGAATTCTGCTTTTCTTTAGTTGACGTGAATTCAGGGTGGCCTTTTCCAAACCACTAAAATGGGGCGCAGCCACTCAAAAATAGGGCAAAAATAGGGCGAAATCGGTCAAAAATAGGGCAAAAAATAGGGAATTATTTTAAAAACGTAAAAATAATTAAAATTATAAATAAAAAGCTTTATTCCGCATGTTCTCTACTGATTTTAACTAAATTGAGCAGGTCTGATTGTCTCTAAAAATCTCGATCTCGATAATCTAGATTTTCGTTCGAGATCACGTCTCGATCCGGTCTTTAGTTCAGATATCCGAATTTGGCACCGATAATAGCGCAAAGTTCTTTAAAGATACTTTCTCTTATCTGCCTCTAATACGCCTGTATCTCACTTTCAACGCCGTAGGCGAAAATTTTTTCAAATTTTGATTAGCAATACGTCAGATTTCTTTCATTTTTAGCAAAATATCGAGAATTTTGAAAGCTTAAGAAGGCAGATTTCTCTCTTTTTTAGCGCCGCAGGCGAAAATTTTGAGAAATTTTGATGTCCAAGAGTCAGTTTTCTTTGTTTTTTTCGCATTTTTTTACAAATGACAAAAAATTTGAAAAATATTACAAAGTGCTAAAAATAGGGCAAAATATGGCAAAAGTATAAAATAGGGAAAAAATAGGGCGAAAAGATCAAAAATAGGGAAAATCCTCTATAAATAGGGTAAAAAGGCCACCCTGCGTGAATTCCCTTTTTCTGCTTTTTAATCAAAGCCCACTTAGTTTTCTGCAATTTTAATTTTAACACTTTAGAGACTAACAATATCGAGATATTATTTCCAAACATTCCAAAAAATATTGAGGAAATGAAAATTGCTCGTTATTTATTTCAACAACTTTTTACTTGTGCCTTCGAATCCGTTCATTTTTACCACGGTATAATCAATCCACAAATTGTTGAATTATTATTTGATGATAATAAATTAAATATACCATTACAAATACACTCTGAATGCTCCTATATATACAACTATGCTAATAGTCTTTTATTGAAAAGTTTATTTAATCATATGCTTTCTAATGATTTCATTATTGTTGGCTTCGCTAATGATCAAACATTGAAAACTTTATTTAAAGTTGTGACAAATGGTGGAAATAAATTTAATAGAGTTTATTTTAATGAGTACGACTACCCAAAACTTTATGATTTTATTATAAAGGTAAGAGGAATGATTTTTTATTTGGGTATATGGATTACTATATTTTAGTTTTAATTAAATAGAAGGGAAAACTAAATTAGATTTCTAGGATATTGTCTTCTATAGTTAATGGATATTTAGAATCTTCGGAGTTTTTTGTGAGAAATTTCTATAGAAAATTTTTTAAATAACTTTTAACCATTATAAGATTCCATGTGACTTTTTCTACCATCTCCCAATTGTTGCTGTAATTCGGGCTGGTGCACTAATATTAGAGATTGTATACCGTATTTACTCGATTGATTCACCTGGGGAATTATTTTTCAACCCATCCGTAGCATGAGGAATTATTCGAGAGAGGGGAATTAATCGAGTAAATACGGTAATTTAATTTCAGCATATAGAAATAGGAGATGTATCTAAAATGGTGAGGAAATTAATATTCCGTGTTACTCAAAAACCTATTATAAGTAAGAATGCAAAGAATATCAAAATCAAAGTTGAAAACAACAATTTAAAATGTACTAAATATCAACTTTCTAATAAATGGGATCCAGAAATGAAGTTTTGTATTTATAATAGAGAATATATAGACGCTTTACGTCCAGGTTTTGATGTTGAAATTAAGAGAATTAATTGTTAAGAAGGGAGAATAATTCAAGAATTACTGATAAGAAAAAAAAAGTGCTAAAATATTTTTCCAATAATTTATTTTTGTTTTTCTTTGTCAAAATAAATTATTTTTTATGATAAATAAATTTGTATTAATTACTTTACTAATATTAATTAATTTATTTATTGCACATATCCAATGTAGAACACGTTGTGTTCGTGCGAGGGGAAGGGTTATCTGTCCGACTGACCGTAAATATTAATTAAAATTTAAAATTAATTTTCTGTGTTAGCTGACAGTCATTTTAATGTTGAAGTAAAACTTATGGACAGCGATACACTTCCTTGGGAAAATGACGATGAAATGGGTAATAGCCCTCATAACTTAAAAATTTGTTTTTATTTTAGGTAGAGCGAGTACAGATTTGCTGGGGAATTACACAGTAGAGGGATGTGCTGGGGATTTTGGTGCTTGGAATGATCCTGACCCGTCTGTATTATATTTTATTGTAAACTTAATAAATAGGGCTAGGATTTTTAGGCACTAGAAAGTCAAAAATAGGCGCCTATATAGGCACTAAAAACTGCCAAAATAAGACCTAATTCCAAAAAAAGGAAAAGTTCTTAAAATTTGCACCAGACATAATTTTTTCTTATCTCAAATATTTTATTAAAATTATGCTCAATTTTTAGTTATATTCTGATTACTCATCGATGTCCCGAAATTGGACATGATATTTCTGTTATTAAACGAAAATTAAGGTGTTTTTGAATATTTTAAATTTATAAAGAAATTCTTTTAAAGAATTCCAATTAAAGAAATTAAATATCTTCCTAATATAACAACTATTGAAGCATTTGTTGAAACTACTCGTCTTGATTTGGAATGTGAAATTTGTTAAATGAAGAGGAAAATACATATTATACATAATTTTTAATCAGACTAGTATGTACATGGACACGGATTTTGGTATCCGTGTAGCTTTTGAGTCCGCAGGTATACAGTTATTATCCGTGTCCGTCAGGGATGTCATGAGTTGAAAGTAATTCGGTGGTTTTCAAAATTTTCTTCAGATCGGGTTTGAGTCGAAAAAGGTTCTGTAACATCCCTGGTGTCCATGTGCAAAACTGATTTTAATATAAGAATTCATTCTTCAAATCAAAATTTTTTTCAATTTTTTTATCAAAACTTTTTAAAAGAAAAATTAAAAATAATCTGTTTAATGGCGTAATTTTTAAGTGGAAATGGAGTGCTTTAAGAAAAAAATTTTTTAAGAGGATTAAAAAATGTGAGCAAAAATGAGTACCTTTCTGCTAGCCCAAAACTTTTTTGTTTGTTTTTGTTTGAAGAGAAGTATTGGCTTTAACTTGAGATTGAAATTAATTCTTTTTTAACAAATTTTAAATGATTTTAATTAATTTACAAATTTGTTTTCTTTATTTTGTTGGGTTGTTTAGCTTTAATTATTTATTGTTGTTTTCTAATGGTTATCCAATCACTCATAATTTTTTCGAGAAAGATCAATTACTTTTTGTACAAACTGTGAGAATATATTAAATACATATATTTAAATGGGGGTTTAAAACACAGATTTGGAGACACGGCGATCGTTCGCCTATTTACATTTACCCAAATGATCCAAACAAGGAGAGTGCTTGGCCTAATGGATTTGGTGAACTTACAACGGTACAAAACTTTCTTTCCTAATTAATTTCCAATTTTTTAATTTAAAAAGAGAGGAATGGCCCAGCATTTTCATTTGGGCAAATTCTTGGGGAATCGATACATTGATGAACTACAATTCCTTTCCCCTCACTATCGGAGTGAAGAAATATTTGTGATTTCGACTGATACTAACAGAACAATTCAAAGTGCAACTGCAAATATGATGGGAATGTATGGAGGGAGAGGACGTTGCGGGATTGGTAAAAGTCTCGATAAAAGATTAACTAACGGCTTTTCTGACAGATTACCCAAATCTGGTTGAATGGCCTGCACCGTTCGTTCCCATCCCTATTCACAGCTATGAGTTTATGAAGGATCCGGTAAATTAATAAAGTTTCCCTTGGAGTTTAAAGAAAAATAAAGATGGGATATGCCCGACATCACTGCAAAAGAACTCTTGATTTGTTTGCTTTGTTAGAGCAAACACCAGAATATAAACAGTTAAATCGTTCTAGTGCTGTAAGTTTGTTAGATTAATTTTTTATTCTCCCTCATTTTCTAATTTCTGTTTATTAGGGTTGGGGACCCGGTCAGGTCCGGAAGATCGAGTCGGGCATCGAATTTTGGCCCGAAAAAATGACTCGAACGTCGACCCGCACCGTTCGGCCTGCACCGTTCGTTCCCATCCCTATTCACAGTTTTGAGTCCCTATTCACAGTTTTTGAGACTCGAAGACCCCAACCCTACTATTTATATTTCAATTTAAGGCACTTTTGTCAAAAATAAGTGAATATGCTGGCTCTTCCATTACTCTTAATAATTTGTGGGGATTTATCGAAACGGTCAATATTGAAGTATAAAATTCTTTTTTATTATAAAAAAATTATTTTTATTAGAAAACACACGGATTGAGGTCCCCCGATTGGGTACTTCAAATATTACCTAAAGCATTGGAAGTAGATATGCGCCTCACAGATTTACAAATTGGATTAGGTATTTAATTAAGTATTTTCGAATAAATAAAAATATTTACTAAAAGGAATGGCTTCTTTCAAAAATATTAACTTACAAATTGAAATTCCTCGAATGATTGGGGGCTCCTTTCTTTGGGAAATAATTGAAAGAATGGAGAAAAAGGCAAGTTAGTTAGTTTAGGTGGTAATTCTCTGATATTTTGTTTAAATTTAAGATAAAATGTTTGGAAAAATTGAAAAACTTTAATCGAGTTAATAATCGCTTTGGAAGCGATCCTTATTCCGATACTAAAGTTGAAGGAAAGGAATGTGAATGGCTTGAAAGACTTAAATATTACGCTCACTCTGCTGTTGGTTTTTTAAATAAATTAAAAATATGTAGTCGAGGCTCTATTTATCTCCAAAATAAAATAAATTTAATTTGAAATTCATTTTAAATTTTGTTAGTCATGGGGTTAGTGAACTATCGAAAGGATTTTCTGTTTATGAGATATCATGTTTAAGGACCCCTCATTATAAGACACTCTTATTTTTTAGCCTGGGAGGATATCTCAAAATGAGGTTTGACAATACAGCCGTACCTCAATATCACATCTTTTCCATTAAGAAGTCTCTCCTATCAGTCCCGTGGGTGAAATCCTAGTTAGATCCATATAAAATATTTTTAGCACGATATGTCCATATCTGCATTATTTTCTACCCTTCAATTTGACTATACTGATTTTGACCAAGACGGTCTGCCAGGTTATGCTTCTTGTGTTTTGATTGAATTGTGGAGAAATGTTGAAAGAGGGTATTATATTAAAGTAACGTTTTAAATTATTCTCTCTTTCAATTCTATACTCAATTTTGTAGGTTTTATATAGAAGAGATAATGTTGATAATTTGATAAATCTAACACCTTATATTCGTGGATGTAATGGAGAAGAGTGTAGTTTGGAGTTGTTTAAACAACGTTCTCTGATTTTTAAACCTCTACCAAACCAGGAAACGGTCAGATATTTAATTTGATTGTTGTTAGACAAGGTTGGGGGTTCTTTTCCGCTTAGGCTTTTTAAAATGCGGCAGGGCCCTGCTGACATGAGTAACTTTGTCTTTACACAAAAAATTAAAAATAATTTAATTGGCCATCAAGGATTCTTGATATCTCTTAATAATACTTTCATAATTAATATACTATTATTACAGTTATGCAAAACACCTCTTTCACAGGATATATGGAATTCAAGTAGTATGAAAATATTTACAAATAAAAATCTAATAATTAATTACTCTCTTATTATCATTTTATTTTTCATTTTAAATAAAATTAATTTTTAAATTTCTAATAAATTTATTGATTAATTTTAGTCAGGGCTTTTATTTCGAATTTTTTAAATTCCGCAATTTTAAGCTAAAATATCATTCTTTGGAAATTTTGGAGGGCCATAAGAGAAAAAAAATGACAACATTTTGTTCTAAAAACTATAAGAAAATATAAAAAATCCTTATAATTTTTAAATCCGCATTTGTTAATTTTGTTTAGCTTAATTTGAACTTTTTATTTTTTTAATTCTTTTATCTCCATTTTTTTATAATTTTACACATTTGTTTTACTAAAAATAATGATTTAATCACTAAAAAATATGTAAATATAAAGTGGAAAAAAGGGAAAAAAATATAAAGTCACATTTTTGTTAAAAAAAAAAAAGAATTTGTATTTTTGTAATTTAGCTTTAAATATGTAATTCCTTTATGAAATTATATTTTTTCTAATTCATTTTAATTTTTATTAATGTACCTATACGAAAAAGAATTTAAAGAAAAAATTTATTTAAAAAATCTTTAATTCGCTTTTTTTTCTTCAAATTTTTAAATTTATACTTTACTATATTTGTTGAAATTTTATCAAATTAAAAATATTTTTTGATAATTCATCATTTTTAAAAAATTTTGGTGTAATTTTATAACAGCAGTTTATGAGTCAAATCAGATTTTTCTGAGCTACGGGGGTAGGTCGGCAGATCAAGGCTGAAAATGGAAAAAGATAGGTTCATGTTACTGTTGTAGAACCCAGCAACCGTTGATTATCAAAGGCAAATAAAATACCATACCATATTTTCTTGACTATAGTTTACTATAAAAGCTTTTTTGTTTTATTTATTTTCATCACTTTTAGCAGTTTAAAAGCTGCCAATTTATTTTTAAAAATTTTTAAACTTTAATTCTAGAATTTTTCTTTATTGTTTATAATTTCAACATGCTTTCTCTTCCACCTGAAGTTCAACTTGATGTTCTAAAATGTCTTAATTTTGAGCAATTATTCTCTCTTAAACAAGCCAACTTTTATTTTCGGAACTTGATTAATAAATATGAGGGAGGATTGGCAAGAATGAAATTCTATAGACTTGTAAATTTTAAATAATTTTTTGAGTTAAAAATTGATTTTAGATCGGTCCCAACAACTCATATATTGAAGATGTAATCATTAAACTTGGACCTGTAATTTCTGAATTTGTTTTGAATGATCTGATTATGGAGAAGGTTAAATTTTATTAATAATTCTGATATAATTGCATTATTTTTTCAGTGGAAAACAGCGTTAGATAAATCTATTCCGTTGTTTTTACATAATTCTGAAGTTAATACAAACTTTGTTGTTTCTTTAGAGAAAGAAGGTATAAAAATATTGTTATATGAAATAGTAGTGGGCACTTGTAAGGAAGCGGGCCCTTATTTGTTTTTTTTGTTTCTTTTGGCATTAACCTGTTAAGATTCTATTCATAACTGGTTGAATGCTAATGGAAGGTCCATATGAAGTTCACAAGAAAGCTTGTCTTTAAAGTCGGTGGTAATATGTAGTGCCATTCTTTCCTTAGTTTTTCACTGGGGTGGGGAGAGGGGTACTTTTAATGTCCTTTTGTTTTTTCTTGGGTTTCCTTGCTTTTAATGCTGCTTTTAGCACATACTTGTTTGGGTTAGGTACCTGCGATGGAGGGGTCTGCAACCGCTCACTAACATAACGATACTCGTTAGGATCGTGGATAAAATATCAATTTATTTGTAGTGAACAGGAGCTACAAGTATTATATATATAAATTGCCAAACATCCTAAAAACTATAAAAGAAATGATTGCTGTTCGGTTTTGGTTACAACAACTTTTCAACTGTGTTTTTGAATATGCTGAGTTTCAAAATGTTATATTTAATCCGGAAATGATCAATTTATTATTTGATAACGACAAAACAATTCTTAAACAATTTCACGTTAAAGAACTCCTTATAAATCTAAATAACAATATTGAAATTGAAAATATTTTGAACTTCGCTTTAAATCATTCTATAATTTATGTACATCTTGGGATCAGATTTGATCCGGACAATATTGAAAATTATACTAATATTTTATTCAACATTATAATAAATGAAGGCAATAAATTGCCGGAAGTTTCTTTTGGTTATTATAAGTTTCCAGGCCTTTATGATCTTCTTGTTGAAGTAAGTGTTATCTATATTTTTAGAGAATAAATCTAAATTTTAGTATATAACAAAATCTAAGGATTTCTCAAAAATGGTGACTAGTACTCGCTTAGTTTATAATTCATACAGAGATTTGCCAATATCAGAGAAAGCAAAAAATATTAAAACTGGAGAAATTTTTTTTACAAAATATGCAAAATACCAAATTGTCAATATTTATAATCCAGAAGTGAAATTTTCATTTCTAATAAGGACCAAATGTGCAGTCACAATATTTATATCACTAAAGGGGAAGATAAAAGTTGCGATAGCCTTATACGATTTTTCAAATTAGAGAACTAGGTAGCACCCCGAGCATTCGGGGGGTGGGCGTCGGGGATCGGGTTTGTCGGGATAGAGTCTTAGGGATTCGGGTCGAGGTTTTTTCTAAAATTCGTCGGGGGTTGGATCAGGGTACGTGGTCGGGGTGCTGCCCTAATTGAAACATATTTTTTGAAAAAATATTTGATTTTCATTGAATATAAATTAAAATTTGTTGCTTTATTTATTTACTTTTACATTTTTTAGCAGTTTAAATTACCTGCCGATTTATTTTTAAATTTTAATTCTAGTACTATATAAATTGTGTAAGGGATGATTTCGTACCGCCGATTCAGTATATCGGTTTTTAGGGAAAAATTTCGGTAGACTATAGCTTATTTGACTAACAGAATCGAAAAATTATAGTCGATCTCCTAGTTGAACGAAGTGCCACTCCTGAAGCCTATAATACATATTCATTTGGGCAGGGCCGTACAAAAAATCGTGGTTAAATCTGTTGGTTAAACACTCTTACTATTTTAATTACTTTCCTTAATTCGTCAATTATTCTTAAAATTGTAATAATTATTTGTATACAAATTTGGGTTCTATCCGAAAACAGTGCAGGCATCCAATTTTTCCTTTCCTCCTCGAATGGGACAGAAAAAGTTAATTTTTAGGATGTAGTCTCGTCTCGCGAGCTGAGTCGAACGTACAACTCTTTTTTCCGGAGATGCCTGTGGACCGAGATATACATAGGTCCCGAAAATTGAAAAACCATCTGTGGAGTTGGCTTAATTTTGGAGTGAAAAATTCAATTTTTTAAATATCTCTTTCGAAAGAGCTCCTCGAACTGAGATTGACACCAAAATCACTGTGATTGAATAAGTTTGGACAAAGTTTACCACCGGTATACTATAATCTAAAAATCAACCGGTATACTACAGCCTAAAAATCAACTTTTCCTTTCCCATTCGAGGAGGAAAGGAAAAATTTGATGCCGGCACTGTTTTCGGATAGAGCCCAAATTTGTATACTTGAATTGTACTCAAGAATGAAAAACCTTTCTAACTTTAATTATTTTTCACTTTCCCTTATTCCTAACAACAATCCATATTTTTTAGGATCCGCAATCACACACACACACACAAATTGTTTTAGTACCGACAATTTATTTTTTCCAAAAGCAGCTCTTCCCCTTTTTTACCTACCAGCTTTTTCCTTCCCCCAACACCACAACTATCATTCTTTTTTATCCATCCACAACCCAAACGATCGCTAACAACATTTTCCTCTTCCGCTCAGCTTTTCTATCCAATAAAAAGAATTTTTTAATTAAATAAATTTATTAATTAATTGAGAGATATAAATGAATAATTTAATAAATATTTTATCCGTTTCCTTTACTCTTTTTGTTATTTATCAGGCTTTGAATGCTCAAAGTTTGTTTAAAAAAATTAGAAAATTAATTTTCTAATTTTCCCATTTTTCCCTCATATATTAGGACAGGATCAAATAATTGCTGATCTTGGAAGGCTAATTGTTGAGAATTGCCCACCCATGCTTTGTACTGGTAAATTAAATTGTGAATAATAAATTGATAATAAAATAAAGGATTGGATTGCGCTGTCGTCACTGAACGAAACGGATGTCAAGTAAATTAATAGAGAGTCCTATGTATTACCTATATTATATATTGAGGTTTTTAACACCAAGGGTGTTAATAAGTTCCCTATATATTTAATTTCGATAATAATTTTTTCGAAAATACTTTCGCATTACGTTTCACTATTTTTTATCAAGTTTGCAAATTATATGCATTTTTTCCCGAAAGAAAATCCGAAGAAAATTCTACTCTGCAAGTATTGTAAATATTTTTCTCTTAAATCGAGAATATTTTATTACCTTAAATTATTAAATTAATTTCTGAATTGAAATGTTATTTTTGAAATAAATTTACACTAATCTCACCATTTTGAGTAGTTAAGACAAAAACACACTTACATAAAAAATTAATTAGCTCTGTGCTTGCCCTATTGGATCTCCAGCCCGAGGTTGTGACCCAATGCCTTTTGTCCTTTGGCACGATCTGATTGTTAATGGTTGCCCTAATGTAACGGTGAATACACGTGATCCAGCGCAAAAAGTTCATCGCTGGTTTAGAAGGGTATAGTTAAATATTTTATTTAATTTTAGAGTCGGAATTAAATTTTAATAAACTCAAAATACTCCTAATGTAAAAAAATATTTTAAAAAATTTTTTGGCGTTATTAAAAGGCTTGAGATCATTTACAAGGGACAAGGCCACTGACAGCCGAGCTATAACTTCGTTCAAAATTATCGTATCCGGGACCCCTTGTATGATTGGACGCGCCTTGATGATTTGACATTAAACCGGAACACCCTGGGGTCTATTCCACCAAACGATATTGAATTTTAAGGTCACTTTGTGGAACACAATCGCAATCGGAGTGTCAAGGGATTTCCAAATGCGCGACATTTGATGTCAATGTCACTTCGTGGAATAGGCCCCTGGACGGGGTAATTGTAAAAAACCCCGGATACTGAGCCGTCATTTGACAAGTTTGTTCAATACGCTCAGACTAGCTGAATCTAACCATACCAGGGCATCCCGGATTCAATAATTTTTAAAGAAGTTTTTTTTTATTTTTAGGTAAACCGATTCACAAATACCGATCAGTGTGAGGTATTTCATACACATTTTTCATTTAAACATTTATTTTAAACTAGCCTTATATTTTCCCTTATTGTTCTGAACTTGATTTTAATTTGTGGCGTTCACCTCGCACCAAACAAGAGTGTGAACTGGTTTGAATTTTTTACTCCTTTTCTTCAAAAATATTAAATTTTAAGTATTGTTATTCTTCCGAGGAACAACGAAAAAGAGGAGGATCGAATGTTGTTTAAATTTTGAATTTAATTTTTTATTTAAAAATATATTATGTCCCTTTTGTTATAAAAAATAGAATGATTATTTTGTAATCTAATGTGTTCTTTTCGGTTATAAGGTACCGATGGTAGTATGGTACAGTCCGGACACTAGGTATTTACAAAAAGCTCTTGAAATTAATTTGTTTAAACGAACGCACCCGCACCCCTACGAATATTGAGAAATTTGTGCATGATCTTTAGGGATCAAAAGGGTTTGAGGAGGTATCGGTGAATTTAAAGAGATAGAAAAATATGGGGGGATATGGACGAATAGAAGGATATCGGGGATTTTTGATTCAACTTTTCTAGGAATGCTTTAATTCTTTGATACGTGGAAAGCGAAAGCGCCTAATAAACTGCCGTGAGGCTACAGGCCTGTCAGGTCTAAACTTTTAACTCTCCTACTAAATTTTGAATTTAAATATGGAAAAAACGTTTAAAAAATTGATTTAAACTAAGGAAGGAGATAAAGCCATAGCACCGAAGATAAAGTATGTATATGGAATTTTTATTAAATATATTTTAAATTTGAAAAAAATTAAATGAATATGTATTTTTATATTTTGGTTATTAATTTATTGAGGAATAAAGTGTAACAAACCTATGTATAACCCCCACCCCTACGACTTTTGAATTTCGCCTAATATTTAAAAAAAATTAATTTGAAAAAATTTCTTGAAATTAATTTCATTAAACGAACGCATTTTTGAGGGGTTTTTAACTAAAAAGCTTTAAAAAACTCTGAAACTTTCAAAATTCCAATTATTTTATAACATTTAATATTAAAAAAGAAGTATGAGCAGCACGAAAAGAGGGGTGGCCTTATAATTTTTTTGGACATTTCCCCTTTAAAAAAAATTTTAAATCCTATTTTTATTTAATTTCGTCTAATTAATTCACACAAAAAACAACAAATTTTAACTTGAAATATACTTTTTTCTATACTCGAATATTCCTCTACAGCTTCAGATAAAGATGCTCAACATCCATACTTGCCTTGCCCTCATCAATATTAGAACCAGTCACCTAACAAATTGGGAATTGTTAAAGGAATTAAAGAGAAATAAGTGAAATAGAAAGCCAGATATCTAATTTAAGTAAAAAACGGTAATAAAAAAGCCAAAAAATTTTTTTTAATCTCTTGCCCGGAAATTTAGGCCTAAAAAAGAAAATTTAGCAATTTCTGGCTAATTCTTCAGATAGAATTCGGGAAACCAAAAATCCTGTTCTTAAACGCTACACGAGAATTTTAAAACCTTAATGAACCTCCTTTCAATTTCTTCTATTTTCTCCCCTGTTCTACTTCTGAAAACTAAATCAATCAAAAATTAATTTTAGGATAAAAATAAAAATATTTACATCAGGACTGAACGCAATTGAAAAAATTTTCCGCAGCCGCAATCCGCAAGTCAAAAAAAAACACGTAATCCGCAATTGCGTCCAGCCCTGATTTACATTCTCATTTTAATATGGAATAAAAAAAAATTCCAAATCTTCATAAAAACTGCAATTAAACGTCATAAATGTATGACGAATAAGTATCCCCATAAACTATTTTTAATTGACTTAGCTTTCAGAGGAAAATAACGAAAAATAGAGAAAATCCCCAAAATGTTAAAAATAAAAAATATTTTGAATTAACCTGCATGATAAATTCAGACTCCTTCCTTTGATTTAATTTAGCTTTCTCGTGCTCCTGTTCAACTTTATGAATAAGTTTCTCAGCCTCCCATTCACGAATAAGTGCATGACCACGAGCAATTTGATGGAAACGGACATAGCCATAACTAAAAATAACAGAGATTTTCTTTTGTTTTTGTTTTTATTGAATATTAAAATGGATATTGGTTAGAAAAGACGGAAATTTTCAACTTTAGGGACTCATTTTCTGGTAAAGGTGGAAATTAATGGTCCCGAAAAATGAGGAAGAAATGCTTTTTGATATTTTTGAGGCTTTCCAGTAGGTAATCAAGTGTGGCGAATCTGGGCTTAGAATTTGCTTATTTCGGACCCGAATTCGACCAAGTTGAACCATCAGTTCTCTATTTTTTCTTGTTCACCCCCAAAAAATAAATTAATTAAATAGGATTAATTTTGAAAATCAACAAAGGGCAGGGAAAGGAAAATAGGAAATAAATGAAAGTAAAGTCCCCTATAAAGCTTAAAATTCCCAGAAAAACTTCTACAAGTCCAAATTAAAAAATATTTAGCTAATTAAACCTTGATTAACAAATTATTTTCAATAAAAACATAAATTACATTATTCCAGCGCCAAGAGCAGTCCAACGAGCAAAACGAATTAACGGCGAAACCTGGATTGGTTCAGGAAGAATTATATCGGTCGGATGCGGCTTAGACATTTTTTTAAATAAATTTTATCTAAAATTTTAATTAACAAGGACAACAAAAGTAGAGCTAGGAACGGGATCGGGACCCGGACCCGGTTTCCGGGTCCGTTTTCCCGGTTTTTTTGAAGCAACCGGGTTGAAACCGGGGACGGGTTTTCCCGGTTTCCCGACCCGGAACCCGGCCGGTCCATTTTTCAGAACCCGTTACCCGGACCCGGTCCCGGCTTTTTTTTTCACCGGGAAACCGGGAAAAATATTTAGTATATTTACGTACTTTGATATTAAATTTTTGAAGGAAAAGGGAAAGGAATACAGTGGGGTGCAAAAGTAATGACTCAAAAGTAATGACTTTTGACTTTTTCGGATTGTCTGGATCTCGACTTTGAGTAGAGATATGAGCCTGATTTTTTTTGTTTATAGTATCTCTATATGCATATGTTTGATGCAATTTTTTGTGAAAAAATTTTTTACAACTAGTCAGAGATATGATTCGATAAAATTTTGAGTCATTACTTTTGCACCAGCTAAAATTGAGGTGGTCTCGTTTGAAAATTTTTAACTTCCATATTTTAAATTAATTTTAGCCAAGTTTTATATATATTTGAAGCTGACACTTTGGGGAATATTTTCATCCATTATCAGTTTCATTTGGACCATCTCCTAAAAAGTTATAGTACTAAATTACTTTGCTCGACCCTTGAGTCATTACTTTTGCACCCCACTGTATCTATAATTTACAATATCTCCTTTTATTGGTCGATAGTTGAGTGGTTAAGTTGACTGACTTCACTCATCTAGTCAATTTATAGGGATGGGGTTCGAATCCATGTATGGAAATGGGGCTGAGAAAATTTTCTTTTCAAAAAAAAAAATAATTCTAAACTTTGATTTTGATTTTAAATTTGCAAATTTATTTTTTTAATATTTTAAACTTGAAAAAATATTAGAAATTTTAATTTAATCATGAATTTTCCAAAATTTTAGCCTGTGCGCAAAAAATTTAAGAGTTCTGGCTTCATACCATCTAAACTTCGAAAAATTTTTTCGCTGGCAGTTTTCTCCTAAGGCCTTACAAAATTCTCAAATTTTTCGCCTCCGGCGATGAAAAATGAAACTCTAGTTTTAAATAATGTGGAAAAATACAGCTGGCTTCATGGCCCTCAAAATTTATCAAACTTTTCACCTACGGCTGTCGAAGTTAATAGACTTCTGTAGTATTTCTTTGAATTTTTCCATTAATCCCAAGTACGAAAGAACAAAAGGCAGCAGTCGATGAACTTATGTTTCAGAAAAGGGAATTTGATCTTGAGTTAAATAATCGTGAATGGCATTTACTTGCATTAATAGAGGTTATTTAGAATACGTATAGGAGGATAGTTGAAAAAAGCAGCCCCATGTGGAAAAATACAGCCCCATTTCCCCATTTCAACAAATAAAAAAAACCCGGTTTCCCGGCCGGGACCCGCCCATTTCTAGACCGGGTTGAAACCGGGAACGGGTTTTCCCGGTTTCCCGGACCCGGAACCCGGCCGGTCCATTTTTCAGAACCCGTTACCCGGACCCGGTCCCGGCTTTTTTCAAAATTCCTAGCTCTAAACAAAAGTTTAGATTTTCAGTCAATTTCTTTCTTTATGTTGTCTCTCACTTTTTTGAGTAAAAGAGACTAGAGTCTGACCCAATTTTGCGATACAAATTTTTTAAAATTCTCGGCCGACTCGGCTGATTCTTAAGTAAATCTAAATAGCTGAATATGATGATTATTATTACTAAAATATTAATCTATCATCACATAAAAATCATAGTCATCTAAAGATTGAAACGCACTTTTACCTTCAACTCAATGTGATCAACCAGTCAGATCAAGCTTTAAAGAATAATAATCATATTCAGCACTCTAGATTAGCACAATTATGTATTCCAATTGGCCAAGAATTTAAAAAAGTTATATCTAGCATCTGAATGGATGTCTTCTACACATACGAAAAAAATTGAAAGACTGACAAATAAACTTCGTACAAAACGTCTTGTATAATTGCAGTTGCAAAATTTAAATAATTTTATAATTAAATAAAGAAAATATTAATAAAATGAAAAATAAATTAAAAGAAATCAAATAATCTAGATAAATTCATTTGTAATCTAAATATTGCCTTTTGAGAGCCGGGATCAGTTTGAGTCGTTTTTTCTTCTTCCAACGATTTTTGTTTGTTTAACATGCCGATTAATGAAGAAATTAACTGGAATGGAAAAATTGGTTTAAATAAAGTCGAAATTAATTTTTAGACACCCTCTTAGAGTGAAAAATTTTATCTTATAATGAGCCAGGGGGTTTCTGAGGCTATAGCCCCCCCCCCCCTAAAATAGAGAAAGGGAAAAATATTAGGAGAAAGATGATAGGAAAAATGAAATTTTTTCGCTTACGACCTTCAGTCGTAAGCTTTTTTTTTGCCTGCGGCGATGAAAAAATAAAAACATGTGTACAATAAAATTTGCGTTCAAAACTCCAAAGTAAACGCCAAAATTTTGACGCCCCCTCCATTTTAGCCCCCCCCCCCCCCTTGATTACGCCCTTATAATGAGATGTACGACTTCCAGTGTCCAACCCCAACATAAAAATTGTATTTTATGAGGATTGGGTGTATCTGCTAAAAGTAAAGTTTAAATGTCTTCCTTCGTTGAAAAAATACAAAAATTTGCTTACCCGTTCTGACCTAATCCTTTCCACCGTTTGCATTGCTCGAATTTCGTCTTTAATTATTTTTTGCAATTTAATAAATTCTGCTTCTTTCCCAGGTTGAATAATCTTAAAAATTGAATGGAAAAATTTCTTTTAAAAAATAATTTAACTGTAACTGCCGTAGTTTCATCTCTCGAGGAAATTATATTTCTATATTCTAAATTAATTAGAATTAATTTTAAAATATTAAACAATTATTTTTACCTTTATATGTTCTAGCACAAATATACAATAAAGTAATTAAAGTTACTAAAATTAAGCGCCGAATTAATTTTGATGAAAGCATTGGGGGTGACATCTAAATACTAATTATTTTGTTAAGATCTAAAACAATTTAAAAACATGGCTATATATTGGAGACAGAGCAACTTTCAGGTAAAAGCTAAACTGCAACTTAAATTTATTTCGCCGAACTATGAGGTAATTTTCAAAAAAAAAGTTTAAAAATATTTGCAGAGTGCAGCCCAATACGGCGCGCGGCCATAACGGCGCAAAGCCTTAACTAACTGGAAAATATCTGAATCTTATCAATTTTGACATCAATCTCCTTATCTCGATGAGAGGAATCGTTTAATACTAAATCTGTTAAGATTAGCACATCTTGAAGTGAGTTATGGCTTTGCGCCGTCATGACCTCGCACCGATTTGGTCGTGTCCAAAATTTACATAATGCCAAAAAGGCAGAAATTACAGTAATTAAATTTAAGGATTTAAAGTCCAACAAAAATAAATTTTACTAATTTCCAACTTTATTTTTACAATTCAAGATCCTAATTTAGTTTAATTTTACAAAAGCATTTTTTTAATTCTCTTTTATGTAAGAGGCCCTAATAAACATTTTCCAATTTTCACCCTTTTCTCTTCCCCCATCCTTTTTTATATCATTTTATGTCCTCAAAGCGCGCCATTTCTTTCAATAAAAACGTGGTCAAAAATATGTCCATCCTTGTTATTTTCACTGCTTGATACGGAAGTTTTCCCAATCCAGTCAGTGTTTGTCTGTTGGCCGCCGATGACGCGAAATACCAACGACCTTTTTTGTTTAAAATGAGTTGCTTTTTGAACTACTAGACTAAAAGGAATGGCGGTAAAAGTTAAAAAGTCGCCGATAAAAAAATAAGGAATCGTCCTATCTTACACCAACCCGTGAAAAATGAATGAATGGGGTCATAAAAAAGAGGAAAACTTTTTTGTCACTTGAGCCTTGTTATTATAAAAAGGGTTTTAAATCATTTTTTGACAATCTTCTTTGTCAACCTTTGATTAACTCCACTCGAAAATAACTTTTATACTTTTTGCCGTTTAAATCCATCTCTTTGTCTTGTCAATTCTTTTTTATTTTCATTAAAATTTCCATTCAAAGTCCGACAAGCAGGGTTGTCTGCAGGGATCCTGCCGAGAAAAAAACAAAATTCCCGATTTCGGCAAATCGGGATTCTCAACAAAAATAAATTTCACGAAATCGGGAATCAGGAATTCCCGGGCCAAAAAACGTCGGGAATTCCTGATTTCGGGGATTCGGGTCGCCAGGATCGCTGGTCTGCAATCTGAATAAAATTTTACGTGTCCGCAATTTGACAATACAAAAAACCAACGCAATCTATACAATGCGCGCTTTTGGATATCCTTCCCGCATGAGATAACTCTATGTTCTGTCCCTTATCTAAATTTTCAACCAAAAATCAAAAAACAATATTTAAACCAAATCAAAAAAATCTATTTAATATTACATTATCTACTCAACTCTATATAATTAATATTTTCTTCCTTTCGTGCCTGTCTAAGGGTAAGATTGATGGAGAGTAAATGACGCCAATTCAAACTGACTGTCTTGGTAAACCGTCAATAAAGATTTAAACTTTTTATTTGAATCGGGTGAGGGTGGGGTTTAAAATCTTTTTTTACAATTAGTGCAATTTTGTTAAACTTTTTTTTTGGTTGTAACCTCCCCCCCCCAATAAATTTCAAAATTTTTTGACAATACTGAAATAGCCCCCTACCCATTTACTTATCTGCCCGCCCAAATTTTCCTCCTCCTCTCCCTTCCCTTTCCTCATTTCCATCTTCAACCTTTCCGGAGGAGGAAAAGAAGAAAAAAAGGTACTGGTCATCTGCTTTTGTTTGCAAAAATGGATGATGATGAGAAAGCCATAACGGGAAAACGACCGCCCAATCGCTTCCCAATTCCTTCATTTAAAAATTCGGTAGTGTTGTTGTCCTTCATTCATTTATTCTAATAAAAATGCCAGAAAAATAGAGCGGAACTGTAAAAATTCCTTCCATAAATGTCCACAGATGTTTCCTTTTTTTGAATTTTCTTAGTTCAAATTTTCTTTCATTTTCAGTTTGCGCAAAGGTTCTTCTAGTAGGACATCCTTTGCTTTAAATTTTCTATCCTTTCCCAAAGCTATTTTTCTTCCCAAATATTTTTTTCGTTCATCCAGATACTTTTTTTGTTCTTTTTTTGTTGAAAAAAACATTTAAAAAAAGAACAAGGTCAACAAATTTTTTTTAAATATTTTTATTTATTTTAGATAAAAAGCCTTTTAAACCCCTCAAAAAATGATAGATTTAAATCCAGCTAATTGGAATAAAGAAAATATTTGTGATTTACCTCTTTCTAAATTTATTAATCCTTCAATTAATTCTTTAATTAATGAACAATGTGAAGAAGTTGAAAGTAAAAAGTTTTTGAAAATTAACAAAACATCTGGCAATAATGAATATTTTGAAGAAGAGAGTTTTAAAGTTAAAAGAGGCCGTTTTGAAATTGAAAAGAAATTGGAGAAAAGTTGTGAAGAAAATGAGAATGTTGGTAGCGAGGAAGCAGAAGAAGAGTGAGTTTTTTTGGTTATATTTTTTAAATTTTGAGCACATTTTAACAGAAATTTTAAATAATCACAGTCTCGATACGTCCTTAATTTAAGAGCACGCGGACATATCGAGACGGACATATCGGGATATTTCAAAACTTGGAATAAAGTTTTTATGTTTTAGAACAAAAGTAAACGCATGAAATTATTTTTGTCACCCCAATCCCGATATGTTCGTCCCGATATGCCTGCACACCAATTTAAGATACATTTTTTAGAATTTGTTTTTAGAATTTTGCTGTTTAGTAAATTCTTAAGCGATACCTTCTATTCTATTTAGGATATTTTTAAACTTTTGGGTGTCTTATAGTAAAATTAAAATTTTAAAAAATCTCAATTTTATTAAAGCCAATCTATAAATGATGAGGCTGAAAATTGGGAGAGCCTCTCTTTTTGGTGGTCACAACGCCAAAATCTTCGGGATCACAAAGGTTTTAAAAAATAAAATTTGAGGGATTTAATCTTTTAAATTTTAGCCAAATTAGCCTCTTCAAGATGTTTATTTCCAATTAATGAAGAAATAAAAAAACAACAAAATTTGGAGTCTTCTTCGAAACAAGTTAAAGCACGTATTGTCTTGGGGGAATTATTTTGTTATGTTCTATCGCCTTTTAAAAGTCAAGAATATTCGGATGAGGAAGAAGAAATTGAGGGAGAGGAATTACCACAAAAACAACAGAAAATTTGTTTAACTCCAAATAAAGTTTATTAAATATTTTGCCTGTTTAAATTTTTTTTGGAGGAATTGGAAGTTTTTGGGATTAATTTAGAATATTAATTTTTAAGAAAAGAGAAAACATTCTAAATGGAAACGCCCAAAACAAAGCGCGGGCGGAAGCCATAACTTGCTTCAGAATTGTCTAATCTCAACAAAATTTAGTATTAAACGATTCTTCTCATTGAGCTGCAGAGTTTGGTAACAAAATTGATAAGGGCCAGAAATTTTCCAGCAAGTTATGGCTTTGGGTTGTTTTGGACGCGCGTTGTTTTGGGCTGTACTCATTTAAAATATATTGAGAATATTTTTTATACCAATTTCCAATTAATTCTAACAAAAAAAAATTATTTTTCTTCCCCCCAACATATAACTGTTCTCTCTTTTTTTGATTAACTTTAATTATAAAACCTATTAATTTTTGATGTAAAATTATTGTAATTTAAATTTATTTTTCAGAATTTTGTAAAAATACCACATTTATGTGCCGATTTTTAATTGGGAATTTAGAAAATAAAATTTCAAAAAAATTAAAAATCGAGCAAATTAATATTTATTTTTGATGACCTCAACCTTCTTTAGACTGCCATTAATTGTATTTAATATAATTTAAAAAGTGCCTACTTAAAAATAATATTTTTTCTTTCTCTTTTTTCACTTATTTTAAATAATTCTTGATATTTTTGAAAACTTTCCTTTTTTTGATTTTTTCACTTTTAACGTTTAAATAAAATATGGAAACATTAAAAATGTCAAAGGAACGGGCTATGACATTAAAATTAACAAAATATTTCCTTGCATTGGTACAAAAAGTTTACCCAACGAGGATTTAGTTTCTTGGTAGTAATGATCAGATCTAGTATATCTAGGTATCATTCGACCAAGCTCGAAGAACGCTTTCGAATGATATATGATAAATTATATACCAAACAAAAAAAGCTCAAAATGGTCAGGGAAACTGAAAAAAGGGGGAGGGCGAATTCCAATCTATTACCAATTCATTTTTAAATAATTCTTGATATTAAAAAAAAAATTTTTCTTTTTTCACTTTCAACATTTAAATAAAAGAAATGGAAACATTAAAATGTCAAAGAAAAGGGCTAAGAAGAAATTTTAGATTTTTATTAAATAAAATTTTCGATTTTCTTGAATTTTTTTGTTTGATTTTTATTTCTTTCTCCCCCTCTCTTCTATTTATTTATTGTCCTCCTTTAAAATATTTATTTATTAAATATTCTTTTTTCGATTTTAAAACATTTTTCTGAAATTTATTTGTAATAAAAATTGGTAGCGAAACGAGAAAAAAATTTTTTTCTTTTTATAAAAGAAAATGGTTTGGTTGTTAAAAAGTATTTTAATACAAGAAGAGATTTTAGGGGAGAAAGGGGAAGAAAAAAGAAATACCCCCCCCCCTTTAAATATAATTCTCGCGCGTTTAATTCTTTTCAATTTTTATGGTTTTTTTAATTCTCGCAATTGATCAGAAAAATAATATTTTTTTTTATTTTGAATTTTTTTTTTAATTTTGTGGTTAATCACGAGAGGGAAGAGAGATTATATTTAATTTAGTCAACTGATTTGTTTTTGTAAACAAAAAATATATTTGACTCGAAAAAGTCTATCCAAAAAAATTTGGCAAAATTGAAGTTTAAAATCGAAGTTTTGATGAGAAATGAAGGTTTTGGAGAGAGTTTACTGAAAAGTTAGTATGCTGAAAGGTTAGGTATTTTCAGACTAGAGGCTGGACTGGGAGTCATACGGGAATCGGCACGAGATTTCTCGTAAAAATTTTCTCAAAAAGCTTATCTCAATCCTATCTCTATTTCAGACAGCTTAACAAAATATTTAATTTGATTAGATCCAACTATCAGAATTTATTTAAGATTCCTTTTCTATCAATCTTCTTGTATCCTTTTGTGTCAATCTTTCTCTTCGAACTCAATTTAATTCTTGATTTCTCTTGTAGTTTTTTGATTTTAAATTTTAAATTCTAAATTTAATTCATTAATTTTTTTGATTATTTTTATTTTTTAGATCGACATTCGCAACTACTTTTTAATTTACTAACTGTTCTCCCTTAAATACTCCCTTCAATACTTACTAACAACATTCACGCGTTCCTTTTTTCTTGAAAAAAAAAATTTAATTAAATTATTACTATTTATTAGTCTTCTTCCATGGAATCGATCATTCTTTTATACTTTTTCTCGCCCCTACAATTATTATTTAATTAATATTTTCCACTAAAAATGCTCAAAAAAACAACATCTGCAACAAGTTTAAGAAAATTTTTTTTAATTTTCTTTTCAAATTTTAGGAGACGAATCTCTCCATTGCGGGGTTAAGACTATCCAATGTGTTGGTTTTAATCGCAAAAAAGTGTGGCCGGCTAAAGAGGGTACAAGCAATGCAGAATCTAAACTTAGAGATAGCCTGAGCTTGGTAAAGAAGAATTTTTTTGGAATTAATTTTTCTCGAAAGAAATTTTTGGGAGGATTAATGTGTATAGCTACATATTTACCTAATTCCTAAAGCTATTCAGATCACTTACAAAGGAGAGGCTTTTGGGTGTCCGTGAGACTTCGGGTCGGTAAATAGGTAAACAACTATTGTGAAATTTTCTCTACTATTTTAGCAAAATGGTACTTGGGGCCGAGTTATAAGGCCCTCCGCTATTTACCAAATTTCATCCCGAAGTCCCACGAGCAGCCTCTCCTTTGTCAGGTCAACTAAAGGATGCTTGGTTAGCTTCCACCCGCCTAAATAACCTTTTGTTTTAATTAAAGGACAAATAGCTATATGTATCCCTCTAAAATAATTTTTAGTAAGGTTTAAAGACCGCCGATTATATTTTTAAAAGATGACAGGACCAAAAAATAAAAATATTTTGAGGTGAATAAGTGTTCCTTCTCCTTTTCTCGTAAATAAATAAATATAGATAAGAATTTATGACCTTGGAAGAAAAATGAGAAAAGAGGGAAAAAGAGACAACCAAAAGCGTAAAAATAATAAAAGGATTTTTTCTGTTGCTTTATGTCCGGTGATTTTCATTTTCAAAAATTTTTCCAAATATTTACTTAGCTTTTTTTAAAAAATTTTTAAAAATAAAATAATGATTATTTATGATGAATTAAATAAAGAATTGATTGATTCTCAAGAATTTATTTTTAATGGCTCTTTGGTAGATAAATAAATTTTTGGGGAGAGTTTTTTAAAGGGAGAGAGAATTAAGGGTAATCTAGGTGTTAAATTACCCAATTCAATCCCAACTCCGAAATTTTCTTCTAAACATTTTTCCTTCCATTTTTAGTCATATGTGGAGCATTATTTAACATTGGAGGAATTGAGGGACATTCATCCCGATTCTTTCATTGATTTGAATGCACCTGAGAAAAGTGATGGATTGTCTAGTGAAGAGGCTAAGTAAAGATTTTTAGGGGAATTTAATTTAAATTTGAAAATTTAGGAAGCGATTAAAAGATGGAGGTGCCAATGTTTTAGCCCCACCAAAAAGAATCTCTAATTTAAAATTATTTGCCAAACAATTCCTATATAAATTTTGGTTGCTTTTGATGGGAGCGGCACTTTGTACAATATTTACTTATGTGAGTCTCTAATATTTTTTCTTGTTAAGAATGGGGAATCCTTCATTTAAGACGTCTAAATGAGGGATTAGAATTCGTAAGAGAAAGCAGAATCATGCTTCAGTAGCTCAGTCATCTGTAGAGTAGGGTCGGCGGTTTTTGGTAAATTTTTTGATATCCAAAACAGTGCTGTGTTTTGGGCATTTGTTGGCTCCAGCTCCGGAGCTCCGCAGGTGCCGGGCTCCTGGCTAGCTCCAGGAGCCATACACACGGGCTTTTCGGTTCCACAAAATCTGACCTTCTGTAGAGCATCTAAACATGCTAAATTGTGAGCGAAGCGCGTAGAAAAAATTGTCAGCTGGTGTCAGGGCTTGTTTTTATCTTCCCATTTTCTTTCCAAACTTTTCCCTAACTCTCAATTATTACCCAATTTTCAGTTTATTCATTTATATCACGGAACAGAAGAATTACTAAATCTTTATTGTGCCTTTACTTTAATTGCTGTTGTTTTAATTATGAGTTTTCTGAGTTTTTGGCAAGAAAAGAAAGCAATGAAGGTTGTTTATGATTTTGCCCAACATATGCCTCATAATTGTTCTATTATTCGGGATTGTGAAGAAAAACAAATTCCTTCAGATGAATTGGTTGTTGGGGATATTGTTATAATTAGGTAGATGTTTAAACTTTCCCTTATTAGACTGCATGCGTTGAAATGATGTTTATCGCATTATTATCTTTAAAATTTGGAGAGATTATTTTTTCTGGAGCATTGATTCGATTAGATCACACTACTAAAAATTACAGCCTAGTAAGCATAAAGACACGATTATGCTCACTTATCCATAAATAACTTTTTGTAGGATGATCTGATCAAATCAACCCTGCTGGATAAAATAATCGACATATCCAGAGCTTTCGATTGAAATAATAATTATTTAATTTGGTTAACAATCAAAAAAGTTATGGCCCAAAATATGGTCTCGAGACTGAAACCTCTACTCATTAGATGGGAGGGAGAGAGAATTGTCTAAACGATACCACTTTTTAAAAAACAATTATAATTTGTAGTAGGGTTGTTCACGACCGGTTTTAAAACCGGAATTTTTGAAATTTTTTGCCTAAAATTAACCGCTTTTAGAAAATTTTATAAACCGAAAACCGGAAATTTGTGAAAATGAGTGGTTTTATTAAAAATTCTCCCAAAATAAAACCGGTATTTGTCTAAAACTCAAAACCGAAAACCGGGGGTACCGGTTAATAACCGATCACTAAACCCTAATTTATAGTTTTTTAGCTCTAATGTTGTATCTTTTAGTGAGGTCCGACTATTTTAAATATATTTTATTTTCTAAAATTATTTTTTTAATTTACAAAATTTTAAGATCTGGCCAACAAGTTCCTGCAGATATTCGGTTTGTTTTATTTTCATTTTTAAATTTTATTTTTCCTTTTTAAAAAGAATTTTACAATCAAACGGAGTCAAAATAGAATCATCAGCAATTAATGGAGAGCCCCAAGCCGTTGACTACACAAATGAACCGGCGGCTAAACACGTTGCGCTTTTTGATGCAAGGAATGTAATTCTTAGAGGTTGTTATTGTACGGAGGGGGAGGCTATTGGATTGGTGATTAGAACTGGGAAATATACGGTTTTTTAAAAATTATTTTTTGAAAAAAATATTTTTCTAAGATGTTGGGTAATTTTACACATTTACAATCGACTGTTAAATTAACAGAAACTTTATTACAAAAAGAAATTGCAAAATTTGTTCAGGTTTTAATTAAAATTATTTTCTTTTACTTCACTAATTAGGGTTGTCGATTTTGGACGATTTTGGTTTCGGATATTCGAGGAATTTCCAGGGACCGAAACTCTATCACTAATAATAAGTAAATAAATCTCATATTTCGAGTGTATTTTTTAAATTTTCGATTATTAAATTAAAATTAAGCTCATATTTTGACATAAGTTTAAACTCAAAACATTGAATCTAACCAAGAAAATTATTGCAAGATTTTTCAAATGAAATTGAAAATTATAAGAAAACATTTCAACATAAAATTTAATTTAACCAGAAACGTGTTAGAATAAATTAATGAAAGAAAAGTCCAAAAAAAAGGAATTTTTATGTTAAATAAGAAATTTTATTTATTAAATTTTTAAACTTTTTTTCAGTTTATTTCAATTATTGCTCTTTCAATGGGAGTTATTTTCTTTTTAATTGGTTGCGTTGTTACAAGGTACTTATTTATTAAAAATTTTTTTTGAAAATTTCTATTTTACAGATTTGATAATGTTCTTTACCATTTTGTTACCGGATTTCTTATTATAATGTAAATTTTATTTATTTTTTTTTAATATTTACACTAAATTCCCCCCAAAAGTGTAGCTAATGTGCCCCAAGGCTTGCCAGCAATGTTAATGTCTCAATTGGCAATTATAGCTAGAAGAATGGCTAAAAAGAATGTGTAAATTAATTTTAAAAAATTTAAAATATTTAAAAAGGTTTATTAAAAAATTGGATATAATTGATGAATTGGGGGCAGCAACGGTTATTGCTACAGACAAGACTGGCACATTAACACAAAATTTGATGATACTTACAGATATGTGGTTAGTGGATTTTTTATTTATTTTAGGGTAGCTCCCCGAGCCTTCGGTGTCAGACGTACCGGGGATCGGGTTTGCCGGGGAAGGCAAAAAGTTACGGGGGACGCGGAGCTACGCTAATTTATTTAGTTCCTTTTAATTTTTCAAACAATTTAAAGGTACAATCGAAGGTATTTTTCAGGTAAAATTATTTTTTAGATATTCCCCCATTAAATATTACGTGTCGGCTTAAGGAACAGACAAGTCAAGGAACGACCAACTCATGGAATATTTAAAAAATCGGAATTTTTTGAAAAATCTGAATATTTTTAAGAAATAAGAATTAAAAAATTAGAATACTTCAAAAAACAGAATTTAAAAAATTCTGATTTTTAAAATATTCCATGATTTGGTCATTCCTTGAGTTAATATGATCCTTGACTTGTCTGTTCCTTGACTTAGCCCTCACCCAAATATTTCCATTTAAGTACACGGAGAATTGAAACATACACACATGAAAGTGCTTAAACATGCAGCTCAAAGAAAAGAATTGGAAAGGCCGTTACCTGAATTATTGGCAGTTATGTGTATGTGCAATAAAGTTTGTTTTTAAATTTTTAATGGAATTAAAAAAAAATATTTTTAGGCCCATTTTGAACGTACACGACGTTCTATGCGCCGTGTATGTACACAAATGGCTTTGGAAAAAGAATTGAGAGAACAAAAAATTGTTGCTCGCCAAACTAAAACATTTCGTGTTGTGTATGTTTTTTTGAACGATTTAAAAAAATAAAAATTTTGAAGAGACCAAACTGGACATGAATCTGTTCGGGTACCTTCAACAAACGATCTCTGTAAAATGGAGGCAACTCTGACAGGAGAAGGAATGGAAGAGGACCCAGAAAGGTGGCCAAAGGCTAGGAAACGTACAAATGATTTGATTGGCTCGCCTTCTGAGGTAGGAGGGTTTTTGTAATTTTTCTAATTTACACTTAGTTTTGAAGGTAGCGTTGCTTCGTTATGTTGAAATGGTTGCTAGTGTGGAAGGAATTCGAAATAGATATAAAGTATGGAGGGGAGGGAGATATTTTTTGATTATTTTTTCGTTAAGTTAATGTTGGAAATTCCATTCAATTCTGTTAGGAGATGGCAATTAGTTGTGGTTAAATGTCTTGTCAGTACTTTAAGTAGCGGAATGAGTGCTGGAACGCCTGAAAAGAGACCTCAATTCAGTCGTTTTTTGACTCCATCACCAACTACAGAAAATTCAGAAACATCAGAAAATGGCGAGAATAAAAGCCAACATTCTCCACCTTCACAGAATGCAGAAGCCGATTTTTCAGTTATGATTAAAGGAGCGCCTGAAGTGATATTGAGGTAAATGATTGGAATGAATATTTTATAAATACCGTAAATATCCTAATAGAAGCCCATGCCCTGTTATAAGCCCACCCGATAGGGGGTATTGAAAAATATAAGCCCAGGGCTTACATTAGGATATTTACGATATTTTCGTTTAAAGCCTTTGTTCTGATGTTCTAATGGCAAACGAACTCAAACCAATTGATGAACAGTTTCGACATGATTGCCAAGCTGCTTGGGATCATTTTGGTTCAGAAGGTCGTCGAGTTTTTGCTTTCGCTCAACGTCAATTTAGAGCTCCAGGGAATACAAAGTTTTCTGTACAATCGGAGAACTATCCCAAAACTGGCCTAACATTTCTTGGAATGGCTGCAATGATGGACCCACCAAGGTTTTTATTTTGGATAAATGAGGGATAAAAGCGTTTTTAAGAAACGAAACGGCCGCCGCAATTCAACAATGCAAAGATGCAGGCATTAAAGTTTTTATGATTACTGGCGATCATCCAAGTGCAGCTAGTGCAATTGCTTCACAAATTGGGTTGACAACAACTAAGAATGAGGCATTTTCTTTTAAAAACTTAAGGAATTTTTCCCTAAATTTAATTTTACAGGTTAGATCCAGAGGTAATCAACAAATAAAATTAAGCCTCGATCCGAGTCCCCAAATTGACTGGGCAATTGTTCTAGGCGAATCACTGGCTGAAATGAGCGTGGAAGAATGGGATCGATTGTTAACACACAAATATATTGTTTTTGCGAGGTTTTTTGAATTTAAATTGGTTTTTAAAATTATTTTAATAAAATTAGAACAACGCCTGAACAAAAACTTTTAATTGTAGAACAGTGCCAAAAGCGAGGAGAAACGGTGGCGGTTACCGGTGGGGGTGTTAATGATGCCCCTGCACTTGCTAAGGTTTTTTTTAATTTTTGTAAATTCTAAAGAAAGTTTTTAAAGGCAAATATAGGAATAGCTATGGGTGTTAATGGAAGTGATATTGCTAGAAGAGCCGCGGACATGTGGGTAAATGAATCTGTATTTTTATATTTTATTTTAGATTAAAATAATCTGTATTTTCCCCCAGCTTTTTCTAAAAAATTTTTATTTTTAAAAACTGTTTCTAAAAATTATTTCTGGCGAAAAAATCTAGTTAAAAAATATTTTAAAATTAATATTTTTATATAATTAAATTTATTTTTAAGAGTTTTAACAGACGACAATTTTGCTTCGATTGTGAAGGGCATTGAAGAGGGCCGATTGTTATTTGACAATTTAAGTATAATAATTTAATATTAATGAGGATTTTGGGTGAATTTCACTTTTAAGATAACCTTCGAGGGCTTATAATGAGTGTTTCCTTAAATTGGGGGGTATACAGCAGGGTGGGCCGAGTCCCAAAAAATACGAGATTTCACGAGATACGGGACTAAGCCTACCTCTGGTATACAGTTTCCTCACCTTGGGGCCCAAATTTTGTTGTTCATAATTTTGTTGTTGGGCCCCAAGGTGAGGAAACCTAGTGGCTAAACAAATTTAAAAAACGCCTTAAATTGGAGAGTATGTATCTGGTTCAATATATAAAAATAATTTATAGGACTTTCTATTGCCTATACATTGGCTCACCTTTGGCCTGAAGTTTGTCCAATCATTTTGAACTTTACTTTGGGAATGCCTCTAGGATTAGAACCGCTGCAGGCAAACAATAAATGTTTTGTTTTTAGTAATTTTTTTAATTTTCAAGATTTTAAGTATTGATTTGGCTAGTGAACTTCCCCCAGCTATTTCTTTGGCTTATGAAAGTCCTGAAAGGTTCTTTAAAAGATTCTTTCCTTTTTACATTTTCCAACTTTAAACAGGGATATTATGAAAGTTCCTCCTCGCAATCGAAATACAGAATTAGTTTCGAGTAGATTATTGTTATACTCATACCTTTTCTCTGGTACTTTTATAACAATTGGGTGTGTTGCTTCTTATTTGAGTGTTTATTGGTATTTGAATTAATTAATTATAGAAAATCTTAAAGTTTAAACTAGGGTAGGGCACAATCGATTATTAACCGATACCCTCGGTTTTCGGTTAATCCAGATTTTAAACTCCGATTTTCGGTTTTGAGTTTTGGTCAAATATCGGTTTTGTTTGGGGGGAATTTTTAATAAAATCACTCATTTTCATAAATTTTCGGTTTATAAAATTTCGGAAAAACGGTTAATTTTTGGCAAAAAAATTTCAAAAATTTCGGTTTTTAAAACCGGTCGTGTCCTACCCTAGTTTAAACTTACAGTTTATTATAATATTTCTTTTTAAAGGTACAACAAAATATCACCTCTCAACTTGCTGTATGTATCAGTTTAAGATTAGAGTGCGGCACAGAATAAGATCCCGTCCCCAATTCTGTCTCGTTCAATTTTTGTAAAAACTCTCCATTTACGGTCCCAAACTTAACCATTTTGCCGCTCTCTATTTGAATTATCTTCCTTATTTTTATATTCAGTTACACTTCAGAACGCTATTGGCATTATGAATCGGCCAACCTAACAATAATCGGTCCAAATTCTAGAGAAATATCATTCGATAATTTAGAACAAATTAGAATTAGGAGACAAGCCGCAGGTTTATTGAACTTGTTAAATTGTCATTTTTTTAAATTCTTTGTAGCTGCATGGCAAATTACGTTGGTTATGGTTAGTTTATATTTGGTTTTGGTGGGGAGACCTTCCCATCTTAAATTTTGTTCACTTTTCTTTTTAAATCTGTATTTATCAAAAAATTTAATTAATTATTCATTCCTTTGGAAAGAAAATCGCGATATCCAAAAAGTTAAAGAAAACTTAAGCCACAAGTAGCAAGTCAGGAAAGGATTAGGTTTTAGGAAAGAAATTATGAAAACATCCGTACTAGGCTGTCTTCTGCCTTCCGCAGAATTCCGCTTTTTACCCTCCGCGTGGCGTTTTTTAAATATGGGAGGACTCATCTCTGATCCGTACCGTGCATTTAAATAAAATTTTTAATAAATCTTCTAGTCTCAAGTATTCCATCTTTACATGTGCACAACTAGAAGAATTTCCATTTTTCAACATGGCATTACCAATTTAGTCAGCATTTTTGCAGTCATTATTGAAATATTATTGCTCAATTTATTTGTATACACGGTAAATAATTATAAATGTAAAGGGAGGGTACTTTTCCGTTCTTTTTTCTTCCAAAAAAGAATAGAAAATTTTGAACAAAAATATGACAGAGAAAGAAAAATCCAAAAGTTGCTTCCTTGTAGACGAATTAATTAATTAAAACAAAAAATTTTTTTATCTATTTTAGCCAGCATTTCAATATTTAATGGATATACAATCCCCACCTTTGTTTGTATGGCTGTTTGCACCAATTGTTGGTCTCTACCTTCTAGTTTTTAATGAAACGCGTAAATATTTTATCAGGAATCATCCAAGAAATAGAATTGTTAATTTACTCAAATTTTAGAAAAAAAGCTAATAATTTTTGTTCATTTTAATAAAATTTTGCATTTCTAATTTAATGTTTTGAAATTACCATATTTTGCATTTTATTGACATGAAAATAGAAGCAATGTGTAAGAAATTATGAAGAAAATCGAATTCAAAAATATCGCTTCATTTATTTTTGTTTTGGCGTTATGTATCAAAAATCGATATTTTTTGTCAACAAATTAGGGTGGGAGGCGAAACACATTATCCGACCAAAAGACAATCAGGACGTTTTTTAGAACAAACACACCATCCAAATTTTCCAGATAATCCAGTAATCCAACTTACCTATGTCGATATTATGATTTATCTTTAAGCCCTACGAATATTGATTAGGTCTTGGCTAGGAATTTACTCCTAGGCCTAAAATTTTACTTTAAAATCTGTTTGCTCATTCTTAGCGAAATGGTCAGTGATGTATTTAACGACGGGTCCTTACATTTTCCTCTTGGTAACAGAACGGTACACTCCAGTTTTATGAACTCTAATCGATAATTGACATTATGAAAATTGGACATTATTAAAACTGACCCTTTTGCCACTTTTTTCCTTCAACGCGAATTAGAAATTTTGTGTAGACAAGTTATCGCGCTCAAATAAATGTACGCTCTCTCTGTTGTTTATCTTCCACATTTTGCGTTTCTTTTCCTCTTAAAATATTCTACAGCATACTAAATATGCACTTTTGTTGAAAAACCGAGAAGGGATTACCGGTTTTGAAGGCCGATCCTGGGTAAAAAAATCGATTCCCTATGTGAATCCACAGATTCAGAAGACGTTATATTTATAACAAAAAATTAACTCCAACACTGCTAGTACCTTTTCTCTAACACTAAATAACAACCAACTATTGCAAGTTGGCGGGGCCTGCCTATTTTTAATGGATCACGTGCAAGTTACACTTACGAATTACAAAATGTCCAATTTACATAATGCCCAGATACATATTGCTGATTTTGGTATATCGAACACTAAAACCGGATATAGTCCCAGAACTTAAATGTCGCCTCCAACTCGCAATCCCCTTCGGTTAATAATTGTTTTCATCCTCCCCTCTTTCTTAAATTTATTCCTGGGTTTCAGTGGTTTTTTTGATTTCTGTAAGATTGTTTAGAGTCTAGACTTAAATTGGCTTGGGACCATCCGTTAGTTTGTTGCCACATTTTTTCGGTCTGTTATACAAAAATTTCTAAACTCGAAAAACCTTAACGAACCGAGAAAAGGCAAAGGAAACATGGTCACAAATGCATTCACAAGTCGCTACCCTAACAATGTTATAGAAACCAAAAATTATCACAAAATCGAGAATGTAATGGCTGTGAGAAAGTTTAGGGGACAAGTACCATTCCCTACATTTCGGGTATAAATTTACCGGAAATATACGGTATCTTATCATTTCCACAATTGACATTTCTAAATTGGACATTTTGTCCTTCTGACATTTTGAACATGTTTTTTATTTTCAAAGACTATTTGCTTTCGCATTTTTCTACGCCCACTACTCTACTTTCCTTATTCTCTACGCACATTTTGTGGTTTGTCTTCTTTTCATTCCGATTCTTTCCATTATTTTCCTTCTATCCTTTCTTATTTATTCCCTTAACTCAAGCCAAGCCAACAACAACCCAGCATCTGCCGCCTAAAAGCACCGATATTTTTCTTCACCATATATTGTTTTTTTTTATTTTAGTGATACAAAAGTTAAAAAAAAGTTTAAAAAACTTCAAAAAATTTAAAATGTCTACTGCTGCAGCAAATTCTCCGACTACTACTCCAACTCAGCAAAATGCTAAAAAGGGAATTTCCAAGAAGGCGCAAAAGCCGAAGTCTCCAAAGGCATCGAAGAAACCAAAGTCGCCAAGCGATCATCCTCCATACAAATCTGTGAGGATTTCTTTAAATTCTCGAAAAGATAATTAAATATTTTTCAGATGATCAAAAAGGCATTGGATGAGTTGAAGGAAAAGAAGGGAGCTAGCCGTCTTGCAATCCTGAAGTTCATCATGTCGCATTACAAACTTGGAGAGAACCCGGCAAAGGTAAAAGACTTTCTTTTAGAATTTCAAGTTTAACACAACATTTTTAGATCAACGCCCATCTGAAGCAAGCTTTGAAAAGAGGTGTTCAGACTGGCTCTCTTAAGCAGACGAAGGGTATTGGCGCAGCTGGATCTTTTATTCTTGGAGAAGGGAAGGCAATCAAAATTGTCTCCAAGTCGGTTTCGCCAAAGAAGGCTAAAGCAAAAACTGCCGGAGTGAAGAAGCCAGCTGTTAAGAAAGCAACACCAAAGAAGAAGGTTTCTGGAAAGAAGGCTGCCCCGGCAAAAGCAAGTCCTGCTGCTCCAAAGCCTGCTGCTGCTCCGACTCCAGCAGTTGTTGCGCCTACATCACCAGCAGCTAAGAAGACGGTCAAGCCTAAGGCAAAATCGGCAAAGAAGGGAAAATCTCCGAAGAAGTCTGTTGCAAAGAAGTCTCCAATTAAGAAGGCAATTTTAAGCATTTTATTAATTTATATTCCCTATTATTTTTCCAGGCATCTGCAAAGAAACCAAAAACTGCAAAGAAGCCAAAAGCGGCCGGAGGGAAGAAGCCAGCTGCTGCAAAGGCAAAAGGAGGGAAGCCTGCTGCGGCGCCTCCAGCTACGAGCGCTTAGAAGGATGGATTTTGAACGATGCCAGACTTTCTTGGCCTTTTTAAAAAATTTTAAATCCCCCATTTGGATCTCTCCCATCATTTTATACTAAAACATCCATTTGATCGCTGTAGTGCACCCAATTTAAAATTTTTTTCATTTCATTACCATATTCTGAAAAAACACCTCTTTGATTATTTAAATTTTGTGTTTGTAGTTTAAGTGAGGAAAAAATGTTTGGTTATGGTTAAAAACAATAAAATTATTAAATACTCACTTAAACTATTAACTTGAAAATGCTTTGTGACTGAATAAAAGTGAAAAAGGATTTTTCTGATAATTGACTTTTTAAATATTTAAATTTGAAATTTAGTAACAAAGCATAAAATATCGCAACTTCTCTTTATGTTAAAAAAATTTAAAACATCAAGTCTTCCTTGTATTTATATTTAATTTTTGGTTGACTTGATTTAAATAACTGATGAAAGGGAAAAGGCTGGAAGACTTGATGTTCTATTGAGAACAATTTAACAAATATTTTGATAAAACAATTGACAAATTGATTTTTAATTAATTTAAAGAATTTAAATTAACATAAGGAAAATTTGGTAAGATTATACGGTTTGGTTTGGGTCCTTTTATGAAAATTTTTAATTCCATAGTTGGCTTGTTTCCAACTTAATTTCACACCCATATTTCCCTTAAGTGGAAGGTTTTGGACGTTTTCTAGGGCATGAATACCCATCATAAATCATGAAGGTATTAAAAGGAAAAAGGGGTGGACCCAAACCATAAAATCTCCAAAAATTCTCTAATCTTCTTTGACTTTTGGAACATCTAAACGTTTTATATTTTCTGCTTCAATTGATATTTTAGTAATTTCTGGTGTTGTCTCTGTCTCCGGCAAAGATTTAAAGTGTTCCAGATTCCCTAGGAATAATTCAGCTGCTTCTTTGTCTACAATTTCACATCCAAAAATTGGAATTAGGAGAAATTCCTTTTTTGGTCTAAAATAAAAATATCTTTAGTGAATTACAGTGTCTTTCGTCCTTTAATTTTTACTGGTAATCTTTGGCATATATAAGTGTGGGGTTGGTGTTGGTACTTACGGGAACTAGGTTGAAACTGTCTATTAACTTGTTGATATCCACTTTTGTTCTGTTATATGTAGTATATGTGTTATTCTATATGTGTTATTTATTATATGTAGTATATTATTATTAGTATATGTGTTATTCCCTTATATTTTTAATATTTTTGAATAGAACGAGATTAATACTATTTTTGCCTGAATCATTTTTCGGATTTTAAAAAAGTTGAGGAACATTCTACAAGTTGAAGAATGGGAAATTTTTTTTGTTAAAAACGAAAAATGATTCAAGCAAAAATAGTATTACTCTCGTTCTATCCTCTCATCTCATCTCAAAACATTTTAGAATAACCTAAAAGTCCATATCAATTTAGAATAACCAGCCACTCCAGTAGAATTACTGTCTGTTAAATCCTTCATATCCCCCAAACGAGCATACTCATTTTGGCGAAATCCAAACTTTGAAAAATGTCCAATTCTGTAAATTGTTTTAGATTCTTTATCAACAGAGATTACACCAACAATACGAGTTAATTCTCTAAAAAATAAAAAAAGGTTTATTTAGTGGGTGAGGGGAAACTCAAGAAAAGGACAAGACAAGGAACAGACAAGTCAAGGAACGACCGTCTCACGGATACTTTAAAAAACAGAATTTAAAAAATTGTTTTTTAAAAATATTCGAGTTGGTCGTTTCTTGAATTGTCCTTTCCTTGAGTTAGCCCGACACGTTATTTAGAATATCAAAATAACCTTTTAACCAAAAAATTCACTAAAGTAGCAAACATTGCCAATCCTAACTGGGTCGAAATTACAAGTAAATCGACTAATCCTGTAGCTGATAATTGTTGAAAAATTGAGTAAAATAAAAGAATATATGAGCCAAAAAACATTAAAGAATTTAAACGGAGGGTTATAAATAATCTAGAAAAGTCTGTGGATTATAAATGAGAGAATAAAATAGACAAACCTTAAAAGGCCTTTTCGATTCCTGTAAACTGGAATCCTTAAAGTTAAATTATTTTGAAATTATAAGTATTAAACAAAGGTTTAACTACGAGGGGGAATTGAAACTGTAACCCTTGTTCAAGTCGAGATTGGGGTATATGAGAAGTTAAGGGTTAAATGGCCGTGTTTTTGATATTTAACCCTTAGAAGAGGGAAAGGGGGATAGAATAACGCCAAACTTGAATATTTGGTATGGGCCATCATAATTTTGCGAGGTTCCCTGTTTGCCACGTCCACATGCTCTAAACTTTTCTGTCTCTCATAATTAGGGTTGTCGGTTCCTGGAAATTCTTCAGATATCCGAAGCCGAACTGAAAAATCCTCGATTCGGTCCAGAACAGACAAACCTACTTATAATAGATCAAATCCCCCGCCTAAGAATTTCCCAACAAAATTCCTAACCAACCAAGCATTTTCACGTTCAGCCTTCTCCTTCAACCTTAATTCTTCTTCTGACCATTCTTCTTTTAAATTGGAAGCTTTCAAAAGTAAATCAAGAGCACTGGGTCGTTTTTGAATAATTTTATTGGAAGTATTTGGATCAGATTCAGAATTTGAAGTGTTTACTGCCAATTGGGAATAATTTAAACGAACACAAAAAAGACGTTCTCTTCCATAAAGTAAAGATTTACAAAAATGGAGGCGAGAACTAAAATTAATTTTTTATAATTTAGAAAATTAATAAAAACCTTAAAATGCAACATTCAAGTCTAAACATTTAAAGAAAACTAAAATAATAAAACAAAAATTATCCTTAACTCAAAAAAAATATTTCAAAACAAATATAATTAATTCAATATATTAGACCAGTTTTAGAAAAAGATTTATTTGAATATCAAGCAAATATCACTATAATAAACATAAAAGGTTATATCAGGGTTTGGATCGAAAAAATGTTAAGTGTAAGTAGAAAAAGTTCAATTTGGAAGTACATAGGGGGAAAAATTTCAACATATAAGAACTCTACAAAAAAATTTTTCAAACACTTTTTTGGCACCAAAGGCGCCAAAAAAGTCTAACATTTTTTGCGCCGCAGGCGATAATTTTGGAAATTTTAAGGTTAAATTTAATTTTTTAACCAAAAAGTCTATTCGTAAGTACGTACTTACAAACAGAGGTGGGTCGCAAATGACGAAGGTGTCGGAAATCGGAACTGTCGGAAATCGGAAATGGCTCAAAAGTCGGAACTCGGAAATCAGAATTTTTTTCGGAAATCGGAAATTGCAAGGAAAAAACGTCGAAAATCGGAATTCCGACTCACCTCTGCTTACAAATAAGTACATTTTTAATTATGGAAGTACAAGGATCGATTTGTAAGTACTTCCAAAATAAGTACGAATCCAAACCCTGGGTTACATAAAAATTTTAAATTCGAATCTTTGTTAAGTGAAAAGTTAGAAAAAAAAATTTTGGGAAAAAATTATTAGAGATCGATAAAATAATTGAAAAAGTTAAATTACTGAATAATTTGATAAACTACGGCTTGTTTTCATTAAATACTGCCAGCAATTGATTAAATAATGCGTATCCAATCGAGCATATTCAACCATGTCTCGACTTAGAGGGCTGAAAAAAGAATAAAATAATGTAAAATAAAAAGTTTAAACCGTCTCATCCAATCCGCAGTTTGATATCGTTTATCCAATTTAATACCGCAAGCAATATAAACAAGTTGTTGCAGATTACAACGAGAGGTGCTGGTATCGAAAACATTTTTAATTTTAATGTCGAAAACGGTTCTTAACCATTTTGCATCATCATTGCCGTGGACAATCTGAATTTAGTTGAATGAAAATTTTAAATAAAACTTTAGGCGATCTTATCCAAAATCAAGTATCACATAAGGGGGCATAGTTTGTACGTACTAAAATCCGATTAAATGTAGCTTAAATTAAGTGTGTCGGTTATATGCCATTTAAATTTAATTATCATTACAAGTCCGCAAAAGTTTCTCATTCTTTCTCTCTTCTCATAAAGATTGGAAATGTTCAAGGATAAAAATGGTCATGGATTAATTTAAAATAAGTCAGTCAATACGAGAAGTGTCAATTTTTGAGGTTCAAAGTTGTTTCAGCTCAATGAAACTTTTCATTCCATTGTCTACATTCACGTTTTTATTTTGCATTTTTATTAACTTTTTTTAATCCTTATGAGAAGAAAGAAGAAACTTTTGCGGTCAAACATTTGTGAACAAGTAGCAGTATATTGTACTTCAATTATTTTAAATTTTAATTAAAAACCTTAATAATCTGCGGATTTTCAAAAGCTTGTTTGAGATAATTAGTAACGGCACTTTTCATTCCATTTGCCAATGTGTCGATTACAAAATCCTTATTTTGTGTAGAGATTTGTAGTAAACACACTTTACTATTCGTGCCATGACGAAAAGGAATTGTTCTCTCCAAATCAAAAGCAAACACTTGTTCACATTCCAAATCTTTTGCCAACTGAATAACATAATGAGGATATTCCATGAACCAGAATGGAGTTCTATCTAAAGAAAGTCCAACAGGAAGTGGATCCTAAAATAGATAAAAGTTAAATTGGTTTATATCTTAAAAGGTACTCGTGAGTTATATCTAGAGGTCGGCAAAATCGTATTTGCGGGATCCCGCGGGATAAAATTTTTTTTAAATCTTTGCGGGACGGGATCCCGCGAAATAAATCCCGCATTCCCACAAAATCCCGCATTTTAAATTTGCGGGATCCCGCGCGGGATTGCGGGATTTTTCAAAAAAACGTTGAAATTATCAATATCTATTGAAAAAATCAATTTCCTTATCATTAACGAGTTATCAACTCGTACTCGTTGCTACTAGTTGCTCGTACATACGAATACACGTTGGTACAAAGGTATAATCACTTATCCCAGGTCCCCAATTATCAAAAAATCATAAGGGGCAAGCTCATACATATTGGTAGGAAAATTCAAGTATACGATTTAGAATAGCTTGAGCTGAAACAAATTGGATCAATCATCGTGATAAAACAATTTGGGCAATTTTGTTTTGATGAATAGAGATGATTCCATGTGCGGTAGGCGAAAATTTTAGAAGGCCAAGTATCCAAATTCCTAACTTTTTCAGCGCCGCAGGCGAAAATTTCGAGATTTTAGAAAGCCAGCGAGTCAAAATTCTCTTTTTTCTAGCGCCGCAGGCGAAAATTTTTTGAGTTTAGAAGGTTAGGAGCCAAAATCCTCCAATTTCTAAAAATCCCGCAAAATTCAAAATATTTTGCGGGATCCCGCGGGATAAATCCCGCAAAATCCCGCATTCCCGCAAAATCCCGCAAATCGAAAAAAGTGCGGGATTGCGGGACGGGATCCCGCAAAATCCCGCGCGGGATCCCGTCCCGCGCCGACCTCTAGTATTATCATACCAGGGATGTGCGCCAGAATTTTCGCGTGGCGCGCCAAACGCCAATTTTTCAAATTTTCAAATCACGCCAAACGCCAGAACGCCAAAATCGGCAAAAAACGACGCCAAAACGCCAAACGCCAAAAATTTTATTCAACTAAGGCCCGAAAAACAAGTGCTTATCTCTTTTTAGCGCCGCAGGCGAAAATTTTTAAATTTTCACGACTCCAGAAGCCAAAATTCATCCTTTTTTTAGCGCCTACACCCAAAATTATGTAAATTTGTTAAGAACAAGAGCAGAAATCCTACTTTTTCTAAAAAATTGCAAAAAAAATGGAAAAATCACAACCCCAGAATTGTAGAATATCGAAGAGTTTAGATGTCCAGATATCCTCTTTAACCTCTCGAAGTAAGGGACTTAGAAAGGATTAAGGAGGCAGTAGTGGACTTTGGTAGATTAATAGGATTTGATGGATATTGGAGGATTGAAGAAAAGTGCATTAAGATCCTTCTATTAGTGCCACAGGCCTTCTACTAGTGCCACAGGCTGTGATTTTTTGAAATCTAATAAGTAGATTTCTTCCTTTTTTGTGCGCCGCAGGCGCAAATTTTGAAAATTTTGGAAGGCTGTGTGCAAAAAAATTTCATTTTTTTGCAAACACTTCCCCCATTTATTTGGAAAATTCCCATCATTAGGGGTGTATAGTTTTGGCGCGCCAAAAACTGAAAATCACGCCAAACGCCAGCACGCCAAAATCGGCCAAAAATCACGCCAAAACGTCACGCCAAAACGCCATGACGCACATCCCTGTATCATACCGGTTCTTGCGGACATATTTATGCGGATTCACTCATTTTCACTTATTTTCCAGTGGCATTATTTAATGAAAGTAGGGTTGCCAAAATGGACCGACTCACCGAAAGATCGAGTCGGGGCTAGATCTTTGGCCCGAAAAAGACTCGTACCGGCCCGATTCGATAAAAACAACCCCGAAAAAAATGCCTCGACCGTCGGCCCGACTCGAAAACGGCAACCCTAAATGAGAGGTATTAATAAAGAAAAGATTGTTTTTTAATTCCAATGTCACCAAATAGTCTGTATTATGAGTGAGTCGACATAAATGTGTCCGCAAGAACTGGTATAACTCACAAATACCACTTAAAATTACTAACCGGCATTTGAGTAGTTAATGAATTATATTGAATACTCTTCTTCCGTTTTCTTGGTTTTTGTTTAGATGTACTCGTTGCTTCACGCTCAATAATTTTTTTCTTCTCTTCCTCAGCTTTACTAATTTCATCATCAATTTGAGTACAAATATCATCCTATTGGAAAATAGGTAAGGATTTAGGAAGGAATCAGTAAAAACATACTATTCGCCCAGAAACAGGACCGCAAGCCATTTGAAATTGACCTCCAGTAATGTTTCCATCTTTTGCGCGAAGTGACAATCTTCCACAACTAAAAATTAAAATAATAAAAAAGGTACTTTTCCGTTATACGACCGCAAACTGAGTGTCAATAAAATTTGATCGGTTAACTTTTTAATGCTTGATCCAATACAAATGAATTTTATATCATTCGAAAGCCCTCGATGAGAGGTATCTTTTATGCAACTTGATCGATCAGGTCTGATCGCCCATTAAAAAGTTATAACTCGATAAATGTGAAAACGTCAAATAACTTAACTTATCGGGTTATAACTTTTTGATTGAACATATCTTTCTATCCTATTAGAAACATAAAGGTAATTCATTTGGATTGGATCGAGCATTAAAAAGTTAAAGCCGATCAGAATCGGCTGGCACTCAGTTCGCGGTCGTATAGCAGAAAAATCCCGTGAAAAAATAAAAAATGTAGTAAACTAACATTTTTATCAATCTGTTAAATCTTTCTTTCCCAATATATTCAGGCGGAATTTCTCCAAGTTGTCGAATCAAATCACTTGACGAAAAAACCACATCAGACATTATAAAGAAAAAATTTTCTATTTAAATTTAAAAAACAAAAAAGTAAAAACTAGAAAAGGTAAGAAAAATTCAATTAAAAATGAAAGGAATAAAATATTATTTGAAATATTGAAAATTATTATCATCAAATTTAAAACTTCAAAAGGAATTTTAATTTTTAACTGTCTTATAATTATTTCAATAAACACATTTAGATGTCGTCAACATTTGAAAGCATCACTTTTCCTTTCTCATCAGGTTTGAACGGAGGAGTTCCCATATATGGACAATTAGAACATCGAAAAGCATCGCCCAAATAACACTTAAATTAATTAAAATATAAAATTTATTGTAAGGAAAAAGACTAACCAGAAGTATTCAAAAAGCTTACAAGGAACACTATCGAACTGTCAGTAAAAATTTTCGAATAAAAATTATGCGTACCAACGTGCAAAGCATGGCTGATAATCTATTGTCAATTTTTGGCACCTCCATTTCGAAAAGATATAGGGGTTCAAAGTTTTCGATCTTTGGAAATATCTACACGATGGCATAAGTTAAATTGAAAAATTTTTCCAAAATGTTCGATTGTGTTACTTGTAGGAGGGGGTTTAAGATAAAGAGAAAATGGCAACAGTCTAGCAATAAGGCCAGATAACCCTAATTTGATCGTGAGTTCCCAAAAAATTAAAAAATATACATTTCCACAAGCAGATTTTATCTGGGGCGTCTCCACTTTTTCATCTTCAACATCTTCTAATTCAGCCAAACCGCAAGTACAATTTTTGCAGGCTCGTTTCTTCTTTTGTTCACCACCTTCTTTAACAGGTCCACAACCTGTAGACATAAAATTTAATTTAAAAAATAAAAACAAACCACTTTTTTGTTCAGGTCTTTCCAAATCTTTCGGTTCCAACAAAGCATCCTCGTCTATCAGATCATCATCGCCAACAAAATTTTTCGTACTAATTTGCTCCGAAGTGGAATCAGGAGTAGGCAAAGTAGATGACATTTTAATGAATTTATTTGGTACTAAAAAAGGTATAAAATTTTGACAAAAAATTTAAAAATATATAAATGCTCACAGACATTCTTATTAAATTAAAAAAAATTTTTTTGCTTAAATATTTATTTACATCGTTGTAATATACTGGAAATTAGAACAAATAAAATATACACAAAACAAATCACAAAAAAGGGAGGGAGGTTATTTAAAATTAAAGAGGGTATTTGTTAATAAATAAATATAGATTAACGGTTTAAGGTTTAAAAAAAAATTTTTTTTTTTAAATCATTTCCCATCCTTGTATTGCTTAAATATTAGACTAATTCTCACATACTCATTTCTTGTTTGTTTAAAAAATATCAATTAGGCAACGATTCCGTGTAGAGCTGAAAAATAAGAAAAAATAAGTTTACACGGAACTCTCATGAACTGTAAAATTTTGTATATATTCTTGCACCATCGTGTAAAGCAGGGTCGAAAACCTGTTTTCTGCTTTTTTGCCCTAACCCCCATTTCGAAAAGTTGTAGGGGTTCAAAGTTTTCGACTTTTGGAGCAGCTGAGTCACCTTCTTTTTTCATATTAAAGAGGAAAGTGAGACAATGGTAAAAAAAAATACAAAATTTTCACATACAGTTCGTGAGAGCCCCCTTGTTAAAATAATTTTAAAAAATCCAAACCATCAACCAAAGGTCTATTAACACTCTTCTCATCTTTATTTTTTGCTTGCTTATTTTTATTATCCACATCCTCAGTTCCATTTGCATTATATTCTTTTTCTGCACCAGGATCATCCAAAACTTCCTGTTGTTTATCGAGATTGGCTGCTGCATGCAAAAGTTCTTTATGATTTGATAATTTATCACGCTTTTCTTCTTGTTCTGCCAAGTGGACACGACCCCCGGGTTGTCGTTTTGGAAAATCTCCGTTCTGCTTTTCGTTTGTGCCATCATCTTTTGCATCAATTTCCCCAACTTTGTCAGGAGCTACAATTTGTTCACGTTGGGATCCTAAATAACGTTTAAAGTAAATTTAGAGTTTTTGGGTCATAAAGAGCATAATCGCCCTCATTTTAGACAATCTAAACCTTCAAACTTTAGAAATTAAGAATTCAAATCTTGATTAAAAAAATATTTTCAAACCTTTTTCCCCAGCTTTTAAAGTAATGTTTTTAGGCGGGTTGCCCGTCTCGAGAACTCCATTAGCATTATTCTGAATATTTGAATCAGGCAAAACTGGATTTCCAGAAGGCAAAACAGCGTCAGATTTTTTAAATTCTAATTGACTACGCAATCTAAATTTGAAAATAACTTCCTATAAAAAAGGACATGATTAAATAAACTGTGTGACTGTCGACGTCAACTCCGCAATTTTAGAAGCCTGCTCACTATTCTCCGTCTCTTTTGCTTTCTTTTGTAAAAAATTATTTAAATTAAAAATTTCAAATTCTTACTAATGCAGAATTGGCTACTTCCAATTTACTTTTCAATTCTTTTAAAGTATTCTCACAATCGGCTTTATTCGTCTCGACTCTACCCAAAGATGTACTTTTATCATACAAATCCTTCTTGCATACTAAAATTTTTTTAAAATTTAACAGATAAATCCCAACATACTTGGGTAATTTTGAAGTTCGTACCCCCCCCCCCCATCTTTTTTCTTTCTCAAGGTATTAAAAATGGTCAGTCTTTACGTTAATGTAGAACACATCGAGCTGTTCTACATTTGCAAACTCAGATAGGTCTACTTAACGTCATAACTTTGTCATATCTTATCCAAGCACATTGATTTTGGTGTCATTCGACACAGCTCGATGTGTTATACATTTTTTGTAAAGACTGACCGTTTTTAATACCTTGAGAAAGAAAAAAAGGGGTCATCAGGATCATTGAGTCCCGACGGTTGACTCAAAATCACCCAAGATTGAAATATACCTTGAAGTTTGGCATCCAATTCATCTTTGCTAGACTTACATTCAGCCTCTGATTTTGTCAATTCCTCAACTTTAACATTCGCATCTTAAGAAAAAATAAATAAAATTTAACTAAATAAACAAAACCCAACCAAGTAAATCATTTTTTAGGCCCAAATGTTTAGAATTTAAATTTTCAAAATCAGCACGGAAAGATTGCAATTCACTGCTTGTGCTGAAATACAAATAAACTAGCGACAAAACAAAAGCAACAGAAAGTATTAAAAAGAAGGTTGAGGAACTTTTAGAACAATAAGCAAATCCGTGCCCATTTCTGCAAAAAATGATGGTGAGAAATAAAAATAAAACAAATTTACCTTCCAAGCCGACGATAATTTTGAGAAGATTCAGACATTTTAAATATTGACGATAAACTGGAATTTTAAGATAATTGGATAATTAGGTAAACATTTAATTAAAATTATCGCGTGATAAACATCAAAAATTAAAAACCCTAAATTTAGAAAAAGCTTGAAGTTAACAAGGGACTCAACAAGCCCGTTTGATTAAAAGCGGAACGGGATCATTGAGTCCCAGCGGTTGAGTACCGGCCATATTTTGGGCCATAACTTTTTTAATTCTTAATCAATTTAGGTAATTAATATATCAATCGAAAGCTCATGATTTAGGGATTATTTAATCTTACAGGACTGATCCGATCAGATCAACATACAAAAAGTTACAGCCTAATAAAGATCAAAAATCACAATTGAGTAAACTTATCTACATGTAACTTTTTGTAGGTTGATCTGGTGAAATCAATCCTGTTGGGCAAAATGATCCTCACATCCAGGGCTTTCGAATGATAAAAGATTTATTCGAATTGACTGAAAATCAGAAAAGCTATGGCTCAAAATATGGCTTCAGGATTCAACCGGCTGGACTCACTGATCGGGACTCAAGGTCGCAGTTCAAGTTCAACAAGGTCGCAGTTCAAGTTCGTCGCAGTTCAACTGAGTCCCGGCCCCATAACTCAAGTACGGGTCGATAATTTTTAATGTTTTTATCTTGGATAGAGAATCAAAGAGGTATCTTTGGATAGAGAATCAGAAGCTCTACAACATTTCAAAAAATCAGAATTTTTGACCGATTGATAAAAAAGTTATGATATAAAAACTAACTTTTTCAAAAAATATTTTTCAGTGTCACTCTTTTTTCTTTCCATATTGTTTTCATTTTTTTTGTAAAATTTTGGCATTTTTAGATTTTTAAGATTAATTTAATTAAAAAAAGATGATCACTCGAAGCAAAGCCAAACAACAAAATATTCAAAGCCAAGAAAATTTGACTAAAGAAAATAATCGAAAGGTTTTGTTAAATTTATTCGAGTTTTTAAAAGTTTAATTCCAAAATTTTAGTCGAAACGAAAGCGAACTACTCAAGTTAATCAAAACAACCAACAATTAGAACAAAGTACTAGTGGGAGCCAACAACAATTTAATCGAGGGAGTAAAGTTGCTAAAACAAAGGTTCTATTGTTTTTAATACCTTTTGCCTATTTTTGGTTAATGTTCCTAGTTTCTGGGTGGGTTGTGAGTCCAATCGACCTTTATGAGTCCAATGAAAAGTTTTCTGGAACCAGAGTCAGAATCGATTCTTTTTCGGAATTTTCTGATTTCTATTTTTAGATAATTACACCAAAGTTTTCTCTTCCACCTGAAGTTCTGATTGATATATTAAAATGCCTTAATTTCACCCAATTATTTTCTCTTAGACAAACCAATTTTTACTTTTGCAATTTAATTAATAAATATGAAGTAGAATTGGCAAGAATGAAATTCAGTCGACTCGCAAATATAAAACTTAGTTCTAAAGTCTATCAAAACGCTAAATACGTTAAACTTTAATCTGGAATTTTTGAATTTACTTTAAATGACCAACTTAAGGAGAAGGTTTAATTAATTTTTAATTAAATTTCGTATTCATTTTTTCAGTGGCAAGCAGCGCTAGAAAAATCAATTCCGTTGTATTTAAATCATTTAATAACTGAAGGGCCAGTTCTTGTTAGAATTGTAACAATAGAGGGCGAAAGATATATTTTAAGTTTGCCAGACTTTCCAGAGGACATTGAAGACATGATTACTCTTCGTTGCTGGTTAGAACGTATATTTAATTGTGCTTTTGAACGTGATTATATTGGTTATAGCTTTAATCCAGAAATGATTGACATATTATTTGATGATGATAAGACGATTCCTCGTCAGTTTCTCACTCAATGACTAAAATTTTATTTGATTTAAAAAATATTGTTTCTCATTGACTCGATCAAATTGCTTTTGTTTTAAAAGTTTATATATATTTTATTCATTTTTTAATTAATATTTTTCTGGTTTTTAAAATTTTCTTTAGTACGTAGAAAGGGTACTTTGTTCATATCTCGCTCCATATCCCTATTCGAGTCTCAGATTAATTCCCCTTTTATTCGTCTCTGCCTCGGAATGGTCAAAATTGTTTATAAATGTTGATTTTTGCCGTTAGTTTGATTTTTGCTTTTGCTGTCTATTTTTTCCTTTCTAATAACTTGCCTTTTACTTAAATGTTTGAGGGAACTTAATGATTGACATAAAAAAGGGAAATTAATGAGATTCAAATAGAGGGGGGGGGGATATGTAATAATTAAGAAATGATCTTTTAAAAGTACAATACTTTGATGTAAATTCAAATACTTTTTTTTTCAAAAAATTTATTTCACATTTTATACAGCCATATTATTTATGTTTAAGTATAATTATTTTCTCCTCCCCATAACTCCATTTCCGAATCCTCCATAATTTCCCATAACACCTCCAAGTCCATTTGCACCAAGCATGTTTCCCCCATACATACCACAAATTCCACAACTTGTCATGCACGCCTCAGAAATCGACTAAAAGTCAACTTTAGTGAACTTGACTTTAAATAATTCCAAAATACTTCGAGAAAGCAGTATCGGACAAAATAACGGCAAGACGGGTCAAAATCTGTACAACCTAACAAGAATTGTTTACTTAAAAAGTTACTATTTAGCAAACCGAATGGAGAGCCAATTCCGCCTCCAATACCGCCCATTCCACCAATACCATTAAGTCCTCCAACGCCTCCAAGCCCTCCCATTCCTCCAATGCCGTTTATTCCACCAAATCCTCCCATTCCCATCCCTCCAGGGACACCCATTCCGCCAAATCCTCCCATTCCTCCAATGCCTCCCATCCCTCCTGGAACACCCATTCCACCAAAACCACCCATCCCTCCCATGCCACCCATCCCTTGTTGACCAGCAATCATTTGTAGCATATCAGGGTTAGTTCTGCCTTGTGGAGTTTAAAAATATTTTTTGGGGTTCTTAGGATTTTTTAAAATTTATATTGACCGTAAATGCTCTAATATGTATAAGCCCGGCTCTAATATAAGCCCAACCGAGGAGGCCCATCGAAAAATATTAGCCTAATCTCTAATAGAAGCCCACACAAAGTGCCCTTTGAAAAATATAAGCCCAGGGCTTATATTAGAGCATTTACGGTATTTATATAAGTTACTCACAACAAGCACCATAAATACAGGTTTCTGAAGGCGTCCAACAAAAATTGAGTCTAGGGCAAGCTTAACATGTATAAAAGAAATTAATTAAGTTAAGCATTATGGGTAATATTAATTAAACTTCCGGATTTGGTCTTTAATACTTTAATTTCTACACTATACCCACCTTTCAAGATTTAACTTACCTCCATTTGGTGTGGTACCGATTGGACAAGGCGCTGCTTAAATGATATAAAATGTCAAATCATTTATGTCAATAAAATAAAATCACCAGGGTTCATAGGTACAACATTCTTCGAAGGCTGACCTTGAAATTAAAATGTGTTTTTTCAAATTTAGCCAAAAACTTACAGCATATTCCATTTATACACACCTCCCTTGGATCCATACATCTTGACTTTAAAAGACTATTACAACCTGTTAAAATTATATTTAATAGTTAAAATTTGCCCTTGTAAAGAAAGAAGGTTTACTTTCTTGCAGGCATTTTTTGTTTTTTTTTTTTAATTTCAAAAAAATTTTTCGTTATCAATTTTATTTAAATTAATCATCTTTATTGGTTTTTCTAATACTTGCGTGTTACTTCCGAATTAGAGTTGGAGCTATGTCCGGTCTCCAACTCTATTCCGGTCGATAAAAATGAAGCCCGAAAAAAGCCGGCCGGCCCAACATGAAAACCCCAACCCTATTACGAATTTAATGACAAAATAAGTTTGCAAGGTAAGGGGTGCTTCTTCCCTCTTTTTAATCTTTATAAAATTCCTCACTTCCATCTTGCTCCCATCCCATAGGGCAAACATTTTGATAAACGGGAGGAAATTGTGCATGGACACAAAGACTTGAAATTAAAAGCGGGAAAAATAAATAAAAATGATTGGGGATGGGCAGGAGGAGGTGGATTTTAATTGAAATTGAAATATCTGTTAGGCATTTATTTGGAATTATTGGCATTTAAAGGAGGGGATTAATTAAATTGAATGAAGAAATTAAAATAATTAGTCAATAAAAAATAAAGTGGGAAAATAATTGAGAAATTTTTGTAAAAGAATGTTTGAACAAATGGAGTAAATTAAATAGAAACTTTTAGGGAGAGAGAGGATTGTAGTAGTAAAAGGGAAAGGAGGATTGTAGCGAATTATTTAGATTTATTGAAGGCTTTATTTAAAATTAACTGAAATAAATTTAAAAAAATAATTAAAATGCCAAAAATACATTTTGTAAAATATTTTCTTTTTTTTTCTTTAAATTGGATGGTTCAAAAGGAATTGACTAATTACATGATCCATTTGTGGAGCTCGCCATTGTGGGGCCTTAAAATAAAAATTATTTTTGTAATTTTAGATTTTAAAAGGTTTTTAAACCATATGTCCAGCACCGCGAACTGAAAAAAGTGAGAATTAAATGGAGACAAGAGCTGGGGATTGATATCATGATAACCGAGATGTCATCCCTTCTAGCCCATTTAAAGACTACTGTAAATAGGGTTGGGGGTCCGGTCCGAAAGATCGAGTCGGCCATCAAATTTTGGCCCGAAAAAGACTCGGTCGGACCGGCTCAATAAAAATGACTAGAACGTCGGCCCGACTCGAAAACCCCAACCCTAACTATAAAATAACCAAAAATTAGGCACTCCTCAAATTTTAAATTTAATTTTTAAAATTATGAGTGATCATTGGGTGGAGAGATCTGCCCAAACATCCCCCCCCATTTAAGCTACATTTCATTATAAGATACGATCTTTTCGTCAGAGTACATATTATAGTGAGGTTTGAGCTAAATTTTAATATAAAAATTCCTTGCCAGTAACAAAAGTAAGCCCTTTAGCATAAATTGTTTTAAATCCAGCAATTTGATGTCCATACATCCACGGTTGTTTACCAACAACTAACTTTAAAATAAATTTTTTTAAAATTTTAATTCAATCAAAAAAAGGACTTTTAATCCCAATTTCGAACAAAATTCTTGTCCAAGCATAAAATTACAAGCCATATCAGTATCCCCATAATACAAAAGCACTCGAGCATGGGCTTTAATTATTTTCTTAACAAATGGGGATGTGTCATCTAAAAAACTTAAAATTAGAGAAAAGTCTTCTATCAACAATAACCAATTTGCTTCTGATATTTCTCTGTTATATCATCACTGCAAATATCCCAATGTCCCAAATTATCAGGAATGTGTATAGCCTTTCGAACTAATTTTAAATTAATTATTTTATTTTAAATAAAAATACACCTTCAGGTAAATTCATATACGTAGTTAATGCTGTATCTAAATTGGTTTTATTTTTATAAATTTATTTTGTTTACATTCAAGCTAAGATTGGCAGATCCGGACCCAAAAGAAGGGAGGATATCCGGAAATTTTAGGTTCAGATATCGGATCCGGATATCCAAAGAATTCCAACCATCCGCCAGCCTTATTTCAAACATTAATTTTAGATACACCCAATATTAATAAATAGGCCTCGATTTAAGATAGGTATATTTAATTTGGATGGCTATTAAATTGAGAAGATCTCATTGTGTATAAGACAGGGCTAGGCTAATTTCGCATCTTTCACATTTTTAAGCGCCAAAAGTTTCGCAATTCGCCTTTATTTTTAGATTTCGTCCAGCCCTTGTATAAGGTATGATTTTAACTTCCTTATGGGGGTATCTAAATAAAAGAGAGTTCAAATGTTTCTACTTGCTGGACAAACCGTTAAGACAAGGAACTGAAGGAGATCCATGAAGAGTACTCTTTAATTAAAAAATTTTGAAAAAGTATTAAAATTAAATAAAAAAAGGGACCTTCAGATTCCATCGAAGTGTTTTAGTTGAATTTGAGTAAATACGGTGTAGCATTTTTGGAGGAATTAATCCTCGTTTAATTACTTCCATTTTCATTGAATTACGTCCAGGGCTTGGATCTTTAAAGTTAAAGAATTTTTTAGTGAAAACTACAGCCTCAGGGCCTTTACTAAAATAATGAAATTTTGATTTAAAAAATAGCACCCGAGCCTTCGGGATATAGCCCTACGGTATTCCTGCCTTACATAAACATTTTCTATCAGAAAAATTATTTTTGAACGTAATCTCGTCTCATTTCATTAATTACTATAAAATAATTTCGAAAAAAACTTGCCACAATCTCTATATAAATCATAAGGATTAAGGCCGCTATGCCACAAAAATTCAAAAATATCTTCCACCTTTAAAAAAGTTGTCTTTTTTTTTAATTTAAAATTTCCCTCCTAACCATCCTCCCACAAGATTGGCCAAGTCCTGACAAATCACAGCCATCTAAAAAATAATTTTTGTGATTTTAATTCCAAAAATTTCCCCTTTACCAATACAGCCTCGACAACATTCCGTTTCTAAAGTATTCCAAACTTTTTGGTCAATTATGCCGTGACCGTAGGCAAACCGGACAGAAGTGTCAATATTCATTTTTGAATTCATATAGCCATTGCCAATAGCCATTCCCTTTTGGAGAAATTAAATTTTAAAATTGTTTTTGGTAGTTGGACACTTTATAAGATAACCCAAATACTGCTAGATAAACCACAGATTATTAAAATTTAGTTGGCCATTAGGTGGAGGGGGGGGGGTAATACTCTCTATTTAAGATAAACACTAGAGAGCAAGATTTTCAAAAAACCTTCACCTTGATCCTTGATTTTGGTTTGGTACCTTGACCAGATTCTTGACCTTGAGTCAAGGAAAAATCAAGGAACTCAGAAAAATGCCTTGATCTGGACTCTGGATCTAGGAAAAATCAAGGTCTGGATCCAGATCCAGCCCGCTCTCTAATAAACACATTATAAAATTAACTTCAAGAGATGTACTTAGTAGTCCAACACTCTCTCTTTTACCTTAAGATTAATTGGGAATTCCCCCTGTCCATCCACAATTCTCGCCCCAAGAGTAGGCAAATAAACACCACCATAAGACTCTCCAGTAATATATACAGAATGATTACGGAAAGTATTGTGACGTCCAAAGAATTGTTTAATAGCCTCGTAATTCTCCAATGATGTCTAAAAAACAAAGAGAAATACCCCTTTAACAAAATTCCCAAATTTACTAAATCGTCATTTGTTGTTGTATTTCCGTCAGAAGAATATGAATACCCGACACCGGCTGGGGCCTCAATAAACACAATCGAGGCATATTTATTCCAAGAATAAGGGTTTTTGTTTAAAGTTTTCCCATCCTCCTCAACAATATAAGGGCCTAATTCGCTAAGTAAACCATCCAAAGAAGAACAGCCTGGGCCCCCATTAAACCAAAAAATCTGCAATTGAAAGAATTGTTTGGATTTATATTTAGGGTTTGTTAAGTAACCAATGGATCTTTGAGTGGATTTCCTTGAGAAGTGACAAACCAATAATGAAGAAAATGATTAGATGAGACTTTCAAAAATCCTAAAATTTAAAATATAAGAGCAGTTCAGTTAAAATTAGAATAGCACCCCGACCCCCGACTAATTTTTTGGCAAAACCCCGACCCGAACCCCGAAGGCCCTACCCCGGCAAATCCCGATCCCCAAATACCGAGTTCCGGGTGCTACCCTAGTTAAAATATAAAAGCAGTTCACAGCTAACAGCAATTAATAATATGAATGGTTGGGCATTCACTCGAGTTTCCTTTAATTTTTCTCCGTTTTTTTAACCAAATAACATCTTTGTTTTTGGCGATACTTTTCTTAACAAATCTCTCATTTTCAGAAAACATTGGTTTTTAAATTTTCATAAAATCGCTCAATTTTTGTCGAAAAATAGCAAGTTTTTGGGGTTAAAAACAGACAGAAATTACTTTAAAATTTTTAGGTAGAAATTACCCGAATAATGCTTAAAATTTAATTCAAAGTTAAGGCCAGGTAAGGAAACAATAGCATCCTCCTCTTCTCCTTCATTATTCTCGTTGTTATTCTTTTCATTTTGCAAACTTTCCCCCTCCAAAACTAAATTTTCTAAAAAACTGTCAAATTTTTTGCTTTTTCCAAAAGTCGAAGAAATTAATAAAAACACCAAAAATAATTGAAAGTTTCGGAAAAACATTTTTTAATTAACTAAGGAAAAATATATTAATTAATTAATAGGCAAAAATTAAAATTCAGAATTTTAACAAATGCCGGAACAAGTTGAACAAACCAAAAATAATTACTTTCCTCAGAAATGAAAATTTTTCATTACTCCTTTTATTATTCAAGACATTGATTGACCCATTATTACGTAACAGGGTGACCCTTTCCAAACCACTAAAAGGGGGCAAGGCTTCACAAAAAGAAGGCAAAAAAGTGGCATTGAAGAAAAGGGGGAGAAAAGGGGGCAAATGCCTCTTAAAGGTGGTAAAAGGGTCATCCTAACGTAACATATTCTCATCTTTAATTTTTGTTTGAACTCATTTCCTCATTATAACTAAACTTATAGTTAGACTTTTAGAGATGATATTAATGTAAACGGAATAAGAAAAAATAAGGGAAAACATAAAAATGAAAGTGTTAATTTTAGCTTATTCAATGCTAAAAACACTTAACGTTCAAAAAGTTGATTGCAAATAAAAGTGGTGAAATTAAAAATGAATAAACACTACTCAGACATTCTTAACTTTTTATATTGGCTTTTAATGTAAATATATCCCCTAAAGAGAAGATTGATTTATTTTAAATGTTTTTTTTTCACTCGTATAGGAAAATAACAACTGTTGCCAACTTTGTTTAAAAGTAATTAATGGACAGTAGAAAAGAGGCCAAAGAGTAAAAGAATATTTGCAGTTCTGTTTTTGTAACTTTTGTCTTTAACATTTTGCCGACATTATTAACTAATTATTATTCCTCTCCAGATTTTTAATAAAAATTATCGGAGCTCGGCCAGTACCAAAAAAGTAAAATTTATCTCAACATTGGTTCTAGAGTATATCTCCTTTATTCTCATCCAAAATCTTTCCAATAAATAAAATCCAAAAATTTAAATTTTTTTTTGAATTTAGTTTTTATTTGCCTTTAATAAAATATTTTTAGAGTTAAATTTGAACTAGTAATATACATACTTATTATCCCCTTCCTTAATTTATTATTTTTGATTAAATTTAAATAAAAAAGAAAAATAATTAATTTATTTGTTAAAGCACAAGATAAATTAAATGGCGGATATGTTAAGTAATTTAAAACAAATAAAAGTTGAGATAATTTAAATTTTCGTTAAAAAAATATATAAAAAGTTGCTAGGGGTGGGAATACATTAATATTTTTTAAAATTTATCTCATAAAGTATTTATCCATCAACTTTTTATATATTTTCAAGGAAAGGTTGCGAGGTGTCCGACCTAAAAACGGTCGAAACCGGGCTCATTCGATAGAGAATGTGCCCTTTTTAGGATTTTGAGCCGTTTTTGCCCGTTTTTTGATCTGGCCAAAATATGGCCCTCCAAAGTCGCAACCTCTCCTTGCTAAAGTTTTTCAGTTAAACAAAAATTTCTTTAGTAGTTTAAAGGCAAAAGGAGGATAAAAGGCAAAACACAAAACTTTTTGGTAATTTTTAAAATAAAAATATTTAATTGGGCACTAGGTAAATTCAAAAAAAAATTTCTAAAATTTAAATAGCCCAATTAAATAAAAAATATTTTTAATATCGTTTTTCTTGTATTAAATAGAAAATAAAATTACTTTAATTTTTCTCCAACAAATTAAATAACCGAACATCTTCGCCTCTTTTTTGGCCTTGGAGTAATTACTGCACGAACAGCTTCTTCAAATACACTGGGAAGGCCTTGTTGGGTTAAAGCACTTTAAAAGAAATTATTAGAAAAAAGAAAAATTAAAAAAGAAAGGAAAACCTGCATTCACAATAAGCATGAGCTTTGATTTTAGCAGCTACTTTTTGGCATTGTGCCCGAGAAATTACTGTTTTCTTTTCATTTTGTAGCGCTCTTAAAGTTGCAGGATCATCTCTTAAATCAATTTTTGTGCCTAAAATGAGGAAAATATTTTTTATTTTTTTCTATAAAATTCCAAAAGATATTTTTAAAATATGAAATTTTCGGTAATTTTGAATTTTATAGGTAAGGTTTGGTTCGGAATCGAACCAAAGACCCGAGAATTTTTTGGTTCGGTTTCAGATATCCTAAATTTTCCAAAAACCATCAACCCCACCTACATATAACCCTTAATTTCTGTTTCAATAATTGTGAATCTAATTGAATAAAATTACCCTTCTCTGAATGATTGATTTAGTTATTAACTGCAAAAGGTGAATTGAGGAGAAAAGGAAAATGGGGTCGAGGTAATAAATATTAACAGAAGATTTTGAACCATCAATTTAAAAAAAAGTGAAAACTAACCAACAAGAACAATAGGAATCGACTCAGTACAATATTGCCTAATTTCAGGAATCCATTTAGTTATTACATTATCAAAAGAAACTTTAAAAAATAAAAAAAAACATTTTTAAATTGGAAAAACCTGGAGAGACTACACTAAAACAGAGAATAAAAACATCCGTTTGAGGATAACTTAAAGGCCGTAATCTGTCATAATCCTCCTTAAATTATTTTAAAAATATTTTTTTGTTTAATATTTATTGTCAAAAACCTGTCCGGCCGTGTCCCAAAGCCCCAAATTAACAGAATGGCCGTCAACAGTTATTGGAGCCGAATAATTGTCAAAAACGGTTGGAACATATTCTCTTTAAATTTTTAAATTTAATTAAAATAAATCTAAAAAAAACCTGGGAAAAGAATCTGTGGTATACGAAATAAGCATACAAGTCTTCCCAACAGTACCTAAAAATAAATAAAATTAATTAAAAATAAATTAAATACCATCCCCAACAACAACACATTTAATTTGTCTGACAGGCGAAGACATTGAAATTTGAAAGAAAAAAAGTTAATGAAATAATGAAAAAGTTGAATGTAAAATTGAGCAAATTATCTGAAAATTATCAAAAAGAAGCAAAATTTTACTAAAATTCATATGGAAAAAACGATAAATGACAGAATTATCAGCCCATTGATGCGCCTATAAATCCGGGACATATGTAATTATTACTCATTCTACAATACTAGTTTCACAATCTTAAAAAATAATTTAAATAAATATCAACTGATAAAAAACGATCAAATGTCACTTGGATTTTTAAAGAATTAACCAATTGAAATATTTAAACAAATTTACCATTTCAACGGGCAAGGGACGATTCAGTGTAAACGGTTCAGTGCAGCATTTTTAGGCCATAACTTTTCTGTTTTTTTTTGCAATATTTCAGGAATTTTGATTCAAAGGCTCGAGATAAAGCATCCTTTTCATAAGTAGGATGGATGATCTTAGCATTCTACAAGGAGTTTTAGCAGAAAAATTAGTTTTCAGCTTTAACTTTGTAGAATATTCAGATTAGTCCAATTATGAAACCGCAACTCGCGACTTTTCGAATGACGATAGAATTCATTCGAATTGAGTTTTGAAAACTTTTATTTTTTAGTTTTAAGATAACAAATAATTAAATATTCAATGGCTACATCAAAGCCAACTATGTTGGAGAAGCTTGTAAGAAATCTTGCTGTTTTATATCGTTACCACGTTGTGCAAAAAGGGCCGCGTCGTATGGAAATGCTTAAAAAAGTTTGGGAACGTGAACTGGCTCCACCAACGCCGAAAGATTGGCCACAGGTTTTTCGGCTTATGTTAAATTTTGTTGATTTTTTAAAATCTTTCCAGATCAAACAAGATTTTGCACTTTTGGTCAAGAAAATCGAAACTGAGGCTTATCGCGAATTAAAAGTCAAGGTAACTTTGATATTTTTTCTTATGTTAATTGTCTTTAATTTCTTAAAAATTAAAAATAATTATAAATAAATCTCATTTTTAAAGGAATTTTTGGTTTATTCTTTTGTTGGTTTGGAGGTTTTCCTTTGGTTCTTTGTTGGAGAGCAAATTGGTCGGTGGAACATGTCAGGCTATGTTATCCCAGCAACTTATCTTGATCCGGTATATTTTGGAAAATTAAATTTTATATGAGTTTAGGGAGCTTTACAGACACCTAACCGAATTATTTCATTCAAAAGGACTCATCTAGCTGGGTCTATAAAACAAAAAACCAAGATAAAAGCTAAAGATAGCAAAACTGAAATTGTTGCCTATTCTCGGTATTTGTCGACTTTCCAGCTCGATGAGCTCTTTCGAATGGTATAATTTGTGAATAAATTGAGAGAATATAAAATCATATAAATTTTTTTAAATTTACATACATTACAATTATACAAAACTTTATATTTTAAGAAAGCAGTTAAATTTATGAAGAACTACAAGCCTGAAGACAAGACCGAATTGGCTTAAGTTTTTAATAGGATTAGATGATGAATATTTTGTTAGAAATTTAAATTGTATTCATTGTTTGTCAAGTTTATTCAGCTCATAAAGACAAATAAAAAGTTGAATAGGAAGTTTTTGTTTATAAGGAAGTGGAAATATGTTGCTTTGAACTTTCATCCAGTTTTTGGAATTATTTTTGATTTGATTTACACAAGTTCAGGGGAAATTTATTTTGAAATGTTCTCCAAAATATACCTTTATTAAAATTTTATCATAAGAGAAATATGTTTTGTCCTACACAGAATATAAGGAATTATTGAATATTAAGGAATTTTTAATAGAAAAAACTAATTTTAGTCCCTTTCTCGATTCTTTTAGTATAAGCATCTTATTCTTTGTTCACTGAAGTTGTCCCACCTCTCGGATAGTATTTATCAAGAATTTTGGCTGGAATTCGTTTAAGCATCTAAAAATTAAATAAAAATTTATTTAAAATTAAATTAGGAAAAACCTCTCTTGGAAAAATACGCAAAAGTTGCCAGCCAACATCAAGTGAATCAAAAATAGTTCTGTTCTCATAATTTCCTACAAAAATATCTAAAATTAATTTTAAAAATAAATAACCCTGTGAGATAAAATTCTTTTCAAATTTTGTCAAAAATTCCAAATAAAGAAGATCGTCTGAAGAAAGAGCTTCTTCACCAACAACAGCCTTCATAGCCAAAACATCTTTACCGATTGCGTAGCACATATATAGTTGATTGGATACATCGGCGTGGTCTTCACGAGTCATTCCTAGAAAAATAAATTTTTATAAAAATACATATTTTAATTATGAGAAACCTTCTCCTATAGCCGATTTCATTAATCGGGAAAGTGAAGGGAGCACATTGATGGGTGGGTAGATTTGTCGGTTATGAAGTTGTCGATCGACGTAAATTTGTCCTTCCGTAATATATCCAGTCAAATCAGGAATTGGATGGGTAATATCTAAAAGAATTGTTTTAAATAGGGAAATAAATCAGGCATCTAACAAACCGTCGTTTGGCATACTGAGAATTGGAATTTGTGTAATAGAGCCTTTTCGTCCTTCTACTCGCCCAGCCCTCTCATAAATAGTTGCCAAGTTTGTATACTGAATAAAACAATAGATAACTATTCCAATCAGGTCCGTAGCCAGGCTAATTTTTCAGAGGAGGCCAAGGGGGGAAAATTCGGCGTAGTTTCCCCCTGGCTACGGGCCTGAGTCCAATTTTCATACCATATATCCAGGAAATCCACGACGTCCAGGTACTTCTTCTCTGGCAGCGGAGACTTCACGCAACGCTTCAGCATAATAAGACATGTCTGTAAGTACGACAAGGACGTGTTTTCCACACTGATAAGCCAGAAATTCAGCACAAGTCAAAGCCAATCGAGGCGTGATTATTCGCTCGATCGTTGGATCATTGGCCAGATTGAGAAAGAGGCAAACATTCTCCATAGATCCATTCTCTTCAAAATCTTGTTTAAAGAATCGTGCTGTTTCCATGTTCACACCCATTGCAGCAAAAACGATAGCAAAGTCGTCAGTTTCGCCTTCCTCTCCACCATGCTTTTTATTGGGTAATTTGACAAGTCCTCCTTGTCGTACAATTTGGGCAGCAATCTAAATAATAAATTTAGAAAAATTTAATTCAGTTACTTCATTATGGGGTAATCCAGCCGCTGAAAAAATTGGGATCTTCTGTCCGCGAGCAATACTGTTCATCACATCAATTGCCGAAATTCCAGTTTGAATCATTTCCTCGGGATAAATTCGAGACCAAGGATTGATAGGCTTTAAAAGAAATTTTATTGATGTTATATGAGAAATACCTGGCCGTTAATATCCAAATAATCTTCAGCTAGCACATTTGGCCCTTTATCAATAGGCTTTCCAGAACCATTAAACACACGCCCAAGCATATCCTCCGAGACAGGAGTTCGAAGAATTGTGCCAGTAAACTCGCATATAGTATTTTTAGCATCAATTCCTGATGTCCCCTCAAAAACCTTAAATTTAAAAGATAAACCTGCAGACATGTTAACTGATATACCTGTACAACAGCTTTGTCCTTTGTAACCTCCAATACTTGCCCAGTTCGTTTCGTTCCATCAGGTAACGTTAAACGAACAATTTCATCGTATTGTGGAAATTTCACATCTCCCAGAATGACCAACGGCCCGTTAACTCCAGTAACGGTTTTATAAACTAAAAAATATTTTAAACAAAAAATATTCAAATTAATACAAACTTAGGTGGGGCTGTGTATTGTAATTACGAATTGGAGCGGCTTTGTCACCAGTAATTGCTTTATTAACATCTACAGCTGCTGCAGCCATCTTCTAGAAAACAAAATATTAAAACTTTAAATTGTGATAAAAGTTCTAAATTTTGGTTGACAAGACAATATTCGCGATTATTTTACTGCGAGAACGACAAAAGATTAAAGATCATTGTTTCGACACGGTTAGAGAATAGGCCACTTAATCGCGGAGTGAAAAATGAACGAAAATTTTGAGAAGCAGCCATGTAATCTGCCAAATAATCGGCACACGCCCAATACGTCGCGGGGCCATAACGGCGCAAAGCCATAACTTGCTGGAAATTTTCTGGCTCTTATCAATTTTGGTACCAATCCCCCTAGCTCAATGAGAGAGTCGTTTAATACTAAATTTGTTGAGATTAGGAAATTTTGAAGCAAGTTATGGCTTTGCGCCGTTATGACCGCGCGCCTACTTGGGCTGTACCCCAAATAATCACTAGGCATTTTAAAGCAAATCCTTGGCCTATTTTTAGCTTCTAGCTGTTTTTTTCGTTTTTTATTAATTTTATCTTAAATTTAGCCGGTATTTTTACTTAACTTCAAATTTTGTCAATTATATTGCCAATTTTTAACGAGCTCATGTTCTGGCGTTCTTCACTATATCTCTCCTTTCGTCCAATACTGGTTTTTTAAAATTATCTTTTAATTAATTATTTTATTTTTACAGAATGACTTTTTGCAATATAGATTTTATGCAACTTTACAAAAAAATCCAAAAATTTTTCCTAGTGCCGCTGATGCCATTCGTGATATTCCAAGTGGAGCAACTCTTTTAGTTGGAGGTTTTCTTAATATTTTTAGGATTTAATTTTATCAGTTTTTAGGCTTCGGTCTTTGTGGCATTCCTGAAAACCTTATTTCTGCACTTGTGAATAGCCGTGTTGACAGTTTAGTCTGTGTAAGCAACAATGCTGGAGTTGACGATTTTGGACTTGGATTGCTGTAAGTAATATTTTGTCTAATTTTATTTTTTTTAATTTTTAAGGTTAAAGTCAGGCCAAGTACGAAGAATGATTTCCTCTTATGTTGGGGAAAATGCTGAATTTGCAAGGAAATATTTGGCTGGAGAATTAGAATTGGAATTTACACCGCAAGGTAAGAGAGTTAACTTTGTTAAGGTTTGTCTTATTATTTGGGAGCAGGCCAACTTTACCGCGAGCCCAACTTACCGCAGAGCTATAACTTCGTTCAGAATCGTCGAAGCCGTGATGCCCTAGTATGGTTCGATGCGCTCGACGAGCTGAATTCAATCATAGCAGGGCGTCCCGGATTCTACAATTCTGAACGAAGTTATAGTTCTGCGGTAAGTTGAGCTCGTGGTAAGGTGGGGTGTACCCTTATTATTTCTAGGCACTCTTTCGGAAAGGATACGTGCTGGGGGTGCCGGAATTCCTGCATTTTATACACCAACTGGTTATGGGACACTTATCCAGACGGGTGGAGCTCCAATTAAATATAGTTCCACAGAAAAAGGGAAAGTTGAATTGGCTAGTGGATCAAAAGAGGTTTTTCTTTATCATTTAACATTTTTCTTTAAAATATTTTTTGCTAGACAAGAACTTTTAATGGAATTAATTATGTTTTGGAAAATGCAATTCGTGGCGATTTCTCTTTAATAAAGGCTTGGAAGGCTGATAAACTTGGAAATCTTGTCTTCAAGTATTTTTTAAATTTTTATTTTCTCAATTAATTAAGGGGAACTGCTGCAAATTTTAATATTCCGATGTGTAAAGCAAGTAAGTGCACAATTGTTGAAGTTGAAGAACTAGTTGAAGTTGGTCAGATTTTGCCTGAGGAGGTGAATTTTTACTTTAACATTAAGCATATTTCAAGGGCGTAGCCTGTGGGATTTGCGTCCGGAACGCCAAAATTTTGGCACACCACCCACCGAAATTGATCCCCTGGCTACGCCGTGGCATTTATAATTATTTTTTAGATTCATGTGCCTTCCATTTACTGTCACCGAATTGTTGTTGGGGAAAAATATAAAAAGCCTTTCGAAAAACTAATTTTTAACGATTCATCTGAAAAGAAAGATAAAAGTACAGACCAGTTGGATAATGTCAGAGAAATAATTGCTCGTCGGGCAGCTTTGGAATTTCAAGATGGAATGTATGGTATGAAATTAAAAAATGAAAATTTTTGATAAATTTTTCTCTTTTAAAGTAAACCTTGGGATTGGCATTCCAACTCTTTGTCCTAATTATTTACCAAAAGGAATAAGTGTTCATCTTCAATCCGAAAATGGTGTTATTGGCGTGGTTTTTTTTATCAAATAAAAATTAATTTTCTTAAAAATTATTTAGGGCCCATATCCAAAACCGGGAGAGGAAGATCCTGATAGAATTAATGCTGGGAAGGAGTCAATCACTTTTCTACCTGGCGCCTCTGTTTTTGGTTCGGATGAATCTTTTGCTATGATACGTGGGGGACATATAGACTTGACATTATTGGGAGGTTTGCAAGTATCACAATATGGAGATCTTGCAAATTGGATGATCCCCGGCAAAATGGTTAAAGGAATGGGCGGAGCAATGGATTTGGTGAGATCATTTAATTATTCAAGCGTTATCTAAGGATTAGAGTGGAATATGTTATCCGGATTCCTCTTTATGCCTTTGATAACTGAATCAATCAAAAGTTCTAAATGTATCGGTCTGGAACTCAATGTCATATTTATTAAGGGAAGTGGGAAAGCAGAAGAAGGGTGTCAAAAAATTTAAAATTTGCCGGCTATTTAAATATATTTTATAAAATCACAGATTTCTGCTCCAGGTTCGAAAGTTGTTGTCACAATGGAACATACTGCTAAAGATGGTACACCGAAAATTTTAGATGAGTGTACACTCCCTTTGACAGGTTTTTACTTTAGAGAATATATTTATAAAAGGGATGTCTCTTTACAGGAAAGAATGTAGTGTCGAAAATAATTACTGAAAAGGTTTATTAAAACAACATTATTTAATTAATTTTTTATTTTTAGGCAGTTTTTGATGTAGACAAAATAAATGGATTGACTCTTGTGGAAGTTTATAGTGATTGTTCTGTTGAGGATGTTGTCCAAGCAACTGACTGCGATTTTAAGGTTTTTTAATTTTCTTTTTAAATTTAAATTTCGATTTTTTATTTAGATTTCTGAAAACTTGAAATCTATGGGACAGGCATGAATGATGAAAGGTTTAATGAATTTTTAGACTAATTTAAATGTGGGTAATGTGATATAAATTATATATATTTTAAATGACTTGTAAAAATTTGTAGTTTTTATGTAAAATTTGATAATTGAATTTTTATTTAATTTCAATTTTATATATTAAAAGAGCAATCTTTACCTTCAGTTTTAAAAAGATAAATTAGAAACTTGATAAAAATAGATTTACATATCTAATTCAACAGAATTTATTTTCTTTAGTTTTAAACATGCCTTAAAAACGGGTATTTCCTTAAAGATAAGGATAAAAGTATTTCTTAAAAAAAGATTTATATAATTTTGCAGGAGTAGAGCTTTTTACAACAAGTAGTTTTAAGAAGCTTGAATTAAATGTAGGTTTGTCAAAAACGTTAAAATCTTGGTCTGAGTTTAGCCTATAACGCTTTTTGATTTTGGGGTGTATTTGTTCTTTAATAGAGCCTACATATTCCGTTTTTTAATGTAGTACATAAAATCAAATGACCAGACTAAGCTTGTCCTAGAGGGCGTCTGATTGCCTATAACGCTTTTGGATTTCCGGCTGGAAATTCGGGGCTGGGCTTTTGACTGGAAATTTTCGACCGGCCCGATTAATCGCAGGCTGGTCAATCAGCTGTTCTCGAGCCGCGCCTTTTTATAAGTTTCGAATTTAAATTTTTAGACTGAAATTTCTTTTGTATTTCAAATATTTTAAAATTAAATGGCACAAACAGATGCTAACACTGGAATGGTTCTTTTGACTGGAAATTCTCATCCAGAATTAGCTCAACTTTTGGCAGAGTAAAAAATTAATTTAAATAATGAAATTTTGTTTTTTAAAGGAAATTGGGAATTTCTCTTTGTGATGCAACAGTTATAAATCAGGCAAATAAAGGTTTTTTTTTTGAAAATTTTTCTCAAATTTTTTAAAAAATAATTTTAGAAACTGCTGTTGATATAAGGCAAAGTGTTCGTGGAAAGCATGTATTTATTCTCCAAACTGCCAATAAGTGAGTAGAAATATTTTAAATATAATTTTTAATTTAAATTTTAGAAATGTTAATAATAATGTTATGGAAATGCTTATTTTGATATATGCTTGCAAAACATCAATGGCAAAGTAAGGAATATTTTTTGAAGTAAAAATTTTAAGTGAATTTTGGTATAGAGACAGTAGAACACCCTCATTTTTACCTCAACTCAGGATAATTTTTTTTAATTTGGTCAATGGGTAAATTGAGTTACCTATAACTTTTCGATTTGGGGGTCAGGGGGAAAAAAGAAAAAAAGAAAACCCTGCTCTACAAGATGGGGCAAAAAATTTTTCGAAATTTTTATATGAAGTTCGGGATGTTCCCTTGTAAGCGGTACTTTAATTTAAGGTACCCTTCATTATATGAAACGAATTTACCAACCAAAGAGGTTATATAAAATGAGGGTCAATTTTATGTATAAAATCTCAATTTTTATACCCATTAAAATTCTAACAAAAACTTTTAGAACAATAACAGTCGTCTTACCTTACATGCCTTACAGCAAACAATGTAGAATGTTTAGACGTTCTTCTGTTCCAATGAAATTAGTAGCCGATATGATATGCAAAGCTGGTATTTTAGAATTTGTTAAATTTTTTTAAATTTATTTTTTAGGTGCTTCTCGTGTTGTCTCTTTGGATTTATATCGAAAGGAGATACAAGGCTTTTTTGGAATTCCTGTGGATAATTTACGTGCTTCTCCATTCCTTTTACATTATATTATTGGAAATATTCCCGATTATAAAGATGCTGTTATTGTAGCAAAAAATCCGGGAGTGATGAATAAAGCAACTTCATACACTGATCGACTAAAACTTGGTTTTTATTTTTTATGACTGCGTCTTTGGATTTTTTCTACCCAAACAAATTCTTTTTCTAGACGAACAATTCTTAAATTGTAGGCAGGTATCTGGGTATAATTATAGTAGGAGGCTTGGCGTTTACCTTGGCGTTCCTGACACAAATTTTTTGAACCATATTTTTATTTTTTCAGCGCCGCAGGCGAAAATTTTGAGAATTTTAGAAGGCCAAAAAATGCACTTTTCCAGCTCTGCAGGCGAAAATTTTTTTGAATTTTGGAGCTCAAGGCTTCAGCCCCCCCTGTCTACGTCCTTGGTGTCGTTGTGTGGAATTCGGCAATCCAGGAGAATTGGGGTCCCTGCAGGAAAAAATCTTAAAAATAAGAAAAATGATTTTTCTAGGGTAAAAAAGTACGCTGATTACGAATCTGAACTCAGATTTTGAAAAAGTCGAATCCGAACCCGAATATAGGTCCTCGAATATCGAAAACCCATAGGGGGGACCAAGCTGATTTGGGGTGAAAAATTCGAATATGCAAATTATACCTCATTCGAAAGAGCTCTTCAAGCTGAGTCGAATGACAACGAAATTACCGTGATTGAACAAGATTGGACGAAGTTATACCACAAAAAACAAACAACGTAGGCCTATGTTTTTTGTGTCATAACTAGGGACAGCCAAAATATGCACGGAAAATCGCCAAATATGCGCATATATATGCAGCGAAAAAGTTCAAAATATGCACCAAAATATGCAAAATTTGCCAAAATATGCACTGAAATATGCACCAAAAACTAGTTAAAATATGCTTTAAAGATCAATATTTTAAGCCAAAAACTCGAAATTAGCCTTCAAACCCGCAATTTAAGAAAATTCTTAAAAGATTTTATGGAATTAAGATTATTGCATAGAAATTTAACAAAAGAAAATTTTTCCGAAAAATTTTTCGAAAAAATTTTTTTATAAAATTTTTATAATAAATTTTTTGACCAAAAAAATTCCGAAAAATTGAAAATTTTCGCCGATTTTTACTAAAATTTACCAAAAAATGCCGAAATATGGACCAAAATATGCAAAAGTTGCCAAAATATGCACAAATATGCAAATATGCACGGGAGGGCCGAAATATGCAAATATATGCATTAAGAACCGGGTCCTAAAGTGCTCGTACCAATGTAAAAACACCATTTTTGGGCTTCCCACGTTAAGGCATATCAGCATACAAAACATGCATTTGCATGTTTTGGCTGTCCCTAGTCATAACTTCGCCTGATCTTGATCAATTGCAATGATTTTGATGTCATTCGACTCAGCTCGTCTAGCTCTTTCGAATGAGATATTATTTGACCAATTTACGCTCTGTTTATTTTTCGAAATTTTTCCCAAATGTCAAATATCTGAATTTCGGGTTCGGGATTCGACTTTTCCAAAATCCGAGTTCAGATTCGCAATCAGCATATTTTTTTACCCTAGAAAAATCCTTTTTCTTATTTTTAAGATTTTTTTCCGCAGGGACCCCAATTCTCCTGGATTGCCTGGAATTCAGTCAAAGCCCTCTATTAAGACATCGCCTCCAACATTACTTCTCTTCCCCTGGCAGTCCCAAGATTCTCATAATAGTTTCAACAAAAGAAACTTCACTACAACATTTAATTTATATAAACAAATTTTAGGAATAGCTGTAATACATGGAGAACAAAAAGTAGATGAAGAAAGTGGCAGAGAAGATGGCCGTCAAAGTCCTCCAACAGCTTCACTTGGTGTTTCTTATGAATTTCTTCCTCCCAACGTTCCAAAAGACAAACCTCCCCTTACTGTTGTTGGGGATGTTAGTAATAAAATTGCGATAATTGTGGATGATATTATTGACGATGCTCATTCATTTGTTGCTGTTGCAGAGGTTTTTTTTGTTTGTTTATTTTGGAATAAAAATTTTAAAAGGTTTTGAAAGCGCGTGGAGCTAAAAAAATTTATGTAGTTGCAACACACGGACTGCTTTCACTCGATGCGCCATCACTTCTTGAGGCATCGCCGATTGATGAGGTATAAACATTTTTTGGGTTGGGTTCATGAAAAATGGCCCTCGCTATGAGATAACTCCAACCAACTTGAGATTTGTTTTTGAAAACTTGGTAGATTACAGGGTTTGGAGGAGGGGTTCTCTAATAATCTCTATTTATTTACACTTGATTAAAAATTTTCAAAAGTAAAACACTATAAAATTCTAAATTTCCCTTTCTATCACCAGATAATTGTCACAAACACAGTTCCACATGAAATTCAAAAGCAGCGTTGCCACAAAATCAAAACTGTTGACATTTCACTTTTGCTCTGTGAAGCAATTCGACGAATATACAACAATGAATGTTTGTTTTTTTAATAGAATTTTTTTATTAAATTAATTTTTTAAGCAATGGCTCCGCTGTTTAAAGATCTTACAATTGATGACTAAATAAATATATACTATTTTTAATATTACTTTTTAAATTTCTAATCAAAAAAGAAATGACTTATTTCACATTCTCTTAAATAAAATTTTGGTCAGTTTTGTCAAAATTAAGTTTAATTTTTTGTCTGTGCCGTCTAGGATTGTTCATTACCTGTATATTAACTGGTTCAGTTAAATATTTAGTTTTGTTATGGGGGGATTAAAAAATCTCATTTTCAAAAATTCGCGGATGTTAGGCTACTCCTACTGGTTTCAGTTAAATATCCGTGTCAAGCGTTCTGTTGAGCGTTTTGTCAAGCACACCCTCCCACATAGACATCCCTGTCGAGTGGTACGTGCCTCTCCTACATAGAAAAAAAGCACGGAACAAAGCGCTTGACACTCGACGCTCAACACTTGACACGGATCCTATGTGGGAGTAAAATTCCCAGTTCTAAAATCACTCATGCACAAACTTCTAACTATTGCTCTTTAAATTATAACAACATAACTTTTATTCCATAATAACAGCAACAAAGAAAAGTCGAACAAACATCACTTAAAAGAAAAATCCGAGAATCTTCCCACCAGCATGTTTCCTTCGAGCTTCCTCGTGATCCATAATTCCACTAGAAGTGGTCAACACCAAAAATCCAAATTGACGAGATGGCAACAAGTTGCTCGTCCATTTCTCCAAATCAGCCATACGAATGTCGAAACGTGGACTGAATAAATAAAAAAATTAAAAAAAATCTCCTTAGTTTTTGGTCCGGTAATATTTTGGGTTAGACCTCTCCTTTCTGGTTCCTAACCATTTTTAGCTTTTTTGTTTGATCTATAATTTATCATATACTATCCGACCCTGCTCTTAAAGCACTAGATTTGAAGATTCTAAACAAAATTGTTTCTATTACAGAGATTGACTAATCTAACGTGAACCTAATAACAACAGACAAATCGTAAGCGTAAAGCTATCAGACAAATCGATTTGACACCGAAAAGTGAAACGCGTTAAATCAGAAAAAATTGTTTAAATCGAGTTTCATGAGCCCATTTATAAATTCTGCGAGATTGATTGTGAGCTGTGGTAAATCAAAATGCCCCTATATTCTCTCTAGCATTTAAAATAAACTTGCCTGATGACTTGGCACTTGTTGATACGTCCAGTAAGGTTAACAACAATTTTACCGGCACGGTGATCATCAACAATTTCAAACTCGCCTATATAGCCGTGCTTCATCATAACAGTCAAGAAACGAACAATTACTTTGGAAGATGGCCGAATAATCACCTAAAGAGAAATAAAAATAAATGAAACAAAAATTTAAATAAACCTGTCGCTTCCCACGCTTCTCAGCATTATTGATAGACTTTAAAGCATCAGCAAGTACATTCATGCGCACCATTATGATCAACTTTTATTTAAACTTATCTAAATTATTTAAATAAATGAAACACAATCTATAAAAATCGAGGAAATGATTAATCGAAATTTACAGAAAATGTTTGGAGGTTTTAGGAAGAGATAGGAAAGAAATCTAGTTTTTGTAACCCACGACCCAAAATCCTGATTTTCTTCTATTTTGAAGATTGGGGCCTCGAAGATTCGAAAATCAATTCCATTTCGGGATCCCGGGATTGCGGTCTTGATCTCTAAATTCTAGGCTTTCTCTGTTAAAAGAAAAATAATGCTTAGACTAAATAGTTAAATTTATCCTTACTGGCAAATTGGTAAATAGGCAAAAAGAAAATTACACAATGACATTTATTTTTTATAAAAAAGACAATTGAGTCCCGACGGTTGAGTCTGGGCTATATTCGGTCCATAACCTTCATAAGCTATCATCCATTATGAACAAATCCAATCTATCCCATTCTTTTCTGTGTGAATTTTAAGTTTTATCATTTCGCCTATTTTTAATTTCAATTTTAATTGAGCTTTTTAAGGTTTTAAAAACGTATATATTTTCTCCCTTAATTATGTTGACCAATTCGGTTAATTTTCTCTTTAAACGTTCCTTTGCTATTTCTGCGAGTGCTCTTCAAGTAATTCGTCCACCCGTTCAAGTTTCCGGCATTGAAGGAAAATATGCTTCGGCTCTCTATTCTTCTGGAATGAAGGAAAAAAGTTTGGACAAAATTGAGAAGGATTTAAGTCAATTGAAGGTGCTTTATGACACAAACAATGATTTTAAGGTTGGTTTATAATGAAAATATATAAATAAAATAATTTTTTAGTTGTTTGTTGAAAATCCAATATTGAATAAACAAAAGAAAGCGGATGCAATTCAAGCTGTTCTGAAGAATCAAGGAATGTCGAAAACAGTCCAGAACTTTTTTGGTTTGATTTTTATATGTAATAATGGCCTGACTTTACGCATGGCCTGGTTTAGTGCTCGTTGCTTTCTAGAATTTTACAAATTATATATTTTTCGACCGGTACCAAAATTAGGTAGCGGAAACAACCATGAGCCATTGAACAGCGAAACACTGAGGAGAAACAAGCTTATTTTTGTGGCCAAAAATTCAAATCTTCACAACTTCGATTTTTCACGTACTTTCTTAAGAGCTCGATTGCTCTTTGAGTAAAGCCTTCAAAAATTTTTTACGGGTACAAATCTAATTTGTAAACTTTATTTTAGTTCTCCTGACTGAAAGTGGTCGACTCGTTAAACTTTCGTCTATCATCAATTCCTTCGAAACGATAATGCGTGCGCATCGCAATGAATTGCAGGTCGAAGTGACTAGTGCAGAAGTAAGTCCAAATTTAGTTTATTTTGTTTAAACAAATCAAATTTTTTAGCCATTAAACAAAAAGCAAGAACAATCATTGAGAACTGCTCTTGCAAGTTTCGCTAATGCTGGACAAGAATTAAATATCTCTTTTGGAGTTAAGCCGAGTCTTATTGGAGGGATGGTGGTTACCATTGATGACAAGTATGTTGACCTTTCAATGGCTTCCAAAATTAAGAAAATGGAAGCGTTGTTGGAGAAGTCAATTTGAAATTAATTAAAGATAGAAATAGGCTATATTTTCTTTTTTTTTGATAGATGTTATTTTTAATGGGTTTTGAGAAAATTTAAGAGTTGTTATAAATAAACGGTCATCTGAATTTGTTGAAATTCTATCGAGGTTGATCCTTTTTGTTTTCCGTAACCACATTCAGAACCCAATTCAATGACCACTCTCCTATGAAAATAACCTCGTTTTTTACAAAAGCTACATTTGGAGTTATGGAAAATGGAAGGTCAACCCAACTATTGAATAAAGCTAGAAAGTGAATTTTGCTAATCTTATTGTTAGCCTTTAAAACATATTAGTTGAAACCAGTAATCTCATGCAGGCCCGTAGCCAGGATTTTTTTCGGGGGAGGCGCCAAAAATTTTTATTTTCAGCGCCGCAGGCGAAAATTTTGAGAATTTTAGAAGGCCGTAGACCAAAAAAATTCACTTTTTCGGCGCCGCAGGCGAAAATTTTTTGAATTTTGGAGCTCAAGAAGCCAGATTTCTTCCATTTTTAGCGCTGCAGGCGAAAATTTTGAAAATTTCGAAGGCCGTGGGCCAAAAAATTCACTTTTTTTGCCCCAGCCCTTCCCCAAATTTTTCCCTTTTCCCCATTTCGGGGGGGGGGGGGGGAATTTCCCCCCTGGCTACGGGCCTGATCTCATGTACCTATTTTCACCGCCCAATTCTTTCACATTAAGAATAAATCAATAAGCGCGCAAATTCACGAAAAATTTGTCAAAGGGTAATAAGAATTTATTTATAAGGGCAATTTACTGGCATAACACAATAAATGAAAAATTGATCACGTATTTGATGACTAGTCTAACTACACTTTTCTTCACAATTTCTTCATTTTAATCTTTGAGTTATCGAAGCCAATGCAATAGCGAATGCCTGAATTGCTGAGAAAGGCTCACGAAAGTCGAGGGTGTATGCACCATTTTCGATCCGCCCAAACTGAAGAACTTGCCGATTCTGATATTCAATTTGGAAATTCTTTGCGGACTCTTGAGTGACTCGACCGTTAAAATCCAACTTAAAATTGATAAAAGATTTTCTACCTAATTAATTGTAAAATGTTAGACCTGGTAAACTTGCGATTGCTCATTCCAAAAGGGTCTCTTGTTGGTCATAACGAGCATTTTTGGCCCTGACGAGGTACCGGGGTCCTCTGGTTTTCTACTTGATGGTGGCTTTTCTCTATTTCCTGAATTTTTCCTCTCTAGCTCATCCAGGCATTTCTGTAAAGTAGATTTTGTTCGATTTGATTGGTCGGTAATTTCGGCATAAGGCTCAAACGGCGAATCAGTTGTAGGCTAATTTTTAATTTAAAATCTAGTATAAATACGGGCAAATAACTTACTCGTTCATTTCGCCCTCTATTAGTTGGGACCGGCAATTCCTTTTCGAAATTCTTTTTTTGAATAGATTCTTGTTCACCGCTCAGGCACAGATGTTCCTCGCTTCCATCATCCTCTCCTAGAACAACTTTGATATGTTGAACTCGCTGTCGTAAATCACCGCTTATCTCATTAAGTAGATCATTGATACGGATTAACTAAAAGTGCAAATATTAGAGAGACTACAGGTGAAAGTACCTCTTCAAATTGAACTATGTGACGAGCAATTCCTCGGACTTTCTCCCTTAGAATCGACACATTTTTGTGTCGACTTCCGGACGGAGAAAGCATACGAGGGCTTGATCGAGATGCCTCTCCAGATGCCGAACAACTGCTTGACGGTGAAGGTTGCCCAGTGGAATCATGTTTAATTTCAAGCATTTCATATTTTGTACCCGATCGTTGGCAGCTTTGCGAATGCCCCATAGTGTGGATTGCAGACGAATGGTGACGCGTGGCAGATAACTCGGAAGCTAATCGAGAAAGCTAAAAAAATTAAATATTCATAGCCTGATAAAAAAATAAGGCATACCTTATCTACAATAGCTCGTATATCATTTAGTTGAGAGATTCGGCTGTTATTTTTACTGTTAGCATCAATAACGCCATCTTGATGGGTATCTAAGGGAAGAGGCTCAAGCTTATTTAACGTTGATTCCAACATAAGAGGTGTATACGTCATCACCATATTTGAATCGCCCTGTTGTGAGAATGAAATTGGTACATTGGATGAATAATCCTGATTATGTGTAAGTGTGGTTGGACGCGAAGTTAGGTGATCACCGGTAGAAAGCTGATGAGCATCGTCGTCAATAAACTATAAAATAATAAATAAATTTCAGTGACTAGACGCCTTTTAATCAGACTAAATCTCGGAAAACTTCAGTTATCAGAATTTTAACTCGACCCAGTACGAAAAAACTCATAATTTATCCCGACCTTTAGCTCTTTTAGTCGTATATGCCACCCATCCAATTCGACACCAGACGCCGGAGAACTCTGGGGTCTAACATTAGGACGGTTATTGTGTGCCAAATCCTTTGGTGAAGGATTAAGGCTCGTTGAAGTAGATGGCCTCTGATCTTTGCATTTATTTTGTTGTTTCAGCATTATCTTTGCCGCAACTGGACGTTTTCGATCCTTTACAACGGAAATTGAAGGTGCCACAGGTATTTTTGAGGTGGTTGGACTGACTTCAAATGACGTTGGTTTTGGATTACAGGAGGGTGCATCCAGAATAGATACAGATTGTGATTGTTCAAGTTCAGTAGCAAATTGTTTCATTTTCTGAAGAAATTTATAAGAAAATTTATGATAAACAATGACTACCAGAATATATGTATTGACAGCCTGACGTAGTCCATCAAACTCGGATATCACATTTTCGTACAATTCTCGTTCACTATCCATTAATCCATCTTCTTCTTCACCATTATGTTCTCCGAAAAGTTCATATTCACCTTCATTATCAACTTCACCCTCACAAAAATGGCTGTCAATTTGTACTTTCTTCGATCTCTGTTCATCTGTATTGTTGTTTGACTCATTTTTGTGTTGTATTGTAGATACTTCTTTGTTTTGGGAGATAATATGTGCAAATAACATTCTATCTTCTTCACTTATTTCATCATCAGTTATTGCTGTACGAGTTTTCCATCGACTTTCTGGACGGACTTCAAGAGGAACTATAAGTAAAAGAAAAATTTACAGGACATCTTCATTGAGTTTGAAGGAAAACCTCGAGCTGCTGATTCACAGCGCCGACGATCTCTCCGTTCACGCTTCGCACGCCGATTTTCTGTTGAAGTACTTGTACCCAAGCCAAGATCACACAAATTTATAGTCATTTGGCGTGGTTGTAAGTGTAACACAGAAGTTTTGTAGAAAACCTGTGCTAATTGAGTTGGTAAATTGGTCCCACTGGCAGCGTTAATCTTGAATCTTGTGCACCAAACGTTGGAATTAACCTACAATGGATTAATCCATAATGACATTAATAAAAAAATTACATGGACAAGCGTTGGAGGTGTTCTTTTAACAGCAGGTATTGAAGTGGCGATACGTTGTGGAGTTATCCGACGATTTACAAAGCGTCTAATTTGGCGTTTACTTCGCCGCCAAACTGAATTGCGTTGGCTACTTTCACGACGAAAGGCATCCTGCCCAACATCCTCTGTGATTAAAATTAATTTTTAGGTCAATCAAAGAAAGAATATTAAAAGGCCAACAAACTCACCAACTTGAGCAGAAGGACCCCCAACTAACAAATTGTGGTGTTGTAGTCGAACAACTGGCGCCGCTAATGATGAAGACCTCGAGGCGTTCAACAATAAAGAATCATCTGTTTTATTGGAATTAAGTAGAACACTTGGAGACGTTAAAGATTCATCGAGAAGTGTAACATGGTCATGAAGAGCGGCAGCTCTGCATTTGGCTAGTCTGTTAAGAATAAGAATGGAAATTGCGTAAATAAAAAGGTAATTACAAATGCGGCGGCAGTGATATGATAAATTGAGGAATTATTCTATTGGTTTGACGGCCGAGCAAAATTGGTACAAATCCGCCCATATGCTATAAAATTATAAAAATTTGTCCAATTTTTCAAAATTTTTATAACCTCAACACAGAGCATATACAGATTCTTTCTAGCCACAGGTACTATAGTGCAATACCAACGCCAAGCACTCGGCCGACAAACAACATCATAGAGACATTCAATATTTGGAATTCGACACTGAAAAAAATTTTTTAAATGTGAAAATAGGTACATTTACTCACTCGAATGATATGGTGATCAAATTGGGAAATTAACGTTTGCTCTCGCTCAGGCAATGGCAAGAGTGATCTGTTTTTAGAACTTTGTCCCAACAATTCCCAAATAGAGTAGGAAACAAGTTGAGAAAGGGTGGGCACATTCCGAACAATTCTGCCGGTTGCCACACATCCTTTGGCTGCAACAACAATTGCTTGATCATTATGTGCCCAGGTGAAGGCGGAAAGTGTACAATTTGGAATGGGTGCTGAGAAGGAATGAATAGCACGACCGTTGTAGTCGAGGACAACAATTCTTAATAATTAAAATATTTTTTTGACATTTCTAGGTTCGAAATAACCTGTTTGGAATGCAAACAACAGCTAACATTGTACCGTCATTACTCCAACGCATCAAGATCACAGGGTCAGGCGCTTGCCATGAGCCAAGCTCAACTTCGTAAAATGTGTTTAGAAAAAGTATTTGATCAGCAGTCTGTTCAAAACAAATAATAATTTAATTATTTAATAAAAATTTAATAACCGAGCAACAAGCTAGTGTCCACTTTCCATCCCCATTCTTGTCAACTTCTCGTATCGAAGAAAAGGCAACACGCTGCACCCCAACCTGGAATAGGCTACGTTCTGTGATTAACGTTCCCTGGTCATTTAACACGTTGATAGATCCACTGTTAAGCCCCAAAACAAGCTCCTGAGAATTTGGTGCCCACGCTCCACAGAGAATTGAAAAAATAAAAGTATTTGACCAAACTCGTTGACCAGTTGAAGAACCTTTAAAAATCAAAAAATTGAAGAATAAAATTATTAAATAACCGATAAGCACAAAATTGTCCTCATAACAGATGAGCGCAGAAGCCCCATTAGGGGACCAATCAAAATCCCTGACTTTAAAGCCTCTGTCATTAACCAATTCAACTGTCCACCGTTCTTCATTTGGAGCCCAAAGATAAATAACACCGTTTACATCACAGGATAGCAGCTTTGTTTGTGCTCGATTCCACGCAACCAACGCGATTGAACTTTGATGCCCGCGCAGATTAAAATTGTAACTAAAATGGAGTTGATAAGAATGTAAAAGATGCTAGTTAAACTAGAGACCGGCGCGGGACGGGATCACGACGGGATTTTTCGGGATCCCGATCTCGAAATCACGGATTTTTTTATTATCTGGATCATTAGGGATCCGAGATTATTTCGGGATTTATCCCTCGAGATCCCGTCACGGCATCGATTGAGAAAAAAAATCACGCCTTAGGATCCAGGAAGTTCGATTTTGCCGGTCTCTAAGTTAAATGAGATGTTAATGAGATGTTAAATAAAAATGAGATGTTAAATAAATTAAAAACCAACCGTTTGTAACAATCATGATCAGATCCCAAATCCGTGTAAGTGACACCAACTGAACCCGTTTCACATCCGACGCTAAATAAAACAGTTTTTCATTTCAAAAAAAAAACTTTAAAAAACCTTAACAGGCCTCTCCCTTCCTTTGAAGATGGAGCCCAACTGAGACATGAAATTGACTGTTCAATACTAGCTCCAGGCCAATTTCTGCTTTCCCAAAGAATCTTCATTCCTCTTAACTTCTTATTAAAATATTAAATGAATGTGTAAAGGTAAGAAATAATGTACAAATTTAATTAATGAGAAGACATTGACTTTTCTTTAGTCAGTATAAAATAAATTAAATTAGTATAAATATGTATTGATAAAAATAATAGTGGGGAAAATGTTTAAAGTAAATCGTTGCTGAAAAAAGTCTGCGGCTGTCAATAATTAATCAACAAAATATAAAAACAATTGCCTAAGAAGAATTAAGAACACCATTCAGGTAGAGAGAAACAATGTTTTGATTATCAATATGCGTGAAACTTAAAAAACGCGCTGCGCATTACAGACACAAAGTTGACGTAAATCGATAAAGGAAAGGACAAAAATTTAGCCAACGGACATAATGCCAAAATTACTTTGCCAGCTGTTGAAATATTATTGACAGCTGCAAGCTAGTTATTGTTGCGGAACTTTTCGGTTTTGCCACACCCCTCCCATATATTCGCAGGATATTATTTCTATTTTTCCTTAATTTTTACAGAAAGGCCCGTCTTCTTTCTTCCTTAACTTCACAATGGAAAGAGAAATTATTTGGGATCATTTGATCAATTGTCTCATTTTCTTAAATTGATTTTCGAAAATGCAAATTATACCTCATTCGAAAGAGCTAATCGAGCTGAGTCAAATGACACCAAAATCAACGAAATCCGACTTGATTGGACAAAGTTATGATCTTTTATTTTAGCTCCTTACCTATGGCATCTGTGGAGATTTTTGCTGCTACTGAGGCCCTAAATACGTCCAGAGCAAGTACGAATCCGAACCCTGGATTAGGCACTTTTTTATCTTTGTTTTTAATTTCTATTTATTTAAACGTTCACAAAAATCTTTAAATTCTTATTTGGACGTTATTTAGCAATTTGTTCATTTGGAGGCAAAAGTCGTTACGAAACTGATTATTGAATTTATACATTTCTTGGAAGAGAAATTTTGCGAAAAATTGTTGATTCTTTGTTACGGTATCGTGTTATCTCGCCAAAAGCTTGACTCGCCAAAGCTTGACTCGCCAAAAGCTTGTTTCGCCAAACCCCCAAAAGCTGTTGACTCGCCAAACGGTGGAAAAAAGCTTGTTTTGCCAAATAAATACCAAAATTTATTATTATTCAATTTGTTAATAAAACTGTGGAATTTTTTATTATTCACCTCGCGGCGGAATAACCTGTTGCTTTTAGCCTGTTGGTTTTTAGTCTTCGCTGGAAAAACTGTTTTTGTGCCAGGCTGATTTTTGGGTTCAAAAATTCGATTATACAGATGATACTTCATTCGAAAGTGCTCGACGAGCTGAGTCGAATGACACCAAAATCAGCTCGGTTGGATGATTCTGAACCGAATTATAACCAACTGAATCTTCGCTGGAAAAACTGTTTTTGTGCTGCTACGGAGGTTGTGTGCTGCCTCCGTTTTTGTGCTGCCTCCGCAGCGGCAAAAACTTTTTTCCGCGTAGGCATGTGAGAGGTTTCCACACTTTGTATTATGAATGATTTTGGAGGAGGATTATATTATACACAAAGAGGAGTTTTATAAAATTTTTCCACTGCTTGGCAATTCAACAGCTTTTGGGGGTTTGGCGAAACAAGCTTTTTTCCACGGTTTGGCGAGTCAACAGCTTTTGGGGGTTTGGCAAGACAAGCTTTTTTCCACGGTTTGGCGAGTCAACAGCTTTTGGGGGTTTGGCAAGACAAGCTTTTGGCGAGATAAAACGTGCCGCTTTGTTACAATTTAGATGGAGACCTCGCCCACCAATTCAATTAAGTAAACAAAAACTTAAAGAAATTAGACAGACTTTAAAACAAAAATCACACCAATTTGAGGAAGAAGATAAGAGGGAATTACTTAAAGTGTCTAAGGTAAAAGGGGAAAAAATCTTTTGTTTTTGGTCGTCTGTGAAGGAAAAACAGTAAACTTGAGTTAAACTTGAGGCCTTTGAGAGTTATTGAAGATAGGCGAACTTCTAGGTTTTCATTTGAAATTGAATCTAGACAATTTTTGCATTATGGGCACGTTGTCCAGGGTTTTTCTTCTAAATTTACCGGAGCCGGGATTTCCAGGCTAGAACCAGTATTTTCAAAAAAAAAAGAAAAAAAAAGTTGTACACTCGTGCTCAAAAGTAATGATCCCTGGGTATGAAAATTTTTAAAAAGTGATTCTTTTGACAGGGAAAGGTTATATATTTTACTTACTTTTCAAAGATTAAAACTAACAATGTAAAGGTACTTTTTATCGAAAAAATTTTCCCCAAATCAACATCCTTGTGATTTTCTCTCAACTTTAAAAGTGCTCCCTTTTTTAAGGTGGACCAAAAGTAATGATCCCTCGCCGAAACTAATAATAAAAATATAGGTAAAAATCTGTAATAATTTAAGTGAATACATTCAGCGATAATAAGTATAACCGCCAAAAGACCGAACCCTAAAACTACATACAGCACAGTAATCTCGACATCCTAAAACACTCAAAAGTCAACGTATAATGGGATTAGAGTTGTTTGAAAAATATTTTCGTCACCTCACATCAGTGATTAAAATTTTGTTTTATGCTTGACTGAAAGCCAATAAAATTTGCTATAAAATATCTCAAGTCAACCTTCTTGAAAAAATTATCTTTCGAGTTAGGTAATAAGCAATATACAACACAAACCATTTATTGGGTAATATGAGAGAGTTTTGCCGCCTTGTATGTTTGTCACTCCTCAACACGATAGATAAATTTTTTCAGAAAATTTGAACGACTATATCTTGTAGCAAATTTTATTGGCTTTCAGGCAAGCATAAAAGTGTAACCAATTCCTATATCAAAAAGATAAAAATAATTTTTGAAACAAATTACCCCTATTTCTCGTTGAAATATCTCGAAGTCAATATCTCGAAGAAAAGAGTAGATATTGGACCAATCTTTTCATATGTTAACTTCTTATTACTATTTAGTCATCTTAACTAAAATTTTTGTGGATTTTTTCTTAATGGTTAAACATATTTTTTAAAAAGGGATCATTACTTTTGACTAGAGTTCGAACTTTTCAAAATGCCGGGCCCGGGACCCGGTTTTTTTTTCTCAAAATCGCACCCGGACCGGTTTTTCCGGATAAAACCGGAAAAACCGGTTAGCCCGGAAAAACCGGATTTTTTCAGACCCGGGCCCGGACCCGGTTTTTTCTAAATTTATTAAAAACTTAAAAAATCTACATACCCAATGATACCTGTGATATCCCGACTACATATATCTTTATTAGTGTAAGGCAGATGGATTTAGTTGGTTAACACGATATAACGAGAGATTTTGGAGAATGAAAAGGATATATGGGGAATTATGGTGATAGCAATGTAAAGAAGTATCTTCAGTTAAAACCTCGATGTCTGGAAGTATAACGGGATTAGGAACGATATGAAGGGATAAAAGGGCAGTGGAGGGTTACCGTGTGATTAAGGTGGATTTAAAAGTAGCAAATCATCCAATATCCCCATATTTTTCCTTATCCAGCGCCGCAGGCAAAAATTTTGAGAATTTTGGAAGACCAATTCACCAGATTTCTTTCTTTTTCAGCGCCGCAGGCGGAAATTTTGAGAATTTCTAATGTCGTAGGCCAGAAAAATTCACTTTTTCAGCGCCGCAGGCGAAAATTTTAAGAATTTCTAAGGTCGTAGGCCAAAAAATTCACATTTCAACGCGCTCAAGCAGCCAAATTTCTTCCATTTTCAACACGCTGCAGGTAATTTACAACAATATTAAAAATACCATAAACGTCGTCGAGGAAATTTTGTCAAAAATATACCCCCAAGAACTAGTTCCAGAACTAGTTCCAAACTAGTTCCACATAATCGTTAGTTCAGTAGTTTTAGTTCCGGAACTGGAACTTTGACATCACTGCAACCCACTAGATTTCTTACTTTTCCAGCGCCGCAGGCGAAAATTTTGAAAATTTTGGGAGATCCTTAAGCCAAAACTTCCATTTTCAGCCAAACTTCCATTCTAAAACTCCCACTCCGGGCCCGGCAAAAAATTACCGGGCCCGGGACCCGGTTTTTTTACTCAAAATCGCACCCGGGCCGGTTTTTCCGGGTAAAACCGGAAAAACCGGTTAGCCCGGAAAAACCGGATTTTCTTAAAAATACCCGGTTCCGGGCCACCGGGCCCGGAAAAAACCGGTCCGGGCCCGGCCCGGGTTCGAACTCTACTTTTGACCACCCTAAGAATAGGGGTATCCATTTAGAGTTGAGAGAAAATCACGGGGTTGGAATTTTGGGGAAAATTTTTTCCTTGGAAAGTATCTTAACATTGTTAATTTTGATTATGAAAAAGAAAGTAAATCATTTACCCTTTCCATTTCAAAATTATCACTTTTTAAAAATTTTCATACCCAGGGATCATTACTTTTGAGCACGAGTGTATTTTCAAAAAAAAGAAACAAGTGTAAATTTATTTTTGAACAATGTTTTTTTAAAGGGGTACACTCGCCAACCTCTAGCCTAACCCAGAGGTAGGCTAGGCCTCTAGCTGAACCTACCGCTGGCGTTCCTCTTTGCGGAACAACTTCACCCGTCGATAAAAGTTCCCCGATCTTGCCTCACCAATGAAAATCAATAGATTTGAGTCATTGAAATTAGAAATTGACATTTTTCAAGTCTAATATTCACAGTTTATTTACCCAAAATTGTTTTTGATAGTTATTTTCTAATAGTCTTATCGAATCCCTGAACAACGAATTTAGGGTTAACGAGACTTAAGTACTTGATTGGAATATTTGTTCTTTTTTGTCTGTAGATATTTTAAATTATTGATTGGTAGACACTTTTGAATTTAATTTACTATAAACATTGGCATAACATTATTTATTTTAGAGATAGTCTATAAGGCAGAGAATTAGAGTTTTCTTTGTGTGTTTCTTTTCAATTTCATAATTTCTTTCGTTCTTCATTTTCGTAAATAACAAACTGCCCATCTTTCTGTTTTGTCTTAGTTAGGGTTT